TGTGGAGCTACGCCAAAAATAAAATTTATGAAGATCCAATTCAAGATATTGATGATCTACGAGATAGGGTGATGGACACATTCCAGAACATAAACAGAGTTCATCTGAGAAAAGCAGCGAATCATGTTCGCTCGCGAATATTAAAATGTATCGAGAACAATGGGGGCCATTTCGAGCAGTTCAATTGATTTTTTTTTCAGAATTTGTATTATTCAACTGTTATTAAATTTTTTTTCTGCTATAATAGTACACATCCAATTCCATGCGATAAGTTATGCAAGAACATAGAACACAGAATTCATAGCCTACTTGACATAAAAACAAAAATTGGAAATCAGTACCCCAAATAGAACAAAACTGTGAGTGTGATACATCACTAGAAAGGAAATTTGATGCTGATTTCAAATCTGTCAAAATCCAATATGGCGTCCATAAGAAAAATTGAAGTTGTAGGTGATATCTCAGAAATTTGACATTTTGACGGAAAACTGACAAAACCATTGAAAAGAGCACTAAAAAGTGCTATGAGAATGTTGAAGTCATTTTTTCATAAAATCAATAGGTTCCGAGATATTCGAGAAAAACAAAAATACAAGATTCCAGTTTTTCTCAAATAACTCAAGAATGACTGAAGCTAGCCCGGATTGCTCGATAGATTATGATTCAACATTAAATTCGCTACAACTTTGCTAATTTAACCGTTTCTCTATCTCTCATAGTTACTGAGATCCCAATGGTGAGGATCGAATTTGGGACACATTGTATATGTATACGAAGCGAAAATGTCAAACTACAATAGAAAATTTCACGCAGAATCCAGTGGCGCACTCAGTTTTTTTTTTCGGGGTATGGTTTTGGAGATACGACTCAAGCTTATGATTGTTCAAATGGAACACCCTGTATTTCATAAGCTCATTAAATTCCTAATTTTTTTCCCATCAGAATGAAATATAATGTATGAATATGAAATTTTCAAAAGTGCTCCAGAATCAAATAGGTCTTAATGCATTCAAAATCATTAAAGGATGTCTTTGTAATTCCTGGAAAACTGCCTCTGTTGTTGCACGAAGTTCTTCAAGATTGTTGTGCCTCTTACTGTATGAAGACGTATTGAGAAAGTTTCAATTGTGTGTTAGGGAAAATGGACATCAATTTGAACAATTCAATGTATAAGTTACTGAATAATTTCGAAATTCAGTTGTTTTGTAAATATTTAATCGCTGATGCTTATTCTACATTATGAACTTTCTATTACTATTTATTTGTTGCTATCAGGTACCAAATTTTATGTCCTCTTCATGACAAAATCAAAAGAAATATTCCTTCAATTGGAACTTTTTTATATGAAAAATCCATAGCCCATGCACTATTAAAATTCAATGTTTTAGTGATTTTGGAGCATTTTTGAAAGTCTTATAATCATACATTATATATCATTTTGAAGAGAAAAAATGAGGATTTCAATGAGTTAGTTAATACAGGGTGTTCCATTTGAAAATTCATAAGTTTGAGAAAATATTGAGTGCGCCACTGGATTCTGCGTAAAATTCTCTATGGGATCAGATATTTTAATTTGACATTTTCCCTGAGAAACTTCGTAGATATAGAAGGGGTACAAAAAGTATGAATTTTCAAAATCGTCTTGTATCTCATAAACGGAAACAGTTATGCTAAATTTGATTAGGCCATCTTGAGTTTCACAAAAGAGTGGAACAGGACCGCGAAAACCGCAAGGTTCTATCTCGAGAGATAACTGCAATATCACGGAAAAGCATCGAAAACTGGACACACTGTACATACCTAGGTACCTACCTACTACCTAGTTTATGACATTGTCATTTCTATGGATATTGGAATATAAATAATTGCCTCAATGATGTAGGTATCGCCCTGTATAGATGAACCTAAAACCTTGCTGTGAAGTGGATTTATATCTTCTGACTGTGTTCGGTGTTGAATGGTAAAATACCTTTGATACAATGCCGGTCACCTTCTGGGAATTTCCAATTAACCAGGTAGGCAGATACCTAGGTAGAGAGATGGTTTCGAACTTGGATAGTATAGGAATGGAATCAGAATTCAAGAATTTCATTCGAAAATGTTCACATCAGACACCCTCAACGAATTTCAGTAGGAGTGTTGGTTAAATGTAGATATTATACTGATAGATTCGAATATTTTGACAATGATTAGGTATTCTTAGTATATATTCAAAATCTATATAGTGTAGAATAGGTATTCCCTTTGAAGATAACTTGACGTTGACGCCGCGCAGTGCGTGATAATCTGCAATTGATTTTGGATATACTTTATCTATATACCTACTTCAGTTTATACTACTACAGGGCGTTTCAGAGTTGTGGTGACAAAGACAAAAGGCACAGATTAACAGGTCTGTTAATCTGTGGCCTAGGGGAGATTTCTCTCAACAAAATATGAAAAAATTTCATATGATCATGCTGGGTCCAAAAATGCTGCGTTTCCGAGATACATCAGGGTTTACAAGTTGAATAATAGTAATTTACGTAGAAAGTCGAGCCGTAGGCGAGTCCTGGAAGTCTGCGAGTCCAAAAAAACTGGTTTTGGACGTGTTGCATGCACTGTTTTTTCGGAACCATTCAATATAACAAATCAATGAGACACATTTCCATTTTATATTTCTTTGTAGAATACAATTTCTTCTTTATTAATTCTCATTTGTATCAAATACTGAAATTTGAACAGAATACCAATACCTACTAACTGTTACATTGGAAATTTCGTATGGACATTTTTAAACTCACTATCGCAGCTGCTTTCGATAGTTTATTGCGATAATTGCAACCAAAATTTCGAAAAAATAAAAATGTTAACTAATTTCATGTCAAATAGCTGTCAGCCGATATTTCCTTGCTATGGTTATTATCATTGTCTGCTAAATAGAGAAAAAATCTAGTGAGCTGGAATTTTTCTCCATATTTAGCAGACAATGGTTATTATCATCTGCATTTATCGAAACCATATCTACCAATATTGTCATAGTTACAGTGACGACAACGATGTGATACTTCCCGGAAAAGGCCGGAAAAATGCTACTTTCTCACAAAAAAAAAGCGTCCGGGAAATGAGCACTTTCCGGGCGGTTGCCGAAAAGCAAAGATTTTTTCGAGTTTTTTATTGATATCTCGAAAATACTTATGCCCATTCGAATGAAATTTTGATGGTTTATTCACATCATTATCAGACCCATCCAGCACGTCTACTTTTTTTGTAGAAAAAAAGCACCTATGATTTTTTTTTCGGGTTTTAGTCAAATATTTTGATAAACCCACTTAAAATACCATTTTTCTGTTTCTTGCTATTTTTTCGTATCTTGCTTCACTTTCGAAAAAAACGGACAATACCGTAACTTGGAATATCTTTGAACTCCATAAGAAAAAATTTAAATGCTCAGATATTATCCAAATATTTATTGTACCTACATTATTGTTTATGAAATCAAAAAATACATAAAATTCAATACCCTCCTCTAAAATGTATACGATCATCAAATTGCGTGAGAATTATTTCTTCAAGATACCTATCAATGAAGAGCTATTTTTTTTTAAGCTTTGACACCCTATATATCTCGGGAACGAAGTATTTTCGGACCCATGTTCATATTTTGTTGAGGGGAATCTTCCATAGGGTTTTGTCACCACAACTCTGAAACACCCTGTATAGGTGTTATAATGTTGATGATTCGGAGAATACCTACTTCTAAATATAAAAACTAGGATTCTAGGTGTACTTACGTCGAATTTTGTATGTGATAAGACGTCGGTAAACTCATCTAGCTAATTAGGTATCTCTAGCGAGTTACCGAGAAATTGTTATGTAAACGGTAATTCATTCCTTTTTGCCGAGAGAGAAGAATTTGATAACATTTGTTTCCCCAACTCGTTTTCAGTGCATCATATTACCTATCTAAGTATTCATAATAGGAACGGTATGTGAACCCTTTACATATTGCAGATATTATTATTTGGGAAACCCAAAATCGTGCCAAACTGCACTTCAATCTGGTCAATGACCGGAAGCACCTACATAATGGGGCGTAGAACGCGAAACCAGAGGTTGGTTCCCCCTATTGATCGTTCTTGGATATCTGTCTTTTCAATTCAAATAAAACCGCCAAACCTTTATAAATGTCCATATCGCAGTGTTGAGTAAAATTTAGGTACCTAGTTTTAAATATTAGCTGTACCAACATATTTCATTCCATTAAAATGATCGTTTCCTGTGGTAATAATTCAAATTTTATCATTTAGTAGGTATCATTGATTCAACCAAATTGACTTAGTTTAGTGAAATAAATCGTATTTACGGCTGTTAACCGTTTCAAACTTGTGAAACGGAGAGAATATAATATACATTTTATATTATTAAAAACCAATGTAATGTAGGTTTGGTTTGATAAACGCAACAACAAACTGTTGTAGGACGGCTCCAGACATTGGGCGGTGCTGCGCAAAGTTGAATGAAACGGTGCGGCAAGCGCGTACTACGAGCGTTCAACGATCTCTACTTGCCGCCTCGATGTTAGCGCCCCGTAGCGGCAGTGCCATCAAGTAGGCGGACTCGGCATGGCTGTGGGAACGCGTCGTATTTGTGCTCGCTATTTTTCACAAAAATTCAGGAAAAAATCGACATATTTTTTGTATAACCAGTGAATAATTGATCTTTATGGTTTGCGGTAAGTCGTGAATAGTTTTTTAGTGCGAAACCTTCGGTAATTCGCTTGTGTTCGATCGAAGCGTTTCCGGTTAACCTGCAAGAATATTTTGGGCTCGAATCAAAATGGTGGTCAAAACCGCGTGCTTCTACGTTTGCCGCTTTTTTTCATATTTCTCTTCTGGACGGTTATTGGAACAAGTGTAGATGTAAACATGTTATTTTCAATGAACATTATATTTCTCGTAATGTATTTTGAAACAGCCCGACTATTTTAGATGAATAATTTCGTGTTTCTTCTCTTGTAGAATCGATGCTAATAGCGGATTTGTTGGAGCAAATACCTCACGTAGCTGTACAAGCTGCGGAGTGCTCCTTCCGAGTGAGTGCCCTCAAGAATGTCGTTAGTGAATATCTCACTCCACTGGTGGTACGAAATTTGGGTTGTAATGATGCTGCAGTTAATAAAGCTGCCCGTGACGCTCTCATTCAACTGATAGAGCAAGGTTACATTAACAAACAGCAAGCTGAAATTCAAGTGTGCCCTTCCATCTTGGCACTATCCAAAGTTGAGACATCCTTGGACATAAACACTGGTGCTATATCTGTAAGTATTTCTACCTAAAATTGTTGTTCTTTGTTGTTTTGTTATGCAGTGCCTTGTAGTGTTTAGGATGATATTTTTGTAAAAATTGACCTGTAGTGTTTAGGATGATATTTTTGTAAAAAGTGACCTATCAGTGATAGCATTTGCTTTATGAAAGACATGGGTAGTGAGATGTTCATTTTATTTTTTGTCTCACTACCTTGTCTTTCATGGAGACTTTGCTGATAGCAACAAAGTGATTTTAGGAATAACAAAGTTTCAGTTTGCCGTTGCCCATCAGAGTTGGCAGTTTTAGATTACTTGTTTCTATCACAGCCAGCTTTGATGAGCACTGTTGAACTACTATTCTTCAAAGTGTTGGTGTGCTGCAAATAAAAAAACATCACAATTTGCCTCCTACCTGTTCATCAACTTGGTTGTGACTTCTTTGGTTCATTAAGATATCACAGCCACTTTGATGAGCTAGGTTAAGGTACTGAATCGTCTGTGGGGAGTTTGCCTGGAGTTTTTGATGCCACAGCATGTCAACTTGGCTGTGGAACCTGTATTTGATGGTATCACAGCCATTTTGACGAGTTGTGTTGTTGACAGATTTCACCAATGAATGGAAATGCAGGTAAGAAGTCAAGGCTTGGAGTGACTCGTTTTTTTTTGCTGTGCCGGTCATCAGGTGGTTGTGAAGCGGATATTTGACTCGTATCACAGCCAGCTTTGATGAGCGCTACAACATTGGTTTTTCAACAGGACTTCTCCATCTACAGAAGGATTTTCAGCTGAAGTACTGTTGAGCTTGTACTCATCAAGTGGTTGTGAAATGTTGGTTTGGATTCATATCACAGCCAGCTTTGATGAGTGTGAGACTGCAGGGTATTCATCAATTAACAATTATTTCATTGATAGGATGATGTTGACAGGATGAATTTTAATTTTCCCTGTTAAGAATTATTTATCAATATTTTGGTGATAAAACAAGTAGTGTTGACAGAATTTTCATAAATTTACATCCCACTGAAAATCTACCAAGCATTGCCACATGCACAAAACTTTAAATCAAGTTGACACAAAAAAACTTGTCTTAATTTCAGCTATAATGGGAAGCTTTTGATTATTGATAGACTCTCAACTCGATCAGGAATGGAATGAAGCTGGTGACTTCAAGCCATTAGTGATCGGGTATGTATGTGGTGGCAAAATTTGAGAGCTCAAGTGAAACTTAGTAGCTAATCTTTCCCAAGATTGATACAGGGTGGACCTATCAAAATAGAACACCCCTTTGAATTTTATATTTGTTCATCAAACGCCTCAGAAAAATACTGTAATAGGATCTTCAATTTATGTCTGGTAGGTATGGTAAGAAAATTTGAAATAAACAAAGTATTGTCATTCATTTTTTACTATACAGAGTGGTGTTTCATAAATATAAGATCAAACCTCTGCATTGAGTTTGAGTAGTACATGTGAAATTGTGAAAATAATACAAGGTGTTCAAATAATTTTTTCGTCCCCTTCCTAAGAAATTGATGAACTGATAAAGGAACCCACCAAGTGCCTCCACCAAATTTTGAAGGACAGTGTCAAGAACACATACTTTTTCTGGAGAATTAAAATTACCTCAACCTTCTCAACTCTTCCAAAATCATCACAATACCTAGTGATTGAGAATTTTGCATTATTATGAATAAGTTAATCTAAGAATGCCTGACCAGCAAAGCAAGATATTTTATCAAAATTGAGAAAATGGTTGTAGTAAGGCCTTTGTAATCATCCTGCTCAGTTTTCACTATTGTCTTTCAAATTTTGGTGGAGGCACTTTGTGAATTTTGGTGCAGGATTGCTGACATCAGATTCTATTATTTGAATTTTTGAAAAATCTACTATAAAATTGGGAACCCGATATGGCTAGCCCTTCCCTGCTCTCCTAGATAAAGTGGATCAGAGTCGCCTAGTTAATCTTATAAGATGTTACCATAATACCCTTTGGATTGGAATGACATTGAAAAGTTATGGACTAGAAATCCTATTTTGAAAAACATCAACTTCACCTGAACAGGGTGGGTGGAATTCCAGCCTCATCATTGAGACCTTGTAAATGGTAAGAGATACAGGGTCGGTTAAATTATGGCAAAGATGCCGTTTTGACACTTGAAAAATTCGAAACACTTTCTGAGATATGAAAGAAACTGAAATTTTCTGAAATTTTTTTTTCAAGTTATTTGAAGAAATTATTGGAAATTAACCATCATCAACTTATCTATTTCAAATAGGGAGTTGTATTTTTAATTCAATTTTTTCACATCTACTCCTGTAATATTGACATCTTATCTCATTTTTATAGTTAACAAACGTTGTTTCTTGGGAATAATAAAGTTGATTGATTGATTGATCTCAAAAACTATGAGCTATCATACATTTTTATTTTCGAATGTTTCAATAATTGGCATCACATTTCATATTGGATAATGAAAAAATACTGAAAATGTCAATATTTATGAACTTGTAAACTAACCCTTCAAAAATGACACTTTATGGAAGCTCATAGCTTTTGAGATATCCAAAAGTGTGACTACCGTCTGTCAGCAACATGCACCATTTATACTGGGGAGCTTTTTGCCTTAGCAGAAGCCATATCAGAAGCGCGCAACAGTACCAGTACCAAGACAGTCATTTTCACAGATTCTCTCAGTGCGGTAAAAGGAATCTTGCAAATGTACCCGAAACATCAACTCCTGCAACGCATAAAGAGGGACCTTCTGGCACTATACCAGGAAAACAAAAAGGTGGAGATTGCATGGATTCCTTCACATACTGGAATTAGAGGAAATGAAACGGCCGATACTGTAGCAAAGCAAGCCTGCGCAGACCCCGAAGCCCAAGTTATTCTGGAGATACCGAACCAAGATCTGAAATGGAAAATAAATGAACTGTCCAGGCAACAGTGGTACACTAGGTGGCAAAATTCTAATAATAAGCTTACTGAAATAAACCCAAACATCGTCAAAAATAGAGTAGAAGGTGTAAGCAGAAGACAACAAGTTATCCTTTCGAGACTACGCATTGGACATACCAAAGTAACACATCAACATCTCCTCAGGAAAGAGGAAGCCACCAGATGCGAGTTCTGTGGAGTTAACATCTCGGTGAAACACATCATCTCTGAATGTCCCGGGCTTGAGCGACAAAGAGTATCCAATGGACTATCGAATGACCTTCAGAAAAATCTTCAAGGAAACAACATACTGAATCTCATGAAATTTCTCAAGTCAATTGATATCCTGAACGAAATATAGACACTGTAAACTCTGATTTGTAATGTAATGTAAGTTAATGTAATGTAATTATTGTTCCATCGCTAATAACCTCTAATGGTTGATGCGATTTATCTCAAATAAAAAATAAAAAAAAAAAAAAAAAAAAAGTGTGAAAAAATGAAATAAAAAATCCAGGTCCTGTTTGAAAAAAATTAGTTGATGGTTTAGGGAAGACGAAATGGCGGATTTCAAATTTGAAAACACCAACTTCTAGAGAAGGAAAAGTGGCCATGACAAAATGTCATTCATTTCCACTGATTTTTCGAATAACTTGAAAAAAAAAAGAAGGACTTGTGGGGAAGGAAAAGTGGCCATGACAAAATGTTATTCATTTTGATCAGAGTTGCAAAATATCACGATTTTTTCGAAAAAAATAAAAAAATCGATTTTTTCGATTAAATCATGTTTTTCTTTTGTTTATACAGATTTTATTGATTTATACTTATTTTTTCTTTTAATATGAAAATAATGAATTTCAAATCACATATTTACATTAGTTTTCTCTATTTCCCCAAAAATATTTGTATAGAATATCTCCTCGGCGACATGAAAAAAAAACTTCTGTTGACATGAACATTTTCAGCAGCGCGCCGCGGCGTTCCTGTCAGAACAAGAAAATTCGTTCAATAATGCCTGGTTGACGCTAGACGGATTAGTTTTTAACAAACATCCTTTTATTGAATTTTCTGATGATCTACTACTATCTACAGCAATTTATAATTTGATTAATATCACGATTAAAATTGAAAAAATCAGTTGGTTTAAATCATTATTTGAATCACCATTTAAATCATTCGATTTAAATCATCCCAACCCTGATTTTGATTGATTTTTTTGGAATAACTTGAAGAAAAATAAAAGAACTTCTAGGGAATAAAAAGTGGTCATGACAAAAAGTCATTCATTTCCATTGAGTTTTTCAAGTGAAAATAATGAAAGAATTTATGGGGATTTTTTGTTTCAAATTACTTAAAAAAAAATTAAAGAACTTGTAGAGAAGGAAAAGTGGCCTTGGCAAAATGTCATTCATTTTCATAGATTTTTTTTCAAATAACTTTAATAACAAATAAAAGAACTTTTAGTGAAGGAAAGTGGCCATGACAATCAAAAATTGATTTTGATTGATTTTTTCAAATAATTGAAAAGTAAAGAGGTTTTAGGAAATTTCGGTTTCTTTCATATACCTCCGAAATTATTCAGAATTTTACTAGTTTCGGAACGTCATTAGGCGTAAAATTGCGCAACTTTGGCATTATTCAACTGACCCTGTATTTATGGTTTTTGAGATCCCAATGATGAGGCTTGAGTTCCAGCCACCCTGAGTCTGTACTACTACTCTCAATTACCATATTTGGTGGTGTAATTATGGGACACCCTCTATATGAAATGGGTGTTTTGTTCATCATTAATACAAACATTCATATTTCAAAGATGCAAAGACGAGTTGAAAGATATGAATCATTCTTAAAAAATGTTGATTTCAATTCTGGAAAATCGAAATACATTGTATATCAAAACAGTTGTGGAATAAGTATTTTGAGTTTGAACCGACTATGTATCAGTCAATTTTATTTGTATGTCTAAAAATCAAAGTTGACAGGTGATTCCATTCTGAATGGAACACCCTGTATTGTGAGATCAGAAAATGTTGGACCATATAAAACAGTTTTTTTATGCATTTCTCATATGATTTCAGATGTTTAAAATACTACTTGTCCATTCTGGAAGTTTCTTAGTTTTATTTAATGTATTTGACATTAAAGATGTATTTTCTTTGAGGAGAATTTAAGTTTTTAGTGTGAAAATCTCCAATAAATGCATTATAAAAATCGTTAAAAATGTCTATGGTTTTGACGTTTTTCAACCTCACCATTGATCACTTTGCTGAAAGAGGACTGTTTTCTTTTCTTCATGTTCTGTATGGGTTATTAAAATCAAATATATTCCAGCTCTGTGTTAGTTTTGGATTCACTAGGTGAATGTGCTTTTATAATATTCACAAATTAGCTGTAGGTTGATTGTTGGTAACAATTCAATAACTGTAAACTTAATATTTGTAAAGGCAAACTGTTGAAATACCTCTCGAATTTCCGCTTGTAGTTTTTATTAACAAGAATATTTGAAAACCCAAAACAAAAAGTATTTTAATTTTTTTATTTTTTCAGTTGATGAGTAAACTGGCTGTCCTCCTTGGCCGTGACATTACAGAACGCGTCTTCCTCAAGAGATTCATTGAACAATGTGGCAGTCCATTGTTTTATATTAGAAAGATTTGTGCTGCTCATTTGGGGGAGTTTTCCACTGTGGTTGGAAGAGATCGTTTTGAAAGTATTTTGGTTAGTTCACTATATTTTGTTTCCTTCACTCCCAGCAAACTGAACCCAAAACCCACTTTGATGTTCTGAATAGATCATATCCTGGGCTACTCAAATTTATCACAAACTATTAGTTTACATATCCAGCAGGTTTTTGTTGATTTTTATCTCCTCCCCATCCTTATTCCTTATGACATGGTTTTGCAATTTGTACTCTTCCTCGACCCCCTCTTCAATTCAAACTGATTAATTTTGAGGTCAAATCGAGATTCATAATAAACATTCTGAATATGCATTCCTGTGAATTTGTAGAGTAACAAAAATGAAGTGTTACATGCAAAAAAAAAACACTGCATAGGGGATGCGTAGCGCGATGCCCAATTCCCACGATGCCCAACTTCATGTCGACGATTACGAAGACTGCCGAAGAGCGCAACGTTGCCAGGTTTTGAGAAAATTTCAGAAAACAAGATTCGCGCCACGCCCACTTTTTAATAGATTCCCACGATGCCCAACTCCCATCGTGCCTACTTTTCATACATTCCCACGATGCCCAATTTCCACCATGCCCACTTTTCATACATTCCCACGATGCCCACCTTCATCATGGTGGGAATCCAATGAAGGTGGGTATGGTGGGAATCCAATGAAGGTGGGTATGGTGGGAATCCAATGAAGGTGGGTATGGTGGGAATTGGGCATCGTGGGAATATATAGGGTGTATCAAAAAAACCTGACTTCCTTACTAGGGTAGGTAGAACACTGCAAAATAAGTTGGGTTTACTCAGTAAAAGAATTTCGTAACGGCATCCGTTATCAAGATACAAGGTGTTGAAAAAATGATTTTTTACACATTTTTCAAGATTATGTCGAAATTACTGTTAACATTGTAGTGAAATTTTGTATGGATGTTTCTTGGAATGTGACACATCGCATGCATTGTTTTTTTTTATCTGACTCATAGAGGGCGCTAGTTGCATGGTTCGTACTGAGTAGTTTTGAACATAACTTTTTTGAGATTAGATTTTTCAATCCAAATTTGATGTGAACTTGAACATGATTCAATTCCACACCAAAAAGGTACTTTTGGTAAAATTCAATACTGTGTTCCATTTTTGGAATATTTCGATTCGAAAATGAAATGATAACTTTTGCTCTTATAAAGCTATGTATTAGAGCGAGTATTATGAAAATTTATCACCTATTTATTGAAAACCGAAAACAACAATACATTTCTAATGCTAAACTTATTGATTCAACAATGAATCACAAGAATAACATCAAAACAGATTTGACTAAACATGTTTTGTGTGCAGAAAGTCTATGCTACAAAGGTAAATTCACGTCCAGAGTTGTAAGACATAATAGAACATCACTAGAATGACCTAACAGCTGATCCTCAACTGTTAAGAAGAATAATACAGTCTTAAGAAAATAATATGGAATCGTTTTTTCTTCGAAACGTAGAACATTTTGAACACTTACTCTAACTGATGCAATATTTCATGTTTCAAGTCAATTTTTTTTTAATTTTCTACTTATGATTCTTTGTTCCATCAATTACTTCAGCACAAGAATAATTCTATTGTTTTTGAATATGAATAAATAGGTAATTGAACTCAATGAAATTCATTTTATACCAGCATCAGCTATTACTCCATTATTTTCAAATCGAAATAATCCGAAAACGGAACATAGTATCGAGTTTCACCAAGAGTACCTTTTTGGTGACAAATTGAATGATGTTCGAGTTCATATTATATTTGGATCGAAAAATATAACCTCAAAAAAGTTGTGTTCTAAACTACTCGGTACAAACCCTGTAACTAACGGCCTCTATGAGAGTCAGATATAAAAACGAATTCATGTGATGTGTCAGATTTCAAGAAACATTCATACAACATTTCATTACAATGGTGCCAGTAGTTTCGACATGATCGTGAAAAATGTGTAAAAAAAATCAATTTTTCAACACCTTGTATCATGAAGACGAATGCCAGTACGACATTTTTTCACTGAGCAAACCCAACTTATTTTGCAGTGTTCTACCTACCCTAGCAAGGGGGTTAGGTTTTTTTGAAACACCCTGTATGAGAAGTGGGAATTGGGCATTGTAGGAATTGGGCATCGTGGGAATGTATGTAAAGTGGGCATGGTGGGAATCCAGGAAAGGTGGGCATGGTGGGAATTGAGAATTGTGAAATTGGGCATCGTGGGAATCTATGAAAAGTGGGCATGGTGGGAATCTTGTGTTTTCTGAATTTTTCTCTTGACCTGGCAACGTCGCGCTCTTCGGCAATCTTCATAATCTTCGACATGAAGGTGGGCATCGTAGGAATTTGGCATCTTGGAAATTGGGCATGGTGGGAATTGGGCATCTCGGAATGCTCCCTGCATATGTAATGTCACATTTTTATTTTGTTCTATACAAAGTATCATGTTCAATTTTGCCATAAAGAGGCAGAAAAAAATTGCAAGCATTATTGAAAGTCTGTCTCGATAAAACTGTCTAGAAAGATACAATTGCATTCTCAAAGTATAATTTTCGTTTATTTCTGAGTCTTACTTTCAACTTCCCTGTGATCATTTTTAATTTGTATTATTTTAATATGAATCACTGTTTCTTTAATAATAGGTTTTTGTTCCTTCAATCTTGAGTGGCGTGAAGTAACAAGGATTTTTGCAGAGATCACATGATGATAATTTACCCTCACCGGCAAAGAACACCGACCAGCAAAGAAATTAGGAAATTGTTCGCCCTGTCTCTTTTTTAATTCTTGTCCGATTTTGATGAAATTCTGACCAAACCGTATATTTATGTTTGAAATTGTTCACCTGAACTGAAGTTTCCATAAAAAGATGTTAATTTGGTTATTATACAGGAAAAAACAAAATTACTATTTCACCCTTAATTTCTCAATGCCCTGTGGGTGTGGGTGATTATTCGCGTAAGCGTACGCCACCTATCGGAGTTCTTGAAAGCTGTCAAAGCGGCCTGTTTACTTTGTTTTCATTGGTTCACATTTGTTTTTTGTTTGTTCTTATTGGTCACATCATCAAAACAAACCGCTCAGAAGTGTTCAAGCTGCTGCCGTGAGGTGGAGCGACGTGTTAATTTCTATCGCGAATACTTAACTTCATCATGTTTTGGATATAAGTGTAAACCCTTCTTAACACAATGGTTCTTGATAACCTACATAAACTTCTCGATTAACAACTCGAAAAAACATCTAAGAATTTATTGTTAATTGAAATAAAAAAAATCCATACTTTCTTGAAACGCTTGTACCTTCTCTTGAAAAAAAAATATTGACGTAAATCAAGTACCATTTTATTAAGAAGGGACGAAAGGGGATCACACTTGAATCCAAAACATGATGAAACAGAAGGTTGAAGAATGAATCTGAATTATTGTTGATAAAAACTAAAAAAAAAACGTACTTTTTTCTGTGACGGGAAAAAAGTTTGGCATTTCATCTCTGTTGGCAGGTTATAAAATGTCACTTTTCATAAATTACTTTTTTCCCGTGGGAAAAAAGTGAGTACTTTTTTCCCGGATATATATCACATATATATATACTCTGTTAAAGGCTTTTGTTGTGCTATAGTTCCGAAAAATGAGTCAATAATACCGTCTCCGAGAAAGAACTGCAAGTCCTTTCATCTTCCATTCGACTTCGCAGTTTCGTATATTACTAAACAACTACTGAATTCGCAATTTTTTAAAATCAAATCACAGAATTGAACTGACAGAAGTGACATCAGATATTTGATTACTTCAAAAGAATGATGAAGATGCCTATAAAACGCAGGTGTCCCTACTGTTAAAAACTTGAAATTTCACGTCGATAATTTTCAGATTTCGAAATAATGTAATATCTTCTCAATATTGATTCGTCCTTCCTTCTGTCACAGAAAAAAATAGTGTATTATACACGGGAAAAATATTAGATTTTAGCTCACGGTTTTTTGTCTCCCTCCGCTACGCGTCGGGAAACAACACAACCTGGAGATAAAATCTACAACTTTTTTCCCTTGTATAATAAATAACTATTCTTAAAACCCTTGTGTTAAGAAGGGATCACACCTCGATCCAAAACATAATGAAGCTTAGTTCAACCATGCATCTCTCCCTCAGAGCGTTAAAAAGTTAAGGGTGGAAGAGTAAGTTTGGTTTTTCCCTGTATAATGATCAAGCCATCTGGAAATTTCACTAGAATCGGAAAAGAAAAAAGTTGCAGGGCGATCAATTTTGCGGAATTTTTTGTAGGCCGTTTTTTTATTGAGTTTATACAGGGTGTTAACAAATAAGTGTCACAACGGAAAACTGTAGATTCCTCATAATAAAAGAATCACTTCTTTCCTCTCCAAAATTTTTCTCCGGGCTTCCGTTTTCAAGATACAGGGCGTCAAATTAAAAATGTTGAGTTCAATTAAACACACTTTACAACACTAAATAAACTTAATAATTTGAAAACCAGCATCGGGACCAGCATACTCAAGAACCTGACATTTGATTGAACATTATATTAGACAGATCTGAGGTGTTTATTTCCCGTGGATTTTTAGACAATTTTTGAAGATACCATCAGGATTTTGTATGTTCTTATTCCTAGAGCCATTTTTCGCGAAAACTGTTCACTTTAGAGCATTGAGACAAGATGACGTTTTTTGTGTGAAATATATTGGCGCTTCAGAATCTACTTTGGAAATTACAATTTCTCCAGTGGCATAAATGTTTGGGGGGTTGAACCCTTACGAGGCGTTGAATTCTCCTCCACTGACATGTCCAAGGAAATTGATCAAGAGCCCTAAAAGTAGTCATTATTGATGATGAAGTGTGTACGAAGGCTTAACTCCGTAGCTCCGACGGTTTCTGAGATAGTAGCAAAAAACAGATTTTTCTGTATTTTTTTGACGCCCTGTATCTTGATAACGGAAGCCCGGAGGAAGATTTCGATAGGAAAAAGAATGTTTCTTTTTTCATGAGCAATCTACAGTTTCCCGTTGTATAAAAAAGTACATATTGATTAATTTGTAGAAATTTGTGGACTGATGACTGAAAATATTCTCAAAATGAAGGTAATTGATCTTGTGATTCGGAATTCTGTGGTATATCTCAAAACTATTGCTTTTAACATTAAACCCAGAATTCTGAGATCCAGGTAAAATACTCAGAATTATGACTGAATTGTGATTCGCAATTCTGGCCAGATCGTAACCAATGCCATAATGACTTTTCACTATAATCTGGTATCCAACATGATGATTTTATGACGACGGTTTTCTGATCAAACATTTGAAGATAATGTCACATCATACTGATATTGACTTGTAATTCAGATTCCTAACATGCGTTAAAATATTCAGACATCAACCCTAGAATTCTGAAATCGAAAAATTCTCAGAGTTATAACTGACTTGTGGCCAGATCCTAACCAATGCCAAATCGAGAACCTTTGACTCTATACGTCTTGTTTCCGACATAATGATTTCTTGACGACGGTCTTCTGATCACACTTTAGAAGTTGATGTCACGTCATACTGATTATCGAACAATGTCGACATGTTCTGAAATTATGAATTCTGACATTGAATTCAGAATTCTGACACTGAACACAGAATTCTGACATCAATATCAGTTTTCTGCAATACAGGAATAATTATCAGAATTATGACTGATTTGTGATTCAGAATTATGAACGAATCGTAGCCAATGCCAAATTGAGACCCTTTGACTCTATAATAATCATTGTTCATATCGACGTTCGCCGATCCGACGATCACGAATTTGGGCTACAACAAGGGCGACGACTTATGTGAGTCAGAATTCTGACATCGAACCTAGAATTGTGACGTTGAACCAACCGAGAAATGACTCCAAAATTATGACATTGAACCCAAAATGTTGACTATAAACCCAGACTTCTGACATGATACCCGTAATTCTGACATCGAACCCGTAATTATGACATCGAACCCAGAATTCTGACATTTAACCCAGAATTCTGACATTGAACCCAGAATTCTGACATTGAATCCATAATTCTGACATTGAATCCATAATTCAGCCATTGAACCCAGAATTCTGGCAATGAGCCCTGAATTATGACATTGAACCCAGCATTCTGACTATAATTCCAGAATTCTGACATTCCAACCCAGAATTCTGACATTTGAACCAAGAATTCTGACATCAAACTTAGAATTCTGACATCAAACCCAGAATGAGGTTGTACACACTAGTCGAATTTACGCCGCATACCTTCATATTGTTCCTTTACGAGTATACATAGTATTTGATGCAATCATTCGGGTATTTGATAAAATCATCGCAAATATATTTTTTCAATAATGAAGATCGATACCTTCGAAAAACACCAGCTTCGATGACGTCATGAACCGAACCGAAAGTCATTGTTATCTGAATTCTGGCTTCCACATAAAAAGTAGGACCACATATTCAGACGCTATGACCAATGACAGCATTATTCACATTCACAGAAGACAATAGTTCGACCTGGTCCCTAATAATCACTTATTGAATAATTATACAGGGTTTCCGGAAACGTCATGTCGTAAATGATAAGGCCGATATGTGAGCCAAAATAAATTCAGTACTTCTTATTTAAAAATTGATACCGCACTTCGTTACGGAGTTGAAAGTTTGAATAAAAAAATATATTTCATACAATTTAAATTTGAACAGAGGTGACGTCAGATTTGCTACAGTGTAGAACTTTGGGTGGAAAAAGGGTTTTACCCTCAAATTTAATTTTGATCCCTAAATTTGTTTTACAGTGCCATTCGATAGTACACGCCGAGGTTTCTCAGTGTTTGAAATATTTGCACTTATTTCAATGCCACCCTGTATAGGCAAAGACATATAAAACTGCAATAAGACTTTATAATAATTTAAGAATGAAGCACACACAGATATTGAAGTAAAGTTGAAATTTTGAAATTCAAATTGATATAGATTACCGAGTGTTCCTTCAAATTTTTGTATAGACTAAGGACAAAGATCTATGAGGAGTTTGGACAAAGCACGTTTGAATTTGCGAACATGCAGGATAGTTTTCAAGTTTTGTGGCAGCGAATTGAACATGTGGACACCTGAAGTGTTCGGTGACCTTTTGGTTAGTTCCAGGTGCTTGTATTGTGAGAGTGCTTGTCACTAGTGTTCATGTACAAATTTTGATTCTGATGAACATATGTCATAAGTTCAAGAATGTTCATGCCAGTGACTGTTAGAATTTCATTTTCTTTAAATATGCTCTTACATGAGTGTGTTGCTGGACAACCAACTAGGTATCTTAGAATACGCTTCTGAGCAAGAAATACATTAGTTGCTGCAGGAGTGTTCCCCCGTACAATAATACCATAGAAAATTCTAGAATGCACTTCTGCAAAATGGAATTTTAGGAGATGACTCAGATGCAGTGCACTTTTGAGATTTCTTATTTGATAAAACTTGGTTCAAGATCTTACATAACAGTGAACTATTTAGGGTTAGTACTTCGAAATAATGAATTAAAATGTATCACTGAAACAGGCCCATTCTGACTATAAACCCAGAATTCTGACACTGTTTCCCACATGATGATTTCATGACGACGGTCTTCTGATCACACACCTGAAGTTAACACGTCATACTGATCACGTCCCAATCGCCTACCTACAACGTCCAGCAGTCCTTCCGACACGTCCGAACTGTCAATTTTTTTCCAGCTACCCTGCTACATATCCCTGTGCACGGACGACGTGTGGGGCGTGAGAAAAGCATGCGCCGAGGTGGTGATGTTCCTGTCGTGCGCTTGCGATACGCGCACGCGCAAAACGTTGCTCACGCCCGTGTTCACCAAGCTGTTGCAAGACGATTGCCGATGGGTGAGGATGTCCGCCTTTCAGGCCTTGGGACCGTTCATATCGACCTTCGCCGATCCGACGATCACGAATTTGGGCTACAACAAGGGCGGCGATTTGGTGTTGCTCAACGAGGAAGGTACAGAGTTCACGTGAGTATCTGGAGATGATCGGTGGGAGGGAGATGTACAGTGCGAAGGTTATTAGAAGAGGTAGGTTGTCTCGGTAACTTCCAACCAATCAGCGCCAGCGCGGGGTACCGTCAATCAAAGTGCCCCCAACAGTATTTCTAAGACATACTATTAGAACATTTTTGTGAGTTCCAATAACTCGTATATAGAGAGGGATCTTGAAGATTCGTGAAATATTACTAGACTTATTATTATTTCTTCCTGTATGTATAATTTATTTTATCTACTCACTGAATCGAAAGTAGGCGTTTGCTCCCTCATTTGAGGAAACAAAGTTGTCAATTTACTCCCACGGGAGGAAAAAAATATGAATTCCCGTGGGAGGTAAAATAAATTGTCATCAGCATGCATCCTTTGACGTCGATATACCTATAAAATCTGTGCAATCCAAGTAATCAGTGTCTTTATCACTATTATAAAACAAGTAACAATAATTAATATATATCGAAGACTGGAACCTTTGGCACAATAATACACTACACTGTTTTACCACTAACCAAACCGATTTTTTAACGCCTCGACACGTGTTTCGCTAACTATGTTAGCATCTTCAGAAGAAGATTGAAACTGATGTACTTACATGAACATTCTGACTGGCATAATTCTGCAATTGAACCCAGAATTGTTGCTTTTAATTTAATCATGCAAAAAATCACAGAATTCTGCTAATAGCAAGTCAAATCTGAGGAGGCAATGGAAAGGAAGTTGTCAAACTAAATCTTGATTTTTTTTTGTACAGGATAAATATGTCTCGCACCCTGTCTATGACCGAACAATTATCTATCATGAATGAGGAGGAGAAGGTGAAGGTGGATATTTTTACGGAAGACCAAGAGGAAGAAGATGCTGAAGAGGTTATGTCAGAGGATTCACGTATTTTAGGGGGGGTATGGGATGTCCACTTCAAAAATGAAATGGCCAAAGCGGCAGAAGAAAAGGCCGAAGCGGATGAAACGTCCAAAGATGAAAACAAATGTGATAACATCGATGAAAAAGCGAAGGAAGAATTGGACAGTGTGATGGAAAAATTCCTATCGTTGATGGATGACGGATTAGACGAAGAGGAAGTCGTCAAAGTTTTGCCACCAGATAAGGACGAAAAAACCGAGGGATGTAATGAATTTCAAGGGCCTGATATAGAAAAAACGCCCGAACCCGTTGAAACATCGAAAGCCAAAACATGTGATGAAATAGATAAGAAACTTGAATTCCAATTGATGATGGAAAACGGATGGGATGATGGAGATTCAGATAGCGACAATGAAAATGAATCTCGGAACTGTAAAGAAGAAGCAATCGGCATGACAACGAAACCTAGTACTGATTTAATTAATGTAGTAGAAAGCAACGATCACAAAAAGGTAAATTTCAGTAATAAGGGGTGTGATACTATAGAGGACGATTTGAGTTTGTTTAATTGCCACAATTATTGGTACGTTAGTCCCGAAATGCCCTTAGACCCTTTCCTCGTTGCCGGCGGAGATGCGGCTGTCGATTCGAATGGGGCGAACGATGTAGCGGTAAGTTATCATTCGTTTCTTTTCTTTGCAATTCTAATTATTTGGCATAAAGATCTGGTTGTTCAGTGTCAGTGCAATTGTATTGAATTTTCTGAACTTTGGACCTGTTCCCATCAAATCAATGGCTCAATTAGAGATCAACATGTGCTCAATGGGCTAGTGTACTGATTTTGTTTTCTTATTTCATTCTTGATCTTGACACTAATTCTCTTGATTTCATTTTTTTTTTCGAGAATTTTCTGGATGGGTTTAAGGTCTTGAAATAACGGATGGAGCCACCGTCTTCAATCATTCGAAATTTGCCACTCTAGAACTTTTGACAGTTATGTAAAATACGTAGTTAGTATAGAAATTGTCTCTAAACATTGATAAATCATTATCAATTGCTCTCTTATAATATACTGTGTCCAATATGAGGGTGTGTATCATGGTGATAGTTTTTATATTTTTCTGACGTTATTTAACCCTTTCATTGCGGGAACCGGAAAAACCCGCAAAACGTTAGTACACCAACTACGCGGGAGACGGCTTTTCACGCACGTGTTTTTAACGCATTCATTGCGGGAACCCGGCGTTTCCGTCTACGTATATTGATATGTCAAGATGCAACTAAAGATGTCTCAACAGGATTTAACGATTGTAGATGCGGTTTTCATTTTATTCAATATTTCAGTATCGAAGTAGTGACTGCATCAGTTGGTTGGTTTTTATTTGTTTCAAGTGAATTTAAACCACGATGGCTCAAGATATCTCGATGACGATCAAATTGAAGAGTTGTTGTATGTTAAAAAGAACTGAATTCTGCTATGCGCCTCGTGATGTACCACTGTGTATTATAAAATATTTTGAAAGGTATCATACTGTCAAAAATTATCAAATTCCATTTCATATATGGGAATATTTTCAATTCATTATAAATATAAGGAATCGCATTATAACATTTCATTTTAAATAGAGACTATTGAAATTTAACTTATTTTAGGTTGAAATATGTAAAAAAAATCGCATTCACAAGTTATCCTGTGGTTACGGGAGACGGATGTACACGTCCGTACCTGACTTGCGTATACCGGGAGACGGGCGTTCCCGCAACGCTAAATTTCCCCCCGTTCTGAGAGCACGACTATCAAAATTTTACCCGCAATGAAAGGGATAAAGAGATACAGGAAAACAACAGACACTTTCTCATTGTCACTTTTTTAGCCCTACAAAACAGCGGTGAGGGATTTTCCGTACCACGTTTCGTTTCAGAGAAACCATCATCAACTTCATCCCATAATAGACAACCTTTTCTTGTCACACTGTATGTGGATAGATTCATAGTTGCTTTATTCTCAACTGGATGATATCTCCTTCATACTGGTACTAAATGTGTTCAAATGTATGATAGAAAAGCGTCATTGATTCACACATTGTTAAACGTGGCTACATGGCTTCACATCTTCTACCCACAGAACTTATAACTTTTATATCTCACGACTAGAATGCGTATCTAATATGGCGGATGAGCAAATCATGCACCAGCTGCAAAACTGTAAGTGAACCATTACCAGTGGCGGCGTTTGAACTCGTGCGAAATGTAAGTGGACGCCAGTGGCGTATCTCGAAGATAAGATTGTAGTATACGAATTTTCGGAAATTCCGAAGATGAAAATGTCAATAGGAAATCTGGATTTTCTAAGTAAATATGAATACTGCTCATTTTTCTGCACTCTAATCGTCAGATCTTAGTTTTTGAGAAAGGAATTCACTGCATTTTATTTAAAATAAGGATTTTTCTCATACTATTATTTTTGAACATTTTATAATATATTCAATTGTTATGGTGCATGGTTTCAATAAGTATCATTCAAAAATACTCTTTCCACTTCAAATAGAGACTGAAAGGCTATATGCCAATATAAACTGAAGAGGATGATTTCATTAGGCTGAAAGATATTGGGTATCTCATTGAAGGTACCACGAATCACCCATAGAGAACATGGAATTATACCCCAAATCGAATGGTCTCTTCCTTTGACTGCTCTCATTGACATATTTGAAGAACTTTCAGAATTCAATCCTGATTGATCAAAAACAATCAATTGATCATGTGAAAACAATGTTATTAAATCATCTGGAAATTCGAGGACAGTGTTTTCACAGCTTCAACTGAAAGCGAGAATCAAGATATAATGTTGGTTTTCAGTGATGCATCACATCTCCGTGATTTTGCTCAGAAGAAAACCATCCTCTGTGAAATGAATTGAACAGATGTTCAGATGATGGCCCTTCCAAGTATGAATGTATCCCAAGACCATTCTTTGTAATTGAAACCTGTAACCTCGAGTACATCTTTTGTGATGTGTACAGATAGGCTTCAGAAGTATTTTAGATTATAGAACTTTTTACTTTTCCCTCATGTTCATCAAGGAGTTATACAGTCTTGAATATATCACTTTATCACAATAACCAAGTTTAATATTGATATTACCAAAGATCTATCAATTATATTTTTTACTTCGGAAATCAATTCAAAGACAAGCAGTCACAAGTGGCAGCTAATAAAACTGGCAACATTTTGTTGTTTGTAAACAAACCAATGAAGATGCATGACCTACGTCTTGGTAAATTCCCTCCTATCCTGTATTATTACACAGTCAAACCATAGGATCGGGTGTTCTAGTCATGAGATTATGAGTTGTGTGCTTCTAATTTGTAGTTAGACAGGGCAAAGCACAGTTGCCTAGTCACCAACGGATATTTACCGAAAGTTTATAGTCATATTGCACGTGATTTGGTATGTGGACATAAAATGCAATTAATCCTGTTATGCAATTTTTCCATGTGATAAGAATGTGCATTCTGTTCATTTGTCGACTATTGATTACTACTCTGTTCGAATCCAATGATATTACTCGCTTCAGTCGCTTCCGACATTTTCCACACAACTCAACTACAATTTGCGACTTGGCAAAGTGTCGGCTGAATTTGGTCGAGTTTCAGCGAGGGTGACGTAGCAATATTAACAACTGACGTCATCAAGGTCGATATCCGATGGCGGAATGACACGTTTGGGTTCAAACCATGCCATAATTCTTTAACAACTCTTAATTGCACATTGGCTCATAATTTGAAACATACATAAACATTGAAAAGATGTGAAAAATCTTTTGTTGTTTTTGAGAATACAGTGTGCAGTATGATTTTTGGTTTTGGTTCAATGTGAAAAGTTCGATACCAATTCATTAGCCAATTGAATGTTTCTAATGTCTCATTCTCCCTTTGTGACCCCTGAGTTTGTAAATTCGAATTGTTGGAAACCTTCAACTCATGGACTATTATTGCAATTCCTGAAATTTTAAACTGTTTCAAGAAAACACATATCACAAGGTTTGACATCGCTAAAAAAATAGTCAATATAAGGAACTCAACCCCATTTCAAATTCTCTGTTGGATTGAAGTTTATCAATACATGGAATAAGGTTCTACTATAAACATTACAATATCAAAACTGCACTGAATAACCATTTCTTTAAAAAACATGGTGTAATAACTATCAGTATTCTAACAGTGTCCTAAAAGTCAAAATTATTACTAAATTAGAAATTGAATATTATAAAGAGGAAACACATTTATTTCAGCACAAACATCCATTCTAATCACTACTACCCACAACTTTCATTCAAGTATTTAGGGGAAAATATTCATTCATATTTCAACTTCATCTGCTTTTCATTTTATTAATTTCGCTTTGTTTTTTCCTTCAAATGAATGTTGGTATATCCAGCTGGTCCGTTTTTGAAAAGCTGTAAGTATTTCAGATGGCATATAATATTTCTTTATCATCCAAAATTACAGCAATGTAAGTATCTTGAAACTTATTTTCCAGTCTCGTTTATTTTCCTTCAACAAATATTGTTATCATCAATCCGTCTGTTATCACCTTGTATAATTATGTTATAGAGCATATTCCTTCCTATCATGCGGCCTGGTGGGGAGATAAATCGATGTATGATGCTCAGTGGCGTATTCATAGGGGAAAGAATATCATTTAAAAATATATCGTCAACTGGAATCTTTGGCACGATAATCCTCTACACTGTTTTACCACTAACCAAACCGATTTTTTAAACGCCAGTGATACCTTTCTCTATGTTAGTATATTCAGGATAAGATTAAAACTGTTCTTCAGATTTTGTAGAACCGTTTAAAAATAGTTATTTATTATACAAGGGAAAAAAGTAGTAGATTTTAGCTCCAGGTTGAGTTGTCCCGACGCGTAGCGGAGGGAGACAAAAAACCGTGAGCTTAAATCTAATATTTTTTTTCCCTGTATAATACTCTTTTTTTTGTGACAGAAGAAAGGACGAATCAATATTGAGAAGATATTACATTATTTTGAAATCTTGAAATTATCGACGTGAACTTTTAAGTTTTTAACAGTAGGGACACCTGCGTTGTAGGCATCTTTATCATTCTTTTGAAGTAATCAAATATCTGATGTCACTTCTGTCAGTCTAATTCTGTGATTTGATTTCAAAAAATTGCGAATTTAGTGGTTGTTTAGTAATATACGTAACCTCGAAGTCGAATGGAAGATAAAAGGACTTGCAGTTCTTTCTCGGAGACGGTATTATTGACTCATTTTTCGGAAATATAGCACAACAAAAGCCATCAACAGTTTATATATATTTATATGTGATATGTATCCAGGAAAAAAGTACTAACCTTTTTTACACGGGAAAAAAGTAATTTATGAAAAGTGACATTTTATAACCTGCCAACGGAGATGAAATGCCAAACTTTTTTCCGGTCACAGATAAAATCATCTTGGTTAGTGGTAAAACAGTGTAGTCATTTAAAAATGTTCAAATTGTTGAAAAGTTGTGATAATTCTATGATATGCAGGAACATGTTATTTTACTATATCACTATTGATGCTCATTGAGATCAATTGATATTATATTATCAGGGGATCATAAAAATTGAGATTAAACTTAGTGGAATCCATAATAAAGGGCATATTGGAATAATATTCAAATCATAAGAAGAAAAAAATAACAAAAAAAGGAAGAATCAAGAATACGGCGGATTCTTTAGCTCATTTTCAGAAAAGTAATGCAACTACTATTGAAATTGGAGTTTTTCTCTTCATCTGTACCAGTTGGAACCAATCTGTCCGTTACAGTCCACGTTTCATGTTTATTTATAATATTTTATTTATTGAATCCTACGCAGTAGAATATATCGGATACGCCACTGCTCATGTTGTGACGTCAGTTTCCTTTTCCGCTTGGTTTCGTGTATCTTTATCTGTGCCACATGTTCATTTCGTTCACTTGAAAGCATGCTCAGCTTGTGTAACAATCCGACTTCCTACAAAATAACTAAAATGAGTTGAAAGTCTTGGTTTTCGTTGCTGGTACATTTTTAGAAGAAGGTATGTTTCAATTTTATATCAATAGCCAACTTTTGAATACAAGTTTCCTTGAATGAATTCCATGAATAAATTCCTTGAATAACTTTATAATAGTTTGATGATTATTCATTATGTTACATAACGCATTCGACAAAATTGAACTAGACAAAAAGCGTTTTTCATGATGATTTATGACGACGGTCTTCTGATACATATATGAAGCACAATTTTACGTCATACTGACCACGTTTTTTTTTCGTAAAATTCGATCGTTTTCGAACACGTTTCAAGTTTAGGTAATACTCCTTTCTGTTGGATTCCAGGCGCATTTGGAAGATTTGTACTCGGCGATAAATTTAAGTAACAATCTTGATTCGACGAAACCCAATCAGAATGACTCGACCGTTTCATTGGAGGAGGAAGTGTATAATGTATGTGAAAGTAAGTGATTTTTCGGGTATTTGTTGCTTTATTTGCGGCCAGCGAGGTTTCAGGGTTAGAAAACCTTTTCGATGGTTTTTTGATTGAATCATTGCCTCGCCATATAAATTGTAGCAGATGTTTTTCTTCGATTGATTTTGTTTTTTCTAAGGTACCATATGTTACAACATTTGAGTTATATATTAAAGTTGTTGATATAGCAAAATCAGTATATTGCAAACATATTTCAATATTAGGTTCCACAACGAAAAAACAGTAGGTACCATTTATAAAATTCAACATTTTGTATTGATTTGTGAAAATTGGAGCAGGGCTTGTTATTTTTTTTTTCTTGTAAAATTTTTAAAATTACTATAATTTGTTATTTTTCTGTGAAATTTTATTTCTTCAAATTATTCGTTCAGTACACATTAATTTTTCGCGGTATTGTATGAAAAAAGTATGTGTTGTAAATTCGTTTCAGTATGACAATGTTCAGTTTACTTTTTTGAAATTTCTATGGTGGTCATATTGAATTCAGATATTTTTTCGCGGTATTGAATGAAAAAAGTATGTGTTGTAAATTCGTTTCAGTATGGCTATTTTCAGTTGAACTTTTTTGAAATTTATACAGGGTGTTTCAAAAAAACCTGACCCCCTTGCTGGGGTAGGTAGAACACTGCAAAATAAATTGGATTTGTTCAGTGGAAAAATGTCGTAACGGCATCCGTTTTCAAGATACAAGGTGTTGAAAAAATGATTTTTTTATACATTTTTTACGATTATGTCGAAACTACTGGCAACATTGTAATGAAATTTTGTATGAATGTTTTTTTGAAATCTGACACATGGCATGAATTTGTTTTTTTATCTGACTCTCATAGATGGCGCTAGTTACACGGTTCGTATCTAGTAGTTTTAAACATTACTTTTTTGAGGTCAGATTTTTCAATCCAAATTTGATGTGAACTTGAACATCATTCAATTTCGCACCAAAAAGGTACTCTTGGTGAAACTCGATGCTGGGTTCCGTTGTCGAAATATTCCGATTTGAAAATGATGAAGTGATAACTGTTGCTGGTATAAAGCTATGTATTAGAGTGAGTATTATAAAAAATCATCACCTATTTATTGCAAACCGAAAAAAATAAAACATTTCTAATGCTAAACTTATTGATTTAACAATGATTCACAAGAATAACATTGAAACAAATTCCACTAAAACATGGATTACACAGTTTCGTTGTGTCAAGCAAAAAGTGTATGCTATACAGAGGTAAATTCACGTCTGGAGTTGCAAGTCAGAATTGAACATCACTTAGATGACCTTACAGCTGATCCTCAACCGTTTAGAAAAGTAATGCTTTCATAAAAAAAAATATCGAATCGTGTATTCGTGGAAACGGAGGACATTTTGAACACTTACTCTAACTGAGTCAATATTTTATGTTTCTAGTCAAATATTTCTCAATTTTCTACAAGTGATTCTTTGTTCAATCAATAACCACAGCACAAGAATGATGTTATTGTTTTTGAATCTGAATAAACAAGTAATTGATCTCAATAAAATGCATTTTACACGAGCATCAGTTATTACTCCACTATTTTCAAATCGAAATATTCCGAAAACGGAACACAGTATCGAGTTTCACTAAGAGTACCTTTTTGGTGTGAAATTGAATGATGTTCAAGTTCACATCAAATTTGGGTTGGAGAATCTAACCTCAAAAAAGTTATGTTTGAGACTAATCGGTACGAACCGTGTAACTAGCGCCCTCTATGAGAATCAGGTATGAAAATAAATGCATGCGATGTGTCAGGTTCCAAAAAACATTCATACAAAATTTCATCATGATGTTGCCAGTAGTTTCGACCGAATCGTGAAAAATGTGTAAAAAAATAATCTTTTCAACACCTTGTATCTTGAAAACGGATGCCGTTACGACATTTTTTTACTGAACAAACTCAACTTATTTTGCAGTGCTCTACCTACCCTATCAAGGGGGTCAGGTTTTTTTGAAACACCCTGTATGATGGTCATATTGATTGACTTATTGTTCATAATGGCGAATAATGTTTGCATTCTCAATGGGATATTTTGCTCCAAGTTGCCAACCTGAAAACCTCTACTAATGTAGAAGCTACATTGTTTGAATACTCGAATGGCTATATTTTGATGAAATCTGATTTTAAGAGTCTACTCAGCTTTCTTGGTTGAAGTAATTCAGAAAGAAATTGTTCTTTGTGAATTCCACCTCTAATTGGTTGAAAATCGTGTTGGTCATCTATGTTACGTCAATACTGTCAATGGTGTCAATATTGTTACCAACATTTAGTTGATAAAATCATCCGTTGACCCTGAAATATGAATGCTGACCAAGGAACTCTCATGGAGAACTTTCAAACTTATAATAAATAAAAGATATGAGGGTTCCGAAGTTAGTCTGGTCACAGATCAACAAAACCGTTTGAGGCTACTCACGACTTGACAAGAACACGCTGTTATGGTTAATCATAAGTTGTTATTATAACTTCTCATTAATTCTTGTTTCTTTATATTTCATTACTACCCATAATATCTTATGCTGTGCTGTAATAAAGGTAATGTTCCAATACCTTGGGTCGAATATATTATACTTTGAGCTACCCTTAACCTATTATTTGAATATTACTACTGGCAAATCGCTAAATTAAGCCAAGCCAACCCTTCTGCCTACTACAACCATCATAGTTTTTAGTTGAGGAACCGAAGTAAGTCGACCTTCACTGTTTAATGGATGACAATTTTTTTATAAGTAATTTAGTATGTTAAAAATTATAAAAATAATGGGTTGCCTGCAAAAGACCCCGTTTGATAGTTGAAGTTGCGCGCAGAGCGACCACAGGATGTAAGAGAGTAGTTTATGCAATAGGAAATAATTGGAGCAGTTGAGTGTATCATTCTGTAGATATTCAAGAACGCTCAACAGCCCCAAATATTGCGTTTCCAAAGTGTAGCAGGTAACATAATTTCAATTCATTATTTTGAAAACTTGAGAGAAAACTTGAAGAACAACAAGAAAAATCTTCAATTTTGAAACCTTGCATATCGGAAACGAAGCCCACGCATGTGTCTTTTAACCCTATATCATTGTGTCCGCAATAAAACAGAGCTTATTTTCAAGTTCAATTCATCAACAAGTAGGTTGATAACTAGGACCAACATACCTGATTATACCTGGCAACCCTATAGTTAGACCAGGGAAAATGTAGGCAACCCTACGTTTGCATATTCTATAGGTTTTGTACTTACGGTTGGTGTAAATTTTTTTCATTGAACACATCGGTTGAAATTGAAAAATATATTTTTGAATTTTTCATTAATCATAGCCTTGCCAGGATTTCTTCAGGCAACCCATTTTTTAGTGTTTTTCGACATATTTCAAGGTTGAAAATGAAAGGATGTGCTGACTGGTCCTGTCAAGTTCGTTGAGTGGTATTGCTAGTGATGGAATGATTGAGATTTTCAAGGAACATTTCCCGTGGAAGTATCAATAAAAAAGTGAAAGGTCGCTGACTTTTCTGCGGTGTTCTAATGAGTGTGGCATCACCCTCCAGGCGAATGGCTCAGCAGAGCAAACTCCTAGAATCAGATTTCATCAAAATAAAACCATTTGAGTAATCAAACTTCCATAATGTTGATTCTACGTTCCTAGAGGTTTGCAACTTGAAGCGAAGTCTGCCATTATGAGGCCAAACAAATAGTGATTTATAAATGAGATAATAAGTCTATGATTCCTGAAAAAGTCGTCATATCGTGCGCATACTCAGTCGATACAACGTTGAAAACTTTTTAGTTTCGGTATCATGCAAAACGGTCAGTTCGGCGGCCGAGCAGGACGTCGTGCCCGAACAACTCATCCACCATTACATTTCGATGACGGACCCCTCTCTGTTGAACACCGACAACGAGATGCCGTACCATTGCGCCTACTTTTTGCCGGCCGTCGCGTCGACTTTGGGCAGCAACAATTGGCACCTGCTCAAGGACACCGTCGATTCTTTAGCTGGCGATATGCAATACAGGTAGGGTCGGTTGAGGTCTTTGAAAATTTTCAAATGAAAATTTCACACCAGTAATGTTTAATCAACCAAAATGGTTTTGAAGTTCGAAATTTCATCTCTGTAGTCAGGTTATAAAATGTCACTTTAAATAAATTACTTTTTTCCCACGGGAAAAAAGTGGGTACTTTTTTCTCGGATAGGTACATATCACATATCCCTTTTCGTGAGAACCAGAACATTAAAAATAGTTATTTATTATACAAGGGAAAAAAGTAGTAGATTTTTTATCTCCAGGTTGTGTGGTCTTCCAACGCGTAGGGTAGGGAGACAAAAAACCGTAAGCTGAAATCTAATATTTTTCCCGTGTATAATACACTATTTTTTTCTGTGACAGAAGAAAGGATGAATCAATATTGAGAAGATATTACACCCTTTAGCTCAAAAACTAAGAGGTTTAGGACATATATTATTATGTTGATATAAAATGTTCTCCTCGAAATCACGCGAGGATTCACACTTTGTATTATCGGCACTCAATTAACACCCCCCCCCCCCCCCCGTACAGGGTGATTCGCCATAAATGTCCCCCCCCTCTAGCTCAGTTACTTCTGAACTGATTGCAAAATTTTAAATATCTGAAAAAGATTTTCGATAATTCCGCTACATCAGAAAATACAAGGTGCTCGGAACAAACGATCTACTAGGGTACTTTTTGATTTTTTTGAATGGAACACTTTATTTTCCATTGCATTTTTAGATTCTCCCTGAAGAGCTGATTTCATCAATGTATCACACTTGGGGTCTAGCGAAAATGATACAGAGATATAGGGTGTTCAAAATCGAGATTTTTCAGCTTTAGCATTTTTCTGTGACGGAAACTATTCATTATCGGTCAAAACGGCTCTCATGTCCATATCTTGACTGTTGATTTACTATCTACTGATATTTAATAATTGGAACAGATACAGGGTGATCAGAAAGCCGTTTTGACCAATAATGAATAGTTACAAAAAAATCCTAAAGTTGAAAAATCTTGATTTTGAACACCCTATACCTTTGTAATCATTCCCGCTAGACCCCAAGTGTGATGTAATGAAGAAATCAGCTCTTCAGGAAGAATATAAAAATGCAATAAAATACAGGGTGAAAAAATCAACTAGTACCCTGTAGATCGTTTGTTCCAAGCACCTCGTATTTTCTGATGTAGCGAAAAAAATCTGAAAAATTATTTCTGATGATTTTTAAAATTTTGAAATCGGATAAAAAATAAGTGAGCTAGAGGAGGAGGCCATTTATGGTGAATCACCTTGTACAGGGTGCGCCTCTTAAAATGGAACCCCTCCTTAACTCTTTTGTTTTCAGAGATGTGAAGAAATGTTGAATTGAAAAGTTGCTTGAAACGACAGATACTTTCATTTCGTGAAGTTGCCTCATATACAGGGTCATTGTTACCTTGTCTTTTCCCTGGTTGCTATTTATCCATATGTGACATAAGAAAAGATCAAGCGTACGAGATATCTTATATAAAAGTTTGAGAAAATATTATTCCCAGGGCTCAGGGAGAGAGGGTGTGGAAATAAGCAAGGCTCAATTCAGATCACTTTGTTTAATCATAGAAGATTTAATTTATCATATCCATATACTTATACTTAGTTCTACCGAAACTTCTGGCTTGGCAACCCCGAGATTTGGGTCCCCACGGAAAATTAATAAGCGCGGCAACACTGGTTTGTTTGTGATTGACAGTGCGCAGAGAACTCAAGTAATTTTGTGTTCCGTGTCATACGTGGTCAGACGTCAGATATTACGTTTCACATTCTAAGTGATGACACAGGTAAACAACCATCCTAATCGTCGAATGATACAAAATCAAAATATACTGATATGAGAAACTAATAAGTGGTCTTATGGGATGTTCTTCTTACACAATAACAATGAAATGACAAATTGAGAAATGAGAAATAGGTATGCTTCAAATGACCTATATTAGCGACCCCTGATTGTCTTCACAGTGGGAGGTAGGCAGTCTTATCTCTATATTGACTAGTGAATTCAAAATAAATACAAAACACAGTAATGATTTTGACCTACGTCCTACTCACTTATACAAGTACGTAGCTCTGAAGGTTCCACTTCAACCTTCCAGGGTACCTTCAGTATATATACTGAAAGTGCAGTCTTAAACCTATGAACACTTATCACTATATATATAAATACTGAGAAACACCCTTAAGATTACTAGGTGAGTAATCCTGTACACTGCACCTAATACTTTCAAAGTAAATTATAAATTTTGGCAAACCTCATATAACTAACTCCCTGAGTGAGTTCTAACACTGCTGTCGTTGAAGGTATGAGAGATGCAGGACAGTTAATAATCAGTTAAGTCACATAGAAAGCAAAGCGAAGCAGTTATCATGCACTAACAATAATAATATGGAACAGACTCGCCTGGTTATACTGCTGAGGTTCAGTTTGCAGCACAGAAGTCTTTGGGCTTCCTCAGACTGATCGTTTCATCTTAGAGTACTTTCTTCTGCGATTGATGTCTGATCTTCAAATGCTACTCTAATCAAGCAAAAGGTGAATAGCATAGGTAATGCAGTACTTAGATTAGGATTCAACTATCAAGCAAATCATGCATGGTATCATAAGCTCAATGGTACAAGCAAGTACGGGATGTCTGAGAGGGTATATACTAGAAGGCCTACAAGAAATGATCTTATGTTAAGAAAAGCAACTGGAAAGAGTTCTGGATATGAGTATAAGAAATTAGTACAATTGAGCCAAGAACCTACCTCAATGATGATGTGTGGCCTTTAGGTAAGTTTTTATCAACAAATCTTGTGGGTAGTCAATTGTTGAATCAAAGATCCATCTCCATGATGCAACCTATATCCCTTGATATAACATTATTTTGATTTCAACGATTATTTTAACTACCTAACTTTTCTTTTATAGGGAAAATTAAATCCACCGAACAGGTGCTAGCACTTCCAACAAGTAGCCAAATTATCCCAAAGAAACACGTGTTGAAAAATGTCTTGATTTTTACAAAAAAATACCTATCTTCGATTTCAACCTTGGCCTTGAATTTTTTGACAAATGGAAATTGCGATTGAACCATGATCATTCATGAAACGGTCAAGTTCGCGAGCCTACGATCCATTTCAGATCCACCTTAATAAGAGAGTGACGTCACGCGGCCTGACTAGTCGGTTTATCAATCTTGAGCGTAGATCAGTACCAAACGGAAGGATCAAATCATTCACGGGCTCGGTTCTCTAGACGGACCAAGGTGAAACGATCAGTGTGAAGCGCGCGAAGATTCAGATTGTTCTAATCAATATGCCCTGAGGTTGATCTCAACTATCAAGTTGGCTGTTTACCCGAAAAGAAATTTGATTATTAATAAATTGAAATAAAAGCAGTATTGTTTCATTATTTTTATCAGTGGAATTTTAAACCGTAACATCATTTGTTTCTCCGGAAAGGACATTAACTATGATTATTTCAATGGAACACCCTATATATTTTCTGACATTCCGATAGAGCCTTTTTTTCTGATTCCAAAAATATATATGAGTTGCGTATACGGATGAAAAATAATTGAGTTATTGTTTATCAAAGTTAACCAAAATACCGAATCTTCCAAAAAATGTCGATTCATATTTTTTTGTATCGAGATTGAACTATTTCAATACCATACTAAACAATACTATAACATTTCCTTGGAGCTTGAACAATATACAGAGAAGTGCACAAAAAACGGCCAGGATTGTAACTTTTGAATTATTCTGGATAGGATTTTGAAAATTGGTGGATAGCAAGTATACCAAATTGCTCATCAATTGATTAAACAATTTTTCTTATATCGCTTCCAGTTTCCCCGGAAACGACCCCAACTTTTCATTTCTAAATGGGACACCCTGTATTGTATTCCATAATCGGTTAGGGATTATCATGAAGAATTCAACGATACCGGGTTTGATAGGGTTATTTCAAACAATTACAAAGATATTTGCGTTCGAAGTTTCCATATGCTCAATTGGTGTGCCTGCAATATCAAAACTTCTTTCTCTGTCACACTCATTGAGCATATGGAAACTTAGAACGCGAATATCTGCTAATCGTTTGAAATATCCCTATCAAACCCGGTATCGATGAATTCGTTATGACAATCCCTAACCGATTATGGAATACAATACAGGGTGTCCCATTTAAAAATCAATAGTTGGCACCGTTTCAAGTAAAACCAGAAGCGATAGAACAAAAATGGTATACCAGCTGACCACCCATTTTCAAAACCCTATCTCGAATAATTCGAAAGTCACAGTCCTGGCCGTTTTTTGTGCACTTCTCTGTATAAATGTTATTTCAGAGCCCACTATATTCAACTTACATTAGATGATATGAAGTGAAGGTCCATAATGCGGGATTTTGGTAAATTTTGATAATCAATAAGTCAACTATGTCTCATCCAAATATGCAGCTCATATATATTTTTGAAATCAGAACAGAAGGCTTTATCGACATGTTGTAAATTAAATAGGGCGAAATTAAATAGGGCGTTCCATTGAAAAAATCAAAGTTGATGTCCTTTCTAGAAAAACGAATGACCCTGTATATGAAGCAACTTCACGAAATTAAAGTTTGGGTCGTTTGACACATTTTTTTCATATCTCTGAAAATGAACAACTTAAGGGGGATTCCATTTAAGAGGCGCACCCTGTACGTGAAATGAGGAAACCATTGGTTTTTGAGATATCTTACGTCGAAATCTCGAAACCCTGCTCAAACAAACTAAATATACAGGGTGCGAAAAACGGTGGCGAGCAGCTTGCACGAACTGGCCGTCATCCTGGGTCCGGAAATCACCACCGCCAATCTGGCGCCGCTCTTCGAGGGCTTCATCAAGGACCTGGACGAGGTGCGCATCGGCGTCCTCAGGCACCTCGCGCTGTTCCTCGAGCTGGTGGACGCGGCGAAGCGGGGCGCCTATTTGCCACGGCTGGGGGAGTTTTTGCAGACGGACAACGAGTCGAACTGGCGGTTCAGAGAGGAGCTGGCCAGGCAGCTGACGGCGGCCCTGCGGCTGTTCGAGCCCGGCGAGACGGCGAAGCACGTGTGGGTGATCGCGATCGATTTGCTCTGCGACAAGGTGGCTGCCGTCAGGCAGGCGGCGATGGTTCTGGTAAGTCTTCGGTTTGTTGTCATTGACTTATCGCAACCCCGCTTCAAGAGTGACACAATTAAAAAACGCGGATTTCAAGATGTGGGTTTGTACACTACACTGTTTCACCACTAACCAAACCGATTTTTTAACGCCTCGACACGTGTTTCGCTAACTATTCAATCTCTTATAACGAATTCCATTGGTAAAACTGGCGTCAATACCTACATAGCTGTGTTTTCTATTTTGTATTTCGCTTCCTCATACCTAATTTGATAAAATATAAAACAAAATAACTTTTACATGCAGCAGGCTGTCATGGACATGGATTTCATAATATTTCCATATTCACAGATTGATTAATAGCACTCAACAATAAACTTCATACAAACTGGCGATAGGCACTGAATTTTAATTTGTATTGAAGAACTTTAGTATGATCGGCATTTTAAACAAACGTTTTCTATATCAACCTAACCTCTCACAACTTGACAGTTGACACCATAGGTCGCGTGCAAGAACTGTCAGATGACCGACCCTGGAGGCAAAACATATTTGTTTACAAGTGATCGAAATAGTTTTCCACAATTATTTTGGCATATGAATCGTATTTTTCCGCTATTCATCAATTCGCTAATGCCATCACATTGTGCTGTTGTAAAATGCACAAAAACTGCAGCGGAAGATGAAGAAATCCGGATGGTACATTATGATTCAAAAGTAAGTACCTACTATTATAGTCACTCACATAGTTTTCATTTTTGAAATTTGGTTATTTCTCTGATTTCTCATCGGAATTCCTTCTGCAATAGGATCAGCTAATAGAAATATACCTGAAATTTCTAGAATGATGCAAGAAGATTGGATTCATGCAATCAATCGGGAGGACTGGTCTGACATGCTGACGATCGTGTGTGTTGTAGACATTTTCAATCTATTAGCAGCATTAGCTTGTATTGCAGAAGTGGCAAAAGGCAGAAGGAATTTTAATAAGGAATGACAACATTTCATAATGCTAACTATGTGAGATTACTATTTACCTGAAAAATTATATTCCCTAGTCTCTTGCTGCATTTTTTGTGCATTGTATAACAGCACAATGCGAAGGCATGCTTGAATTAATGAATAACGCAAGAAACACGATTCGTATGCCAAAATATTGTGAAAAACTATTTCAACCTTTTGATTCCTCTGTAACCAAATGAAAAGTGAGGTTGTGTTTCAATAATTCACAGAAGAATGAGGTTGTGTTTCAATATTTTGCCTCCAGGGTCGGTCTTCGTGCACGCGACCCATAGCGTCTAGATACTGAACGCATCATATATTGCGATTCTGGCTACTGACGAGAGTAGACGCGCGACAGTATTTGGTTCGTCCTGTCTCTAGTTGCGTGTTAACTCTAGATAGCAATCAATGTATCGGCACTTATAGTTACTTACATAACCGACTGCAAATGAAAATATGATATGCAATTATTGTTTAATACATGAAATAATGAGTACAACTCGTTTCAATGATGATTATCGAAAATCCCTACTCCTTCAAAACAAATTATGTTGCTTTTAGGCAAAATTTGTTTCTCAGAATCAAAAGGATTTGTATTTCGATAATCATTATTACACTGTTTGTTTACATACGAATATCACTTTTATATTTGGAGTGACTGCATGATTTGCGAGGGTTCAGGGTTAAAAAACCTTCCTTGATGGTTTTTCAATTAAATCATTTCCTCGCTAAATTAAATGTAACAAATGATATCCTTTGATCAATTTCAATGTTCATATGGTTTCATTTGATACGACAATTATTATTATTTATTATTATTATATTTTCATATATCTGGAATAACAATGATCATTCTCAAGTAACTGCTCATTTGGGTTCCACTTTCCACAGTTGTATCATTTATATAACCATCAGTTACTACGCTTGCAAAACCGGGCGTTCAAGTGCTACTTCACGCCTGGTCGTACATATCGCACGTTGAGAACAATAGTGTGATAATTCAAAATTCTTCGTTTTGAGAAAATCGACTTTGAAGATTTTCACTTCTTGATGATGAATTCGTCTCTGGTGAACCTCATTCACCGCGAAAAGTATATCTAGTTCAAATTAATTATATCATCATGTCATGAGCTTACCTGAGAAATTTCCAGTTATAATATTTTCGAATATTTTTTTCCAATTTCTCAAGAAATAGTTTCGACATGTCACAGTTTTGATCCATCATATTCGACAATTTTAAGTGATGTCACGCCTGAACAGCACCAATTTTCTGAGATGTTACATTTCCAAAAATTGCCGTATAACATGTATTATAGGTATTTTCATTCATTTGTAGACCCTATTATATTCATGACTGGATTTATTAAAGATGTGTTCTGAGTTCCTACCACTTTAGCAAAATTCGAATCGTGCCCTTCGGTTGCTGAACATTCCTCTTTTGGCAGTTTTTCTATGTTCTTTAGTTTCTAAATAGAAACAAACGGGTATTGGTAGAAGAAAAATGTTGAGGTGAATAGCATTAAGATTCATTGAACATTCCCATAAAGTTGAAATGCCATAGTTTGGGAAGAGGAAGTGACTGGCACAAATGAGGTGTAGTTAAATTTTCTGAAAGAAGGAAATACCTATAATGAATAAAATTAAAATTCGAAGCTATTCTTGGGAATTCTTTCAAACACCCTTTTTTCCAAATGTTCAATCCGAAGGAATTATAATATATTTTTCAAAATTGGAATTTAAACATGAGGTGGAGCTTGATATTCCATGCAAAGAGAAATATTTAAATTATACATAGATTCGGAAGTTTCATTCTAGTTTTGTATTTCTCCTTTTTATTTTTAAGGGCTATCACCTTGTTGCTATTTTTTCAATCTCTCTGCCAAAACTCGTATTATCTACTCCATTCCATTAAGTGAAACGCATGCAATAATGTGATAAATCGAAATATTCCATATTGTTATCGTTACAATTCAAAAATGTGTTGCATTTAATTCGTTATTTCATTTAATGATGAAAATGTAATAACGTGACTACTCAAAAAATTTCAAATTGTGTTCAATCAATAAGGTGACTTTATGACTTGTCACATTATTTATCATAAAAATTTTCTCAAAGTCAGAATACGAGGCGTATCCTGTGAAGTATTGGTGAAAACGCAGAAAGTCACTTTCTTGCTCGGCTGTAGTTCCTCCTTCTCCTCTAGTGCAATAACGTGACCAGCAATGTCACACAACAGCTATTGTACCTAGAGATGTCACGATAATCTAGAAGTGTAGAAATTTGCTATTCGACGGTGGTTCTAACTCAAAAATCAACTTTCTTGAGTTGTCACACTATTGTTCTCAACGTGCAATATGTGAAATGTTGTCAATATGTGTTGTTTAGATTTTCAAAAAGCCAATGAATGAATAATCAATAATAGATGCTGTAAAATAAACATGCTTTATTATTTGTTACTTTTTTCAGATAACTGAAATAGTAAAACACACATCCTCCGAACCCGGCCTGACGCCCTGTCTCCTGGTGAAGATAGCCGAAAACTTTGCTCATTCGAAGAAATGGAAACGGCGACAGACGTTCTGTCTGTTGTGCGCGGAACTGCTGAAGGAGCACGCCTTACCTGCGGAACAGTTCGCCTCCGAAATCATGCCGCATCTGTTGGATTTGAGCTGGGATCCGGTGGCCAATGTGCGATTAGTCGTGGCTAGATGTATATCCCAACACATTTTGAAAAATGGTGAGTTTTGTGTGATTAACTGATTGCAACCTATTCAAATTATTAGGAAGTTGTGTTCATATTGAAATGTTTTTGATCGATAGAGAAGATTAGGTCCAAAAGTTTATATCAGATATTGAGCACTGAATGTTTGGATTTTCCATGAACAGATCTGGAATGGGCTTATATCATAAAAAATGTTCATTTCATAATTCGATAGAACTCACCCAAACTAGCTCACCACCGCAAACCGTTTCTTGCTGTGAGCTCCCTACGTTTTATAAAAAATTATTGAAATCCCCGATTTTTTGGACCTCTGAAAACGAGGCGATGATGTGACGTCAAAACCCTAATACTGAAACAAGACTATTCCAGACAAAGATGAATGATACATGATTTCTGACATAGTGAATCAGCGCGAGATCACAGTTGAAAGAATTAATATATCAGTTGCCTCAGTCTCCGTCGGGCGTTTGGTATTTTCTTTTAACTATGGCAGGATGAGGTTTCTACGTCATAAGAGGGTCCGTTTTCTGAAGGTACTATTATTTATGTCCAAAAATAAAACATTCCAGTTAATTTTTCGATCGAATTATGTCGTCAATCATTATTTATGTATAAAAGGAACATTATAAACATGGTTTGAGTTAAAAGTTCTACTAAGGTGTACACGCCCATTGAATAATTTCTGTGGCATATAGGTGCTTTTGGATACTGATACAATTGGCATTCAATGAGGGCTAACATTTTCACTCTCACCAGTTGGCGCTACTAAAATATGAGTTCAGTGTCAAAATCAAAAACCTCAAGTTGTAGAAAGACATGAGTCATCTTTCGTTTTTTTTTTCTCTCAATGTGGGATTTTGAGACCATGTTCTCTTCTATAAACAAATGTTGTTTTCTGGGAATAATAAAGTTGATTGATTTATATTTATCAATTCTACCAATCCTGACCTCATGTCATTAGGGACCCGAATAATGTGTCTATGCATTGTTTGAAGTTGTTGAATTTCACAGCTCATTTCGAACGTGCTGTCTTGGCCATTCGGCAGTATACATCGAATATATGGTAACCTCAGTTTTCATGCCGTTTCATTATCGGTCAGTTGATCTTCTATCTCCACTCACGAAGCATGGTTGTCGAGTCAACAATTATAATCAATGTATTAAAAAGTTGTTAGAGACCTATGATTGTTGAATAAAACTATATCCAAATTTAATATTCATTTGACCTAATAGGAGGAAGTCATGATATTAAAGTTATTACTCTGTGACTTACACACCATAACAAATCATCATGTAAATGTTGGCCAGGCTAGAAACTTGGCAATGATGTGCCAAACGCTGAGAACTGACAAGACAACGCCCACAATCCTATGTTGTCACGTTTGGCCCACCTTTAGTTTGAATTAATATAATTATTTTTGACACAAATTCATCATATAAGACAAAACATATACGAGGGAAAATTACAAGATAATTAATTTTTTATCGCCAATTAAGGATATTACCAATAATTGATTTTATAAATTATTAAATGAATATTTCCCATCCCTATTCAACATATGGCAACTGTGCTATGGTCTGCCCCTACTTACGAAATCGTGATTTCAGTTTTGGCAAATTTCTAGCCGTTTGAAAATTGCCATAGCAGATTGATGATTTTTAGCACCTTGAAATCGACCGAAAAAAATCTTGAAAAAAATTGTAATGGATTCTATTTAAGAAATAATAAAAGGGCAATCCCATATTGATCATTTCGAATGATTATGCAGTAAACATTTTTGACTAACAAAGTAAACATTTTCTACTTACAAAGTAAACATCTAATTCAGATTATTTTTATTGGATTCGCGATAGAAAATAACACGTCGCCCCACCTGACGGCAGCAACTTGAACACTTCTGAGTGGTTTGTTTTGATGATATGACCAATAAGCACAAAAAAAAACAAATGCGAACCAATGAAAACAAAGTAAACATACCGCTTTGACAGTTTTCAAGAAATCCGATAGGTGTCGTACGCTTATTTTCTATCGCGAATATGAACCCAATATTTATGAATTGCTTATTTTCCCCAATTTTAGTTATTCAATATCGATCAATGTAAGGAAAATTTGTACATATTACTGAATCTACCAGAGTTGTAATGCATCAGAGAAGTTCAGCTAGCTCTGACAAAAATGTCAGGGTTTCAATGTGAAATAATGACAAGAATTTAACGTTGATCAGATTAGATGATCCACCTCCATGTATATTAAAGCCAAGTTTGACCTTAGTTTTTGGCTGGTTCGCAGGCGGTGCTCAGCAAAATATGACTGATTTGTCCATACTCTCGGAATGTGCTCGAGTTCATCTATCTGCAACTTGCTGAACTATCGAGGAATATCCTTTCTGAAGAAAATTACCAACTCCAATATTCTGAAGGCGTTACGATAAAAATATGTTCATCCACCCATGATGCGACATCCCTTCTTCCATAAAAACATCTTAAAATAAACTTATATATTTTGCATTACTGATCTCTACCCTTCGCCACTCAACAAAAAGTAGTTCACCTTGTTGCTCATGAATACCATCACCTACTGAATAGAATTGCTGGCTCCATCGCTCTCATAAGGATGCTTCACCTTGTTGGAATAAATATTCAATGGTGACACAAGAAGTCAGAAAACATACAAAATTGAAATTTTCGTATCATGTGAACAGACACTGAATTAATGAATTAACAAGTAGTCTTATTACTAATGATTTATTTTTGAGTCCCGAGTTTAATTCAGATGATTATATCATATACAAAACGATGATCTATGAAGACACATTTGTATAAGGCAGACTATGATTATATTTGGAAAGAAAACAAAAAATTCCTTTCGTTTTTACAGAGCCTTAATGCGGTTTTCTATTCGGTTTCAGATCATTTCGCCGATCCTAGCAGCGAACATTTCGATGGGTTCGAAACCGTACTGAGAAGGTTGCAAGCGGACAAAGATGTCGATGTGCGTCAATGTGCCGAGATCTAGATGAATTATGATGACGACATAAATCTTCCGTTACAGCCACTCGCAACAGCATCGATGTGATATAATATATCGAAAAAGTAACTGAGCAGGGTTGCTTAAGGATATGGTAATTGTGTAATATTGAGTTTTAGTTCGATTTTTCTCCGAATAGTCATCTGGATGATTTGAAGAAGATTCAGTTTTATTGTCCTCACATCAACTGTTTCAATTCAAGTAGGACCACTTATGTCAGTTTATGATCTTTATGAATTCAAGTAAAACTGTTTTTTGGAGCAAATCAGGTAAAAATGTTGAAGCCTTGCAAATATGGGGTCAATTAGGCAATCCGACATAGGTTAAAATCAATATGGCGCCTGTGGGCACATGACTAACTGAATGGCATGGCAATTAAATTGTTTTCTTTTTTGATTTCCTGTGATTGAAAAATCACCATCAACTATGAATAATTTCGTTGTGTGCCAACAGACGCATAGTTTGGCAGTTCGTTGGATTGCCTAATTGATATTCGGAAATGCCAATTTTTTTGTGAGGTCACGTTTGACGACGGCTATGGCGTTATCTCTTGCGACTGCGCAATGCTTGTCTTGCACTTGGTTTTACAATATATTATTTCGTCAATATCTTCATAGTCTTTGACAGAATTCACATTTTTAATGATTCTCATCAATCAGTTGGTAATCTAAAAACACTGAATCAATCAGATTATGTGTCATATTTGAAATGGAGTGTTTGATGTGACTTTCGGAAAATCGGACAGTGTAACAAGTATGTGGAATTGATCATATTATTAAACTATACAGTAGGTTTTCGAGAAAATCGATTAGTCAGATATTGCACAGTTTTACCTTTCAGCAACCCTGGCTCGGTAATGTAGTCAATTTCCATAACGACTGGTCCTCATTCCGGCCATTGTGTAATTTTCTTGGGTTTCCCCAATTTTTTTTGTTACAAAAGTAATTTCCCAACATTGTTTCATCAATTTTTCAATTTATTATAGTATTTGTGAAATTATCGTACTCACTTTTATACACGCTCTAGGTATTTGCCTCCTCATTAATTGGTTCAGTTCAGAACAGCCGATCCAAACAGAGTGGTCTTAAGTCAACAAGAGTAGGGCCTGCTAAAAACTTAGGAAATTGTCAGTCATAACCTTCCTGACTTCAGCCAACGACGGTGGGGAAAAATGTATGACATTTGTAAATCATAGATCATATTTATTAAGCTGTCATTCTTTCCTCTTGAATTGAGGTCAAGAGCAATAGTGTTTGGTCTAACTCCTGTTGACGAGAACCAGATGATTTGTATCGACTGTTGCGAACTGAAACGCCCTGTACCCATGAACCTATGAACCCACATACGTACCAACCCACCCACTCACCAGCCAGGGGGGGGTTGAACCACAGTATATCATCGTTTCTCGTGAAATGATAATATAACTGTGGTTGAACAGAACGTGTATATACTAAGGAATATATTGTAACTTTGTAATATATGTATTAAAGTTTGAAATAAATATACATTTTTTATAATCATTATTCCTTATTTTTTTCTTATACATCTTTCCTATATCATTCCAACATTTTCCCGTGTATTCATACTTACGTTTCCGTCGTCTACGGTAGTCTAAGGTCCGGCGCAAATTTCGACCGTCATCTGATAAAGAAATCTTTGGTAGAAGTCCATATTGCTCAAAGTGGAGTGAAATATTTCACAGGAAGGAATGCTCGAAGTCATCTCCACAAATTTTAATGCACGTGTTTTAAATCTAAACTAGGCTACTAAACTAGATTTAAAACACGTGCTGGCTGCTTGCCCCATCAATTTTATTGATATTTGCCTTTAAATAACGCCTTCATAAGGGAACGGGGAACCCCTTTTTTAAAAACCCGCTAATTTATGGTGTTGTCAGATAATAAACTGTTTGACAATACCCTTCAACCATTTTGGGTATATGAAATGTTCATTAATAAAATATAGTATACGCTCTCAGGGCACGGGGCCCTTCATTTATTGAGAACCCGTTTATTCAGAATCTTGGAACTCTCGACTATGGGCATTGACAGTTCAAGGAATAGTAGCATTTAATAAAATAATTTTTTCAACTCCAAACCTTTCAATTAGGCTGAAGATGGTCTTTTATAAGACCGAAACATGTCCCTCATGATTTAGTTAAAAATATCATTAAAATTTGTGGAGATGACTTCGAGCATTCCTTCCTTCCTGTGTGATAAAGAAATGATATATTATGTCATTTCATTATAGGGTACCCGTGTCACACTATCCCGAGCAAAATCATTGAAAAATTTCACTTTCCTGTGCAATAATTTGAACTTGATTTCTAGATATCATAACGAGATTAGAATTGTGCCATCGGAAACCAATTGAATGGTGGATCTCGGAAACCGACCCATGTCCCCTTAATCTGAGCCAAATCCACAGCACAGCGATTTATTTGCTGCCGTTATTCCGGACACTTCCGTCATGTTATAACGAGTTGAAACAGAGAGCAAATGAAAGAGAATAATGTCGCCTTTGCGAATATCCAAACGTGCCGCGAGTCAGTGGCAGAGCGTCAGTATTTCCGAGAATACTCGAAAGATAATATCCGATGGACCAGTGTAACATGTGGATTCGAATGCTTTTTTGTAGTGCGAGCAACATATCACTTTCACACTGATCCATCAGATATTAACAGGGACGAAACATCCTCGGAAGTACTGACGCTCTTCCATTAACGTTGTCGCATGTGGTTGACGTGTATGTGCTCTCTGAATAATAAACTGCAGTGAGTTCAAGAGGCATATGAAAAACTCGAAAATCAATTGTGGACACTAAGTGAAGTGTAGTGTAACTATATACAAAGACCAATTTGATTAGTTTTTCTTCGTTTTACAATAACATTGTTGGAAACTGTTGAACAATTTCTGTGTAATGCCGTTAACGCGTGAACAAGTTGTTGAGCTGCGTTCAGCAGCCGACGTGTGTATAAAACAATTTTGTACAGATGAAAAGTTCATAAAAAGTCTTGTAGATAGTGTATCGGCCGGGATTCTTATCAGACTAGAAGAAAAGTTTGGTATCTACGATAAAAAACTAAACGACCTACAAACTCAAATGACTCACATAGAGGATGAGCACAAGAAACAAATCGAGGCTATGAGTAAGAGAATAGAAGAACTTGATAATCGAAATGCTAATAATACAGTCAAAATTATATCAGAAATTGAGGAGATCAGGAGCCGGGAAAATAATATCTTATTGTTTGGAGTTCCTGAAAACTCTGAAAACTTGGGAAACGATGTTGAAGACATAATAAAATTCATAATTCCCCAGTTTAATATGAACGATGTGAAATTTCATCGTTTGGGAAAAGGGAATGGCAATAACACTAAATGTCGACCAATCAAGGTCACTATTCCAGATAAGAACAACGTCCATATATTGCTGAGGAATAACAGAAAACTTCAGTCAGGACATAATCAAATATTCAAAAATGTTTATTTCAGACGAGATCAAACTGTATCCCAGCGTGACTACTTTTTGAACGTTCGCAAGGAACTCGAGCAGCGAAACATGAATGGTGAAACCAATCTTATAATTAAGTACAAAAATAACGTTCCAATTATTGTCACAAAAAACGAGTAAACTCATCCAGCAGGCTACCAATTACCGATTCCTTAGTGGTGTATTATCAAAATTGCAGAGGACTCAATACCAAGACTCATTTATTCTACAAAAGTGTGGTCTCGAACAATTACAACGTGTTAGCCATTTCGGAAACATGGCTGAAAGATGGTGTCCTTGACAGTGAACTCTTTCCAGAAAATTATCGTGTATATCGCAAAGACAGGTTAAATTGCCGTGGGGGTGGTGTACTTTTAGCTGTTGATATGAACACTATTCACTCCGAACGTCACAGTCTGGAGTCTCCTGTGGAAAAGATTGATCTCATTTGCATACGTATATCTCTGAAAAATAACATATCATATTTCATAATCATTGTCTACATCCCACCAAACTCCAGCTTAAGTGAATATGAAACACTATTAGAAACATTCGAAAACTTTGAAGCCATCAACCGTTCCATCATACTAGGAGATTTTAACATTCCTGAACTGAAGAAGCATTATGATGACATCGACAGTCCTGTTACAAACATAGTAGCTCGTCTTAAGTACTTTCTAGCTTTCTCAGATCTTGTACAAAATAATAAAATAGTGAATTGTAATGATAGGATATTAGATATAGTATTATCACCATCTTCCGCAGATTGCTTAGTAACATGTGAAAATGACCCTCTAGTACCATTAGATCCTCAGCATCCAGCAATTGTAATTGAATTCCAAGATATTCGTTGTGTCAAAAACAATTTTTCCTCTCATATTGATCGTTTAGATTTTAGGAAAATCAACTGGGAAAAATTCAATCAATTACTGACCGAATTCAACTGGACTATAATTGGCTCTTATTCGGATGTTAACATTGCTTGCGAGTTTTTCAGCAATACATTGAGAAATATGATCAAGAGCTGTGTACCATTATCGAGAAAGAGAAAATATAAATACCCTGTATGGTTTAACCAAAGCATTATATACAACATAAAATCTAAAAATCACTATTTGAAAATGTATAGAAAACATAAGATCAACTTCTACTTAGCTCGTATTAAAAATTTGAGAAGAGCTATTAAAACTGAAATTGCAGTGGCGTATCAAACTTTCATCGATAATTCAGAAAGTAGTATCAAAGACAATCCTCAAAAATTTTGGAATTTTATCAACCTTAAACAGCAAAAATCTCGTATTCCTGGTAGAATGAATCACGAAGGGAAAACGCTCGTTAACCCTCAACAGATTATTGAGTCTTTTGCAACCCACTTTAAAAGTGTTTTCCTTGAGGAGGAATATGATCTCGATAGCGATGTTTCGATGAATGATGAGTACTCCAAGATTAACAGCAGTTACTTACACGTTCCTATAATTACGCGAGTTCAAATTCTCAATGCTTGCAAAAAACTCAAGAACAAGTGGTCATCTGGACCTGACAATATTCCACCCAAGCTATTAAAAAAATCTATTGACAAATTATTGGATCCTTTAGTCGTCATTTTCAACCTGATTATTAAAAGTGGAAAATTTCCTGATATATGGAAATACTCACGTATATGTCCTATTTTTAAATCAGGAAAACCAACAGAAATAACAAATTATAGGCCAATTGCTTTAGTTTCTGCTCTTTCAAAATTATTCGAGATTCTTTTGGCGGACTTGATGTATGAACACACTCGTCACCTCATTACAGAAAACCAACATGGCTTCATGAAAGGTCGCAGTACATCGACAAACCTCTGTATATTTACGGAATTTGTTTCGAATGCTCTAGATTCAAGATGCCAAGTTGATGTTATTTATACTGATTTCAGTAAAGCATTTGACCGCGTATCACACAGCAGGTTATTAGATAAACTAGTATCTTTTGGATTCTCCAAAAACCTTATCAATGTATTGAGGACATACCTGAAAGACCGCAAACTTTATGTCGAATACGAAGGAGTTCAATCCTCACAGTTTATAGCTACATCAGGTGTGCCTCAAGGCTCAAATTTGGGACCCTTATTATTTTTGTTATTCGTGAATGATGTATGCTCCAATTTTGAGTCGAAATCCCTCATATTTGCTGACGACATGAAAATTTTCAGAAGGATTAACGACTTATCGGATGCCATTTCCTTACAAAATGATCTGAATCTGTTGAAAAACTGGTGTTCAATAAATAAACTATCGCTCAATGTCAGCAAATGTAAGGTGATGACGTATTCACGAAAAAATAATCCTCTTATGTATCACTATGTCATCAATGATGAATCTCTAACACGAGTCACACAACACAAGGACCTGGGTGTCATATATGACTGCAAACTTGCCTTCTCAAGTCATTATGAAACAATGATCTCCAAAGCTATGAAATCCTTGGGTTTTTTAATTCGTACTTGTAGTGAATTTAAATCATTAGAAGCACTTTGTCAGTTATACTTTAGTTTGGTTAGAAGTAAACTGGAATACTGCAGTCAGGTATGGAATCCGTACCACCAACAAACAATTTCTGCTATTGAAATGGTACAGCGTAAATTTCTGAAATACTTATTTCACAAAAAACATAAAGTCTACCCCGAAAGGCACTATAATTATGACCTTCTGTTGAATGACTTTAAGTTCCAATCGCTGAAGAAGAGAAGAGAAATAGGTGATTTACTTTTTGTTTATAAAATTATACACAATACTATAGACTCCTCAGTATTACTTTCGCAAATCGAGTTCAGTATACCCCGATTAGCCTCTCGGTATCAAGATACATTCCACATTGATGTGTGTAACACACAGCACCATTTTCATTCCCCAATCAATTCAATGTGCAGAAATTATAATAAACTTGGAACTGTAGATATATTTTTTCTCACCTCAAAACAATTTAAACAAACCATTTCCAGTTTAGTTCCTAACTAAAATTTTCACTAACTTTGATTATACCTAATTGAAATCACACTCAACCATATGTATAGTAATCTCTATTATATACTCCTGTAATTGGGCCTTGGCCTGCTGGATGTATTACAAATTAAATAAATAAATAAATAAATAAATAAATAAACTTGACTTGAATTGCGGCACGTTTGGATATTCGCAAATAATACATTATACCCTTTCATTTGCTTTTTGTTTCAACTCATTATCACACCGAACAACGGCAGCAAATACATCGCCGTGCAGTGGATTACATTACTCTTATCTCGTTATCAAATCGCGAAATTGATTGCAAATTAACACACAGGAAACTGCCATTGTCTTATTATTATGCTCAAAGTGATTACAGGTGCCGTTCGATAAAGTACAATGTGTTTTACATGACTTTGGAACATACAATTTCGATATCAGATGGCAGTCGAAAATTGCAGCCGGCTCTCCTATTAGGGGGGTTTCACGGTCAGGAGTTCAGGAGTGGTTCTCCGGTTTCTGTCTGGTCCGGAGAGAATGTACTTTCCGGACTTGTCTTCGGAAGAAACATCAGTGTCTTGGGAAGTAGTTCATTACAGAACGGTTGCCAAAGAAGTATCAAATTGTCTCTTTCATTCAACCTGTCGCACATGGACGGATGACAGCACTCTTGATGACTTCTGCACAAAGAACGCTCACTCCGTCCAAGCGTGATGTCTCCTGAAGAAGACTACAATGCTTGTTCGCAACCGTCGGAAAATTATCTACTTCCCAAACACTGATGTGTCTCTGCGGACTAGTTGGGCAAGTATGCTCATCTAGGACTGGACCGAAAATAAAGAGGAGTAGCTCGGAAGAAAAACTGTCTGGAAAGTAATAACTTTACTTTCGAAATGGTCGCTAAAAGATAAATCAAATCATCACAATTCAATAACCTAAACATTATTCTAAACATTCATTCACATTACTTATAGAAAATATTGGATCAAATATAATTATACACGGATTTACGGAATTCAAACAACAGAGTTTCACAGGCGATAGTCCACCTGAATAATAAGGACTAAGGTAAATATAGGTCTTCCAGTACTGAGTTCTAGAGATACTACAGGGTGTCAAATTGATTTTCACAAATACTCAAAAATTGTTGAATGTTCCATTCAAATTCGGTACATGTTTCCATTTGCAAGAGTTGAAATTTCACCAGAACTTTATTTCCAACATTTCAAGCAATGTCCAGCTATAGGATGTTGAAGTTTCCTATTCCTCCCATTTTTTCTATGCGACCGATGAAGTTTCAAATTCATGGAACTTTCAAATTTGATGAATTTAATAGCAGATTATAACAAAAATATTTTTCTGGAAAGTGAGCTGACACCATATTCAAAATCAATAGAATAACGTGACCATAGTTATCAAATTGTTTCTATTTGTGATTTTCTGTGATCAGTTGTACTTCTGATAGGAACAGAAATTCGTATAAAGAAACAATAATTCATTCATGATAGATAATTTCACTGTGACTGTATGCCAAGCAGCCCATAATTTGATGGGTTGCCTTATTACAAAAATTTCCCTAGAGGCGTAAAAAATGAGGAGAAACAAACACAAAAACCAAAGAAGAAGATTCAGCCGTTTTTGAATTGCACCATAAAAACAGATTTTCAATTTCCAACATCCTGTCTCTATTAAACTAACCACTCAGGGACCTCATGTTTCTACCTCATCCCCCATCAAATCACGAGAACTATCACAGGTGAAGCATTACTGGTCGAATTTCCGAACACTGCATAAGGAACGCAATTCAAATGCTGACAGTAAAAAAATAAAATAAACCTAAACATCCTACATTCAATAACCGCCTCTGAATCCGCCGCCTCTGCCACCCCTGAATCCGCCACCGCCCCGACCGAAACCGCCACCGAAATCTCCGCCACGTCCACCTCTGAATCCTCCACCGCCGCCTCCTCGGTAACCGCCTCCGCTATAAACAAGAACACAAATTCATGATTTCAATTAATATGTACATTATGAAGGGTTCAATTTGAAACAATGACAAGGCACACAAGAGTGCAAAAAAGAGTTAGTGCTCTTCTCGGTTGAAGGGCAAAAGTATAAAAAGCCACTAAAAAATTATTAATGGCCCTCGTTAATAAATGGCACGAAAATCCTATTGTCACACTAATGCATAGGTCTATTTTTTCTCTAGTTACTACCCGAAATAATTAAAAGCCAAGAAAAATAGTGAAGTCAGGGAAGTTCTTTTATTCACCGGTGGCTCCATCAATCCACCAACTGTGTTCATAGATCCTCTAGCTAATGCCAATTTGACGTAATCACGCGTTTATTCATTACTGTTGTGCAAACCAAAATTGCAAACCATTCCACCAATGTAGCATAACCTCAAAAAATCGATAACAAAATATTGGATTTAAAAGCTGTTTGCCATTTGTCAAGGAAAAAATATGGATGAATTAATCGAACTCAGCCTAAAATATAAAAATAAAAGAATAGCTACATAATTGGCACCAACAGAAATTGAAGAAATTTCGAGTGGTAGGTACTTTTTTCTTTCAAGAAATTAGTGCAAACATTCAGGAAACTTGAGTACCAACAGATAATTCTCATTAATAACTTCATCCATATTATCATTATTTAATGCAATGTTTTGTATATAGGTTGTTGAGAATTTTCAACCTATCTCATCTACTTCACAACGAACTATCAGAAGAACTGCTAGAACTACTGGATCTGTAGACAAGGCATCCAATAACACTTTCAACATAATTTTACATTAGTTTTCGCCAATTCTGAGCTTCTAAATAAATCAAAATCCTCATCAATACACGAAAAGAAAAATAAATAAAAGAAAAAACAGTTGTGATTGTCATGTCAAATGACTGCGTTTTTTTTTTTCAACACTGATGACTCCAACAATTCGATGCATCAAAGAGTGACGTCAGTTCCATCAATGATGAAAATGTGGTGTAAAAAGGAATATGCCTGTTGAGTAGATATTCAATTACAAACATCCAAAAAAATTCCAACAAGTCCATGGAGACAAAGAAATAGACAGTGTTATTCCATATCACAAGAAAAAATTCGACTGAATTCAGGGCAACAGTATGTAAGATTTTGGGTAATTATTTAAAATGGAATAATGTAACAACTCGCATTTTGTACAAATAAAGTCTGTTTTCTCTCATGTTTAAAGTGAATTTACCAATATTTTTGTCAACTATCAAGTCCCATAGATGAGACTAAAACAATTAAAGTTGGATTTTATATATTATTTCTTTCAGAGTCAAATATCTCATTTTCGATTATCTGAGGCTTGTAACATAACATGAATGTATCAATTTTTTGATATAATAATATGTTGTAATACTTGAAAAAACACCATTTGAATACCACCCTATAACGAAGGGCTAACATTTCCAGTCTCGCCATTACTAGAGCGTGAGGTCTATGTCAAAGTCAAAAGTTCCAAAATACTGCCGGATAGCTTTGATATGCCTTACCTATTTTTTTTATGATTTCATGAAAAAGTGATGTGGCATATGTGGTCAAATTTCGGTTAGAATTGATCAGTCTTGTGTTTTCAACTCTCCTTAAGGTTACACGCGATATCGAGGCCGGCATTGGCGCAGAAGAAGAGCACCCGTCTCACGACCGCGTAAAATAGTGTCACGAATGGACACTGAAATCGGCCGGGTGTATAAACGGCCCCATGCTCGCGATTGGCATGACGCTATGTCCAGCGTAAACACGATTCGAGCGATGCGGTGCACGTCTGCGATTACTGGTACTGGTACTGGTGGGGGACGTTTCCACGTCAGCAACTAGTCCCCAATGGGACCTTTTTGCCAACCCCAAGTGTTTTCAATGACTGATGTGGTTCGCTCAAGAGAGCTGGCTAACATCCTTTTCAGGCACCGCCCCTCAGCTCTCTTTTCAGAGTTTTTCAGCTGTCTTTTGTAGGCTAGTAATGTACTCACTACCATATGTGCAGTGGCAGGCCTGCTAACTATCATCGTTAACCCCCGAGACCGAGGTCTACTTAAGCAGCTGGCCCGCTCTCACGCTCAGCTGGTAGTTTTCTACACCCACCTACATACACCGTCCTACTTCTTCTCTGATGCTCACAACCACATCATCATATCTTTCTGCGTGTTCTGTGTAGGCTTTGTTACTAACTCCATGCGCCACTTTAGGAGCAGCACTGTTAATTGGAACGCAACAGCGAATCGTGCAGGACTATCCCCAGCCGATGCTCCGAAACTTTACAATATTTAATTCGTAAATAAAATATTGAAAAAAGTTCCTTGCCCGTGCTGGAAATCGAACCCACGACCTTGCGGTCGTGAGACGGACGCTCTTCCACTGCGCCAATCCCGGCTCACGTCTGCGATTAAACCATTGCATTTATATTAGACGGTCCAAAGTGGATGCATTGCGGGCGATTTCAAGAACTCGCAACGCACGCTTTGTTTAAAATCCAAACATGTTTGTTTTTGCACGCAAAACACGTACGATGGAAGTGCTAATTTCTGAAATCCAAAAAACGTAACTTACTCTGGAATAAAAGAAATCTTCCACTGTAATAGGCTTTTGAAAGTTTCTTGTGCAATGATAACCCTGCCACGTATTGCTTCTACAATTAAATCAAATTTAGCTGGAGCCATTCGTGTGTATTGACGAAATGTGTCTGGATCTGCACGTAGCTGTTTATATAAATGATGAAATTCACCAAACTTCAATAGTTTTAGAAATATTTCATGGGGGTATCGCTTTTTTTTTGTAAATTCTTCTCAACATTTGCAATTTCAGTAGACTATTTTTTAATAACAGTACACTTACTCATTCCGCCATTTTATGGATGCAAAGCAACGCAAAAGGCAAGAACGATCAACAACCGACGATCGTGGGCACATTGGCCACAAACGCATTTGTCCCGTTTTCTCAGCAGTGCGTGCGTTTGCCGCATCGCACGAATCGCTCGTATTGTGTTCACGCTGGACATAACGAACAACCAAAAGTGAACCGAGCAGCACGAGAAGGAGGTTTTTGTTTACTGATTTTATTTTCCTCCAAAACCATAACAACACTCACCACTGATAGCGATTGAATGACTCCCCCACCCATTGGATATCCTCATTGAGATTACCTATACTGGGTAGCATTAACATAATAACATTAAATTCAAACCCTAAGTAGGCTCAAGGTACACTATCGAATGGCACCATTGTAAAAAATATAGGGGTTAAAATAAGATTTGGGGCAAAACCCCTTTTTCCGCCCAAAATTCTACTCATCGAGAGCTAGTCGCTCATGGAAGGCATATCAAAGAAAGAGAAACGCGGAGAACGAAGCGACGTTGCCACAGGTCATAAAAATGGTGTGTCAGATCTGATGAATCATGTTGGACAAAATTTTAAATGGATCTTATCACTGATATTCTAAAAGATTGGTTTCAAGAAAATAGTCATCATTTGGCATGGAAAGCATAACGGTAGATTACTTGGAATACCAAAATCAACAACTACTGAAAACCAACTGCTAGCAACTTATCCAACATTATTTATCTCAGATCTGACACATCCATTTCTGATGGTGTGAAGAGAATCTCAGATAGCCGACATAGGAATAAATCAGGCCAAGCAAACATTTCAAAGTCAACTCTCCCCACAAGCATTTCATCACACAAGCTTGAAAGTTCTACAATACTACTCTGAAAGTAGAATTGCCCAGCGTGGAGAAGAAACAAGCCTTCCACTTATTTTCACACTCCAACACTGAACACTTCAAAATTTCTAATGCACATAAACAAAATAACGATTCGACATTTGACAGAATCACAGAATAGACATTTCGAATCATTTCAAAAGAGGGAATAATTTCAAAAGTTTCTAGTATATTTCGTTGTGCAGTTTTCGATAACATCCATCACCTAATATCTATGACACAATCCAGTGTATAACAAAATAAGAACAAGTGGGTTTCAAACTGTCTTGTGTCTTGTCTTGTGGTTTAATGTTTCACTAACACTATTACAGGTGTTGCGATAGTCTACAGAATTCTGACATGGTGTCTTTTCTGTAAGCATATAGACGTAGGGGTCTATATGCACGACGTACTCGCAAGGTATGATTGTTGAATCTACCTATACACCTTTGCACTTAAGCCACTAGATGGCTATTAGTCCTTCTGCCCCCTCAGGGCTTCGATTTATTATTATTATTACTGAAAGGTCGGTGCGTTTTAGAAGTTCAGAACTTGCGACGGCAGTACCGCAGACGATTGCCCGTCGTGTTCTAACGGTAATTTATTTTGGGGAATCCAGAAGGAATAAAAAATTCCCTGCCCCTTCTCATCGTTATGAACGTCATCGTATTTTCTCTGAAAATTAGTGTTTTTACCTATTGTAACCGCCTCCGTAACCGTTACCGCTGCCGCCCCCGCGACCGCCCCTGAAGAACTTGGGCGGCGGGCCGCTGTAGCCGCCGATCGAGTGGCCTCTCGGCGGCCGTCTCGATGCCAGGATGCTGGTCTTGTTCCTTTCGATTTCGAAGCTGCCGGCGTGCAGTTTGCAGAGCTCTTTGATGGTCGACACGACCTGAAAGAAAAGAAAACGAGGGGTGTGGATATTTTTTTAAAACTTTTAGATAGCACGAGAGGGAATCCTTATAGTGTGTGCTGTGGATACAAACTATGAGACTGAACTGTAGTAACTATATTATTCGCGAAAGGCACAAGTGTTTATTCAGTTGAATTGATATGATAGTTTTTTTTGTATCTAGCGCGCGAAATGCTACTTTGATGATAGTGGTTAAAAAAAAACCAAAGTATTTCGCGCATGAGTTGCCAACATGTTTTCTACAAACGTCAAAAAATATAGTTTCTAAAGTAGTAATATGCATAGCTTAAATAGTGGTCAACTGACTTAAAAGGTCTTGTACTTCGCGCATCGTTTCACCTCGCGCACTGCGCAAATGGTGTTCTCATAACGTTATAAAAGAAATAAAACTCCGACTTTTTGAATTAATTCAGACTTTTTTGGAATTGGGTCATTTAGATTAGATTTAGAATGGGGCCTTCGGGCTATCTGCCTCTACACCGCGACCTTTTCAGATCTATTGTGTCTGCCCTCAAAATCGATTAGAGTTCTTCGGCTAGCCCCGCCTTCTCTATGAGACTCCATAGGCTAGCTTTCAGATTCCCTGTGTATCTTTGGGCTTCTGGTTTTTCCTCACCCAGCGTGAGGAACCTTAGTCTTGACAAGCCCTCACAGTGACAAAGTTTGTGTACTGCTGTTTCCTCTTCTTCCTGACAGAACCCGCACAGCAATTCTTCAGTCAGACCTATCGTACTCATGTGTTTGTTGAGCCTACAATGCCCTGTGAGAAGTTCAACTAGTATTCTATTTGAACTTCGTTTCTGGCTCAGTAGATATTCTGTGAATGTTGGCGATCGTTTTTTAATAACCTCTTTTGCCTGTCTCATTCCTGGCGAGTTTTTCCACCATTCTTGAGATTTGGTTTGCATCCATGATTTGAAACTAGTCTTTTGTATAGCTTTTGCAATACCACAGAAAGGTTCTGGGCCATTCAGAACTTTGTTTGCTCCTGCCCGGGCAAGTGAGTCTGCCTTTTCATTGCCCTCATACCCTGTATGTGCTGGTACCCATGCTAGAGTCAATCTGTTCTGACTGCCCAGTTCATTTAGGGGTTCTAAGCAGTCCCATACTAGTTTTGAGTTAACTTGCATAGAGTTGACTACTTTGATTGATTGGGTCACTTAAAAAAATGAAATTTTATTCACGTAAACATGATACAAAAATGTACCAAAAAAAAAGCATAACATAATAAAATAGACAATTTTTGCAAAACAAACATGACCTTCATTTTACTCGATTTTTTGGGATTTTCTCTCCTCGTTTGCATATTATTTCAATATATTTGTAGTGGGACAAATCAGATGATTTGCCCCAAAATGTCACTGCGTTCAAAAAATGTTTCTATCAGGGAGCCTAAAAAAATCCAGTAGCTTGTCAGTGACAATTTGTTTGAAAAATGTTTGAAGGAAAGAAAAAATATCGAATTTTTACTTATCTTTGGACGTTTCAGGACCGAATCTGCTCCCGTTTTCAACATAAAAATGCAAAATATTTCTCTTTGGAAGTTGTGCTGCTTATAGTTTGACACTTTTCAGTGTCATACTGATGTTGGCATTTGAATGAGTGATTTTAGTTTACAAATGAGTTACAGGATGTTTTCATTAATTGATCTTGAATCTACCATTATCATGTTCAGTTTTCAATAGTGAATACCATGTTCTATCTATATCAACTGAACAGGAAGCAATGGTATTGTTATTGTTATTTTGCATTTATATGTCCAAAAATAAGTAAAAATTCGATATTTTTCCAATACACATATCTATATTTCTCTCCTTCAAACATTTTTCAAACAAATTGCCACTGACAAGAAAAATATGTTAAACGCAGTGACATTTTGGGGCAAATCATCTGATTTGTCCCACTACAAATATATTGAAATAATACGCATATTTTTATTTTATAGAAACGAGGGGAGAAAATCCCAAAAAATCAAGTAAAGTGAATGTATCACCTCCTCGATTAACCTACAGACAGTATTTAAACATGACCTATTGATTGAAAAAAATTAATAAATACATTTATGCAACTTATAACTTATTCAGAATCTTTATTAGAGCTACCAACTAAAGTTCGCAATTTTCTAAAAAATTGCAGCAATTTTCATTGCAAACTTACGCACTAGTGTCATTTTGGACAGCATTTTTTTTATACAATCAATTGCAAAGCATCAAAAAAAGATCTGCTGTAATTATAAGTGAAATGACGAATTTTCAATATTTTATGCATTATTTGTACATTTTTAAATGCATATTCAATGTTATTGTTCTCATGGTTTCTTCTAACACAATGAGAAGTAAAGAACAGATTTTGTTGAACGCCTCGTGGGGTATAAATGCCGAAATGCGTTTCTGTTGGGTCAGGTTCGCACCAGATAGTGGTCAAGAATGCTATCCGGGACAGCCCTGCACTGATAAGAGTCAACAGCTCGAAACCGGTCTGCAAGTAGTCATGCATTCCTGAACCACTTGAGCACAACTCAGCGTTTATGAAGGAAAAACTCGCGATTTTATTTGTTTATACCAATTATTGCATAGATTTCGGGAGGATGTATTCCAATGTTCTGCGTGGCATATTGTAAAGCTTGAGGCAAAAGGGACAGGAGAATTTTATATATTAGATTGTGGTAATGACTTTGAGTTTCTCTCTTTATGAAAAAAAAACCTCCTCACCTTGAGATCGACCGGCCCCATCTCGAGAATCTGCTCGGGCTCCTGGGACGCGCGCACCACCAGGCTCTCCAGCGCCGGCCGCAGCGCCACCACCATCGCCGCCACCGCCGGGTCCATGTCCAGGTTGATCCAGTTGTCCAGCCTGACCACGCCGTCCACCCATTCGACCTTGCGCGAGCCGAACAGCAGCAGGTGCAGCGGCGTCACCATCGACATTTGCTTGCAGGAGACGGCTCGCGTGCGGATCTTTTCGCCGAAGACGAAGAAGGGATAGGGGAAACCTTGGTCCATGTTGCTGCAGTTGACCGAGGTTTTGTGGATGAGGGCGGACTTGCTTTCGGTGGTGAGGACCTAGGAAGGCAATAAGACTTGTAGGAGGAAAGGCGACAAATCATCGTATGAACTACCTCCTTGTGTTCCGTTTCCATTCAACATTTTTGGTAATGATATTGTACATTGTTTTATCGTTTGCAGATGGTTTGATAATCTTTAGACAAATAAATTCATTAGATGATGCTATTCTCATTCAACATGATTTGGACAACTTGGCTAGGTGGTGCAATGAAAATAACTTGCATATAAATATAAATAAACGTTCCTCAATCAGCTTCTGCAAATTGAATAAGAATTAATTTAATTCATAGGACGTTATATGTACTACAGATGATAGTTATTTATACACCACTAGCAATTTCCATCATTATAATTCCGTGAAACTGAAAATTAGACCTATTGTCACTATGGAAGCACTTCTTTTCAATTCTAATTGGAATCTAGTAGCCATGACCATGACAGCATATGACAACGTTATTGATGAATAACTACTAGATTCGAGTGATATTTCTGCGAATCCCGCATCAGAACAGTGCATTCGGTTTAATTACAACACAGTATTTATTGACTACTACCTTATTGGGCCTCATTTTTGCGAAAGGTACTGTAGCAGGTCCCACCTAATTTCCTTTTAGTCTTTGCATCATAAAGTGTGCATGTGCTTGTTATTTTTATATTTTGCTGATTTCTCACCATTCCGTCTTTGCTGCTAAGGAGGTACTAAACCACCTGACGCTATCTATAGGTATGCGCGCCTATCAAAATATGCCGTTTTATGGTATCGCCAGTATCATGCAGTGCCCTGTGGATTCTATTCGGAGCCTATGCGTAAGGCCATCTGAGGCCGCTGCCTGTACCTTCGTCATTAAATGTTTTTTGCGCTTATTTCCAAAACCAGGTTTTTGTTAAGATTTATAATTATCGCTGTGAGCGGATTTCGAGAAAGGACACCGCACGTTTTATAGGGAAAATTGGCCTTCTGTCGAATTGGTTGAATTTTCGATATGTTATAGTTCAAGACATTTTGAACAATATGTCCAAATACCAAACCGGCGCTAGAGACCGCTGAAGTCTCAATCTTGATTTCTTTTCTCCTGATGAATAATGCTCTTTGTGCCATTATTGTGATGATGTTTTTTCTAGTATTAGTCTCCAATTTGTCAAGGTTTAAGAAGGAATGTTATTTTGCGTTTTTCCTCCTAAACAGTTCGTATATATAGCGTCAATAAGATAGCACAAATAACAAAGTTCACAAACTATTCAATATCTGCGATCCTGCCACATCATCAATTGATGATTTTTGAAAGAATAGTACGATTTTCGAGGGCGTGATCTGAAATATATTGACATGCATTTGAAAAAATATACTTGGTATAGGTAATCAGAATTTTTTGAAGAAGTTACAAGGAATATTCATTTAAAGATGCAAATGAATACTGCTATACTTTATATACTAGGTAAACAATGAATAATAATAATAATAATAGTAATGATAATAATGAATGTTTACATTGGAAAAATTGTTTCATAATTGAAATGCGACACGTGACGATATCCTTTTTCATTGAATTATTGGATAGTATCATTCTCCCTCATAATTGCTGGAACACACTGTTTAATTCTTGAACAACAGCAAAAATATTGAAGAAAACTTATTGCTAAAATTGAAAAATTTATCAGGAGAAAAAAAGAAAAACATTTAGACTTCAGCGGCCTCTAGCGCCAAAACTATTCAAACAATAGGCATTCAGGAGAGAATCACCCGTAGTATCGGGAGCACGACTAAATATCCCGTACAAAAATATCCTGTCAAAGAAATCCTGCCGAAAATAACCTGCACCTTAATATATTTAGACAATGATAGCCTGACCAATAACATTTCCCTTCATCAGTCAAATTATTATAATGATTTTATAAGGATATAAATGATAAGGTTATTTTCAGCAGGATATTTTTGGACGGGATATTTAGTCGTAGACCCCTTGTATCAGTATTCGTTTATACGAATCAAAGCATAGATTTCGGGAGGATTTAATTGAATGTTCTGCGTGGCATTAGCCAGGAAAGTAGTTGTTTTTCTCCTTTGTATTTATTCAACATTTCATTCCACTTTGAGCATTGTGGCTATTTCGCAGTTTTTTTTATTCAAAACAGTTTGGTATTCGGACATTTTGTTCAGAATGTATTGGACTATAACATCAAAAATTCATCCAATTCGACAGAAGGCCAATTTTCCCTATAAAACGTGTGGTGTCCTTTCTAGAATTTCGGAGTGCATTATCGAATATATCTAAAGTGACACCGATTCCAGTGAAATAGCTAGGGGATCATAGCCCATGAATCCCTTGGAACTTGCACCCGCATTTTATTTTAGGTAAGCTATTTAATTATGTACAATTCCTGGTCCTATTCTTGATTAGTATAATGTTGATATTCGTATATATTATTAGGTAAGAGTTTCGGTACGTAGTCCATTTGTAACAAGTCATGTGATGTCCATTTTGGGATTAGGTTTGCGGAAGTGAAACCATCAGAGGTCAGAGTTTACCTCCACATTTTATTTTAGAATCTTGGTGTACACTGTCGGACAAAGTAACTGTTTGGTGAAGAATATAGCACGCTGTATCCAAACAGGATTGAGTTGTTTTTACCAAGTACCACTTTCTGCCACACTACCCCTTTCCGGTGCATCCAACCTTGAGCGAGATAAATCTATTACAGCACTTTGAGCATTAGAATGACTATGAGGCTACAGAAGGATGGAGTGCCCGCTCATACCGAAATTGTAACGAGATATTTAAACAGAGAATACCCCAAAGGATGGTTGGGCACTGGTGGACCAATAAAGTGGCCGGCGAGGTCCCCGGACATTACACCACCAGATTATTTCCTTTGGGGTCACCTAAAGAACGTTGTCTATGAAGAACCAATCGAAGATAAAATGGCTAATCTTATTGACAAAATTAGTGCAGCGTGTTGCCGCTATTACAAGAAGGACGTTTCTACAAGTGACCCAAGCTCATCTGCTCAAAGTTTTTGATAGTTGTATTCGAGCAGATGAACATAATTTCGAAACAAAATTGAATTTGTTTCATCATGAAGTATGTAAGTAGTTGATAGCAATAATCATTTTGATTATTAGTTTGACCAGAAATGAGTAAAATAAATGACATTCTTGTGAAAATCATACGTAATCGCATTTTTGTCAACCAAAAAATGTTAACTATAAACCGGGATAACCCCGAAATAAGTTAAATAAATAAGTTCCGAGTAAATGACAAAAAAGTCAATGCAATCGATTTGAATTTTCGGCGCGTCGCGACGCTCAGCTCTTAGTAGGCGATGAATTTTTTTAACTTCCATTAAAATTTACATGCACTCATCCTTTCGACTAAGTTTTACAGATATTGGCGTGCGGAGTTTCAAGTGAAAAACCCTCAATACGTCCAAAACATGTACCAATTCCAAATGCTGTGTTAAATGTCCTGGAGATGACTTTGTGCAACATTTAGTATTCAATTCTTCACTCGGCTTCGAGAAACCATGGACTTCTACCAAAGATTATCCCAAGGTTAACGACGCAAGGATGTGCTGACTGGTATTGCTAGTGAAAGATCGTCGAATTTTCCACGGTGTTCTAATAAGGCCAAAGAGTTGTGTGGTATCACCAACCAGGTGAATGGCACTTCTCTGGAGGGAATCTAAGAGCTTCGGCGTATGTTTGTAAAGTAGTTTGTCGCACGGAACAAGACTCCAGGGTTTTTGTGAAGCAGCTTTTGCGATGGATCGGGGATCGGACATGATTTTCCCATGAGAGAGTATTGCTGATGGTAATACCGAGCATAGATATAGTGGTCTTGGTGGTAACAGACATTAGTTGCGTTTTATTTGTTCCTCTCTGGTAGCGGTGGTGGGAACAGAATGAAGTTTACAAATAAAACGCGAATCTTCATGACCTCGCATAGGAGAATTCACATAAGAGGTTATATTTATATATTGGAGCTCCAAATATCAAAAATCATGATACTAGTTATGAATCTAGAAAATCAATAAACGACTATTTGGAGCAGTGATTGTGGTCATTGGATAAACTTCTCTGAGATCTAGAGAATTAATTTTATCTGGGAATGAACATATGAAACCTGTCTTACTTAGAAGAATCATAAACTTGTGGACTTCACTATAAAAATTACATCTAAATGTATTCTACTTTTAAAAAGTTTCGTTTTCGTCAATCTAATATTATTTTTTGATAACTGTCAAAGTGTCAACAGGAAATCCACGTCATTCCTTGTAGTGGGACGGAATGAAAAGTAGCAACCGGAATCGGAAAAGTTGCAAATAAAACGACACATTAAAGTGATTCCGGTGGCGGAATCGGATAAATAAAACGCAGCTATTGTTAATCAGGCTTGAGTTTTGGTGGCGTTGAATTCAACTGGGCTGCTTATACTACAAACATGCATTAGTAGACAAATTGATCATTAACGATCAATGTCATACAAATTAAACATACTCGTTGATACGAGGTCGACAGAAAGCATTCCCTTTTTCGAGTACTCAAAGCACACCCTACCTTCCTCTTATCCTTGTGGTAGCACACGTTCGGATACAGGCCGTAGCACATCAGCGACATGACCGCGTCCAATCTGGCGTCCGGGCCGACCGTCTCCATCGGCAGCGGCGCCATCGTCTCCTCCGGGAAGCCGACGTTGTTGAGGATCTGCTGCAGCTGGTGCTTCGCCTCCCACGTGACGCGCATCGTCGGCATACTGATGCCCTTGAACTCGCAGAAGCGCAGCTCGGCCTCCTCGCCGCTGTTGCGCGCGTGGTCCCACAACTGTCGACGAATTTACATTCTTTAGTCGGAATGCGGCATGGTATTTTTACACTTATTATTCAATGTTTTTTTTATATATATCAAGGGAGGAAGAGGAAAGATATCCATTTCCTCCCGCGTGTGAAGGTCGATGCACGACGCGTAGCGGACGGAGACGTAAGCGTGACTTCCATTTCATGAAACTCAATTAATAATTTTACTATATGAGCGAAGCTATGTGCTATTTTGTATGATGCAACATTTGATATTTCAAGTTTGATTTATCAATTACTTCTTCATCTTACTTGAACAGACATTATTCAGATCTTACTTTCCAGCTCTGGATATATTTATGTTTTTGTCATATGAATGCCCCTTATTTTATAATTCGTCAGTGGTATCATAAAACCACATTATTGTTTATTGAAAAACTAGCTTCCAGTCAGAAATAAAATTCTGGTATGAGGAAGTTGATTACAAACAGCAATAATAAAATAATATATGGTGACAACAACAAAAAAATATCAAAAAAATCTAAAAATGCTTAATCGATCAAGTCATAAAAATAGCCACAGGGACTAATCAGTAGATTGTAAAGTATAAATTTTATCCATTTCGTAATGAAATCATGTGTTTTTTTAATTCAATTTTAAATTTTGAAATATGTCTGCAATTTTTTATATTATGTGGTATTTTATTGAATTCAGCTAGAGCAGCGTGAGTAATTTTTTTTGGCCAATTATAGAAGTAGCAGAATCAAGATGAAATAAGTTTGATTGTCTCGTGTGATGACCATGAATTTCTTTGTTACTTATCAAAATAAAATTGGATTTCAGATTATTGTTTATTATATTATATGAAACTTTAAGGAGAATCTATTTTATATAATTCATTAAGAGTCCATTTCACTCATTCTGCTAGGGGATCACCTGAGGAATGAGGTGCGAGAGGGTGACGGCGGTAGGCGGAGACATCACAACCCCTTCCACGGCGAATTTGCAAGCATGTATTCAGGTGGTAATTTCGCCCGCTGGCCACTGCCACAGAATACTCAAACATTTCATTATTTTCATTTTACTTGTCTCATCTTACCTATCTATTTTTAGAACAGCTTGGCGCAGTACGGTTATAAAATTGAAAGCATAGGGCATTTTAGGATGAAATGAATGAAACGTTATTTATATTCATTTGGATATTGGATACAATTGTATTATTTCAGAAACTCAGCCATTCATTAGAATATAATTTATAACTGACCCGGCAAACGTTCGAATGAGCAATGTTTCTCAGATTTCTATTTCTATCTCAGAATTGCCATCACATTTTTTCGATCGTTTTATGTTTTTGAAATAATTGCGAAAAACCAAAATGGTGCGTTTTAGACAATCCCCTGTATCTCCGTTATTTGAAAACTTACGGCATTCTGGCTTTGATATTTCCTGAGCACTTTTTCAAGAACTTTTGAATAAAAAATAGAACAATGAAATATATCTTCCTACGTTTTCGAGATAATTTGAATAACTTTGTTTTCTCTTATGGAAATTTTTAGATTTTAGAAAAATATTAGGAATCATTATTTTTTCGATTATTTGTTGTATAACTCAGAAAGGCTATAGTGTGCACAAAGTTTTCTTTCTCAAATCGGTCAAGGAGGGGATAGAGAATATTTTTATTGAATCGAAACTCATTGGCCCCCCGTTAAAATGATGAAAAAATATTAAAAATCATTATTTTTTCGATTATTTGTTGTATAACTCAGAAAGGCTATCGTGTGCACAAAGTGTTCTTTCCCAAATCGGTCAAGGAGGGGATAGAGAATATTTTTATTAAATCGGAACTCATTGGCCCTCCGTCGTAAATGATGAAAAAATATTAAAAATCATTATTTTTTCGATTATTTGTTGTATAACTCAGAAAGGCTATCGCGTGCACAAAATCTTTTTTCTCAAATCGGTCAAGGAGAGGATAGAGAATATATTTCTTGATTTCAAACCCATCGGCCCCCCGTCAAAATGATGAAAAAATATCAAAAATCATTATTTTTTCGATTATTTGTTATATAACACAGAAAGGCTATCGTGTGCACAAAGTTTCCTTTCTCAAATCGATCAAGGATGGAATAGAGAATATATTTGTTGAATCGAAACTCATTGGCCCCCTGTCGAAATGATGAAAAAATATAAAAAATCATTATTGTTGCGAATATTTGTTGTATAACTCAGAAAGGCTATCGTGTGCACGAAGTTTTCTTAATAATAATAATGAAGAATAATGATTTCTAATATTTTTACATCATTTTGACGGGATGCCAATTATTTTCGATTCAAAAAATATATTCTCTATCCCCTCCCTGATCGATTTGGGAAAGGAAACTTTGTGCACAAGATAGCCTTTCTGAGTTATGCAACAAATATTCGCAAAAATAATGATTTTCAATATTTTTCTATCATTTTGACAGGGGGCCAATGAGTTTCGAATCAAGCCATATATTCTCTATCCCATCCTTGATCGATTTGAGAAAGAGAACTTTGTGCACACGATAGCCTTTCTGAGTTATACAACAAATTATAGAAAAAATTATGATTTTTAATATTTTCTCATCATTTTGACGGGGGGCCAATGAGTTTCGGATCAGGAAATATAGTTCTCATCCTTTCCCTGATCGATTTGAGAAAGAAAACTCCTTTCTGAGTTATACAACAAATAATCGAAAAAGTAATGATTTTCAATATTTCTTCATCATTTTGACGGGGGGTTAATGAGTTCATAATCAGGCAGTATATCACATTTTGTCTCTCCGATCGATATGTATTGTGATTCGATATAATATGGTTGAAAATATTACAAGAATTCTCGTGTATACGATCGTTTTTATAGGATTAAAATGGCTGCTATCATTCCTTCGTGCATCTTCTTTCTTTGGGCGTGAGGTATATAATAGCGCATCTATGGCGAAGTTGCTGCCAACTGCGGCTGCTGTTTTCACACTAATAACAAAAGTTCGAAAAAATCCAACACCTACATCCTCTCCCTATCCTCCCTAGGTACGCACGATGTTCCACGAGTATTATATTATTCCTTTCGTGCGCTCCAAAAGATGAAAAAAATCTCCGATCCCGAAAACCACAGGTACAAATTTTAAATAGAACAGGATCATGATTACATAACTCGTCCGCCATATTGGTTCCGTCTGTCCGCCATTTTGAATTGATATCTGAGGGTTTCGGGGACGGAGATTATGATTCTCTCGTCAAAAATTGAAAATTCAAGATGGCGGACGAGTTTTGTAATTATGGTCCGATTCTATTCAAAATCTGTATCTGATGGAGGTTTTCGAAGTCGGAGATTAGGATTCATTTGTCAAAATTAGGAAACTCAAGATAGCGGATCCAATATGGCGGACCAGTTTTGAAATTATGATACGATTTCATTCAAAATTTTTACCTGTAGCTTTTTGGGGTCGGAGGTTATGATCCTTTCGTCAAAATTTGGGAAATTCAAGCAAACTAAAGAGGAGTAGAAAATGAATAGTGGTTTGAAAAACTGCAGAAACACGCTTTTATTATGATACGATATATATTAAACATTTTCAGTCATACAGAGGAAGGCAACTCATTTGTTGAAATATGTTTCAGGCTTTACTAAATATTGATGTGGTATTCTGGATATATTTTGTATTTGGTTGAATTGATGAAGTACTATTTCGCCAATAGAGAAGCCAATAAAATTAATCAATTTTATATCCATCACGTTCTTTTATCAATTGGCTAGATGTTGCCGGTTCAATAATCACGTTGTCAATTAGATCTTCGTAATCCTTGCTATTCGAAGGACTGATAAAGGAAAGTCAATTTTTTATTTTATTTGAAAAATATTATTCTAGAAAAAGCTAAAAAATTAAATAATAATAGAAGGTGGATATAAAATGGATGAATTTTATAGGCGAAATATAACTTCATCAATTCAACCAAATAAAAAATATATCCAAAATACCACATCGATATTTAGTAAAGCCTAAAACATATTCCGGCAACTAGGTTGCCAACCTCAGTATAACTGAAAATGTTCAATATATCGTATTATAATAAAAGCGTGTTTCTGCAGTTTTCCAAACTTCTATTTATTTTCTATTTCAACATGTTTTTTTTTGTGTTCTCTGTCGGTCAGATAATTTTTTTATCATTATTATTTTCATTATTATTATTATTATTATTATTATTACAATCAAAAATTGCATTTCTGTGCCTTTCTACTTTCCATTTTCACTTATCACAATAATTGTCCACTTATCTCAAGGAGAACTATAAGCACGAGCTATGCACAACTATCTACTTTGGAAGAAACTGTCTCTTAGTGATATTAGGTAACCATGGAATAATGGATGAAGGAATTTATACCTGGATACCGATTAGGCGCGTTCGACCCTGTCTAATCAATTTTGCTTGTGGTGGGACAGCTAATACTTGAAATGACCGCGGCGGCAGCACTCCCCAATGCCGTTCTGAAGTCATTTAGGAAGCTGCAGGGCTTTTTCATACAACATAGATTCAAAAGCATCCTTCGTCCAATTTCAATGATTATGGTATCAAATGAAAGATAAAAGTCCAATCTACGTACGTGCTGTAAGGCTTTTTTGAAATTTCCTACCCAAATTTCAAAAATCGGCCTCGAAGTAGCTTGATTTTGGTGGAATGTTTCGCATCATAATGGAAAAAATTTGAGGAAATTCAAAATTCCATTACAGGACGTACATAGATTCAGGTGTGATCTAATGGCCTGTTTTTGTTTCAAATCGATATGTTCAACCGTTTTCGAGAAATTTCGAATTTGCGTGACCGTGTTATACGTATAAATGCCACTGCGGTGATGGACTCTTAAATGAAAATTTTTCTGTTATGGCATACAGATCATTTGTTGGGATATCAAATGAGAGGCGATACAATACTTTCAGTGTTTTCTTATAAAGTGCAGATATTTTACATATATCTTGAGGCCTAATAACCTAAGTGGAAATACTTTATATATCTCATGTTGTTGCAAAAGCAAGCCTATCAAATAGCATGCTGAAAGATGGCCTGGCCAGTAAGGAAGATTTAGGCTGTTTAGTTACAACTCATACAAAAACATTAATGCAACGCGACCTAAAAAGTTAGATTTAGAATAACTATTCAAGTTTTTCGTAATGATATTATTATTAGCAATCTTCTGAAGTGAAAACCTTGTGGATGTACACATGCGGGACAATTCTGAACCAGCAAGGGTATAAGATGAAAAAAGAATTAATAAATCAATCATAAAATTCAAGTAACTGATACGTCTGTGCAATACCGCCCTGTATACCCAATTTCTTCATTTATTCAGTGAACTTCAATTCTCAACACGGATAGTGTGTTTTTCCTATTTGATATATTACAAAACAAAATTATCAAGATATTATGGCATCACCCTGTTATTAATATTTCAGTTGATCGAATTATTCTTCATACAAACTTATTATTAAGGTTGAAATTCTATCAACAAGTCGTTTTTTGGAGCTCATAGGGCACAAATTCACTTAGAAAAATATGTCTGATCAACCACCCTTAAAGGCACACAATCCAACATTTGAATCGCTCGAAAACTAGTCATAGGATTGAGTTGGGCCCATGAGAGCTTTTGATCAGGATATCACAAACTACAACATACTATAATTCCAGCCGATTTTCCCGGGACTCAAAAACCCATAAGAGCGGTGCGGGGTCCATACGTATTCAGAACAATTTCAATACGTTTGGATCAACTTTAAAAAAGCATCAAGGAACTTGAAAGTGGCAATATTGAAGTAAAGAATTATAAAAAAGCAAAACAATAAATGTGGAATATTTCAAAATATGGCCGATCACTTCCTAGCACTGCAGGTGTTGACTGCTTTCAAAAGAAATAAATCAATTCCTAATTTCTTTAATTCCTCTTCGATTCAAAATTATTTGAACATTATATTCTCGATATTGTTATCTACTACTTGTACCCCCCCTTGCACAATTAAAGTTTGCAGAATTGCTCAAACGTTGGTGCCTCCAGAGTCCAGATCATTACATTACTTATGACAATAAATACATCACACAAAGAGAGAGAAACTCAAAGTTGAAGAAGAAGAAGAAGTCTTTATTGAACCACGGAAAATTACATTTTCATAGAGGTCCTTACTCTAAAAAAAACATGTCATATAAAAAAAGGAATCATTAAAATTATAGAGTACATTTTGTCAGCTACATTGGTTGCGTAGTATTAATAATAGCCTAATTATATCACAGAATTTGTCACTACCTATCATTACTTTGCGTTTTTACAAAAATTCTTGAAAAGATTACAAATAATTTGCTGTTACATTCTTTTATTTCAACAGGAAGTTGATTATATATTTGAACACCTTTAAAGCAAATGTATTTTTAATAGGCTTCCATAGATGCATTGGGTAAGAATAACTTCTTGCTATTGCGTGTATTGTATGAGTATAAACTATCACATGTCGTAAATGACAGATTTGAAAATTTTTGACCGTTAAAGTTTTCTATTCCTAGTTGGAAATACATCATTAATCCACGAAACACAAAACTCACCTCGAAGGCCGTCAACATGGCGACATGATCGGAATGCCTGTCTCCCGACAAGGCGATCTGGTGGTAGCTCAATCTCCTCTGGCCCGGATTGAGCGTGAATATTTCGGGGAACGTCGACGAGTTGGCGGCCATCGTCGCCAATGGGCCGCCGCACATGAAAATGCACCCCAGCACCATCATCTTGCCCAGTCGCGGCTCGATCGGTAACTTGGCGATTATCCTACCTGGAGTCAAAGAAATACGGAATTCTTTAGTGACTGATTGATTGTCTTTATTACTCCAAGAAACATTTCTGTTCATAATATGGATATAATAATGTTTTTCCACCAGTAGCTATAAAATCTACTATTATTTACTCCTTTTCGAGGCATAAAGTGTGTTTTTACTACCATGGTGGTTTTCGTCATTTTATGAACCACTAGTCAATAAAGACATAGCAGCCTCTGAATTCACTGTTCCTATGCGGCAAGGCAAGAATGACACCCGAATCTAGTAGGTATTTATCAATAACGAGTGCCATTAATACGAACCTTGCATCAGAATAGTGAATTCGGGTTAATTATAACAGAGGTGGCTATGTCTTTATTGACTAGTGGTTCATAAAATGACGAAAACTACCTTGGTAGTAAAAACACACTTTATGCCTCGAAAAGGAGTAAATAATGGTAGGTTTTATAGCTAGTGGTGGAAAAATAACTATTATTTACACCCATATATGTAATGGTGTCATTACTAACGTCATTGAAGGTTGGGAAGTGTCACATTACAAACCTCTACTTCCAGCCCTCACTTATGTAATATTTGAGGTATGTTCAGAACGAAACAGAGAATTATTAATATTGATCGAAATATGATGGTTGTAAATAAAATAGTACACAAACCTCGGTAGTAAGTTCCATTCCTGTCTCGAGATCATAGGTAATCTCGACGCTTTGCGTGTCGGTTAACCAATTAATCTTACAACAGGAATGAATCTCTTCCCACCTCGGTATTTAATATACTATTTTTCACCACTAGCTATAACATCTACCATTATTTACTCCTTTTCGAAGCGTTAAGTGTGTTTTTACTATCAAGGTAGTTTTTCTAATTTTATTAACTACTAGTCAATAAAGACATAGCCAACTCTGTTTATAATTAACCCGATTCACTGTTCTGATGCAAGATTCCTATTAAATTCACTACAACTCCCATCCATCATAACACGCGTAACAGAAATTTCAGTTTGAAACTTCCTCTACCCACAAGAGAGTTTATTAAAGATTCCATATACTATAATGGTGGAAAAATGTACAACCACTTGCCAGTTAATATTAGATCAGCAAGTCTGAATGACTGTCAATTCAGGAAGAAAGTCAAAAAGTTCCTCTCTGAAAGACCCTATTACAGTTTGCAGGAATATTATAGTGATAGGTTTGAGTTGTGATATTTTAGTATTTTGATGTGGTATTTATTTTGACTATATTTTGTCTCGTATTTTTATGTCATTATATTTTAACCTCTTTTAACAATATTATCTGACCTAGCTTTGTCAACAAGATTCTTCTTCAGACAATAAAGCATATACTATTATTAATATTATAATGGCACTCGAATCTAGTGTAAATAACGACTATTCATATATGCTGTCATGGTCATTACTAATTATTGAAAATGAGTGCTTTCATAATGATAATAGGTCCATATTTCGGTTTCACAGAACTAAAATGATTAAAATATATTGCTAGTGGTGAAAAAAATCTGATATAAACCTTGGTAGTAAAGAATATAAATACCACGGACATACTCACTTTCATCGGAAAATCAAGGAGGTTTGAAAAGGATAATTAGAAGAAGGAAGGTGTAATGGGGAAGTGACCTTCAGATGAATTTTCGTATAAAATAAGTTCGGAACTCTTCAGTTTTATGTCCACGCTGTACAGAATGGCGACCGATAAAGTCCAAGTCGTTTTCGTTATCAAATTGAAGCAATTTTTAATTTTCGGGGCGGAAAACTGTGTCGTACATTCTGAATCTATATAGTCTGAAAATAGCTGATGGTGAAGAATATAGCTAGCGAATAGCTAACGAATGGAAAACGAATGAAAACAATAGAAGAAGTAAAAACGAATGAAAAAAATAGAAGAAGTAAAAACGAATGAAAAAAATAAAAGTAAAACCGGTTAACACAAATGCACTCGGAGCAGGAATACAGAGGGTAGTTGGCTTCATTCTGACATGTAATGGTTTTGTTGAAATATCTCGAATAGAGCTCGATCCTAAACGAAAATATAATTGAATCAATGAATCACGATCGGCTACATTCAATGATACTATCCTTCCTAATTTACTATCATCGGTCAGAACAGAATGAAGCCGACACCCTTCCTTCCTTCTGCTGTGCCTGTCAGTATTTTGAGTGGTGTGGACGGACTCGAAGTATCAGGCGCTGTTGCAAGATATAATCTGCAACTTCATGAAAATAGAGCCGTTTTATTAGGGAACGAATTCATAGCAAAAAAAATGACTGACAAGTTATGAATAACATATTGTAATATAACGACAGTGAAAAATTATAGTTACTGTCGCAAAATATCATAATTTATCTTTATTAGTAATCAACTTCATTCAGCCAATGAGAGATTTACGGGAATCATTTATAATACCAAAGTAGGATTGAAGAACCTATTATATCCCATTGCTGTTATGATATAGTTATTATGCATTTAAAGAACAATTTCCGGAAATCTAGACATATTGATGATGTCTGCAACGTCGTATTGGCACAGCCAATCGTATTTTAACTCTGTGTGAATGTGATTTTCAGAAAGTACGTCATAGGAATGGTGGAGGAGCCAAGTTCCTTTTTTATTCATTCTTTTCTGAAGTGATCTTACGAAAAAACGAAAAAATACGTATATATCAATTTTTTACCAACTTCACAGTGAGATGAGAACTTCAATATAGGAAACTTTCCCATTATGTATGCAGCAGGGATCACCAAAAAGGGCCCACAGGGCGACCGCCTCCCCTTTTACTACTACTACTACTACTACTACTACTACTACTACTAAGTACTACTACTATATACCTATCTTTAAAAAAATTATGAAATCATTATTTTCAACAACAAACTTTATATAGAATAGAATCTATTATTGGTGACGAAACTACGACCCAAACTGAATTTGCTTACGAACTTATATCAACACCAAATGAATTAATTCTAAAATTGTTCAATTTCCAAACACATTCTGGTGTTAAATTCTTAAAATCCTACCGAATACCACACTGCCATCAAAATTAAATACTAAGTATAACTGACGTTATAAAAGTCGAAAGTTTTATCGCCGAAAAACGAGGTTGTTGGCCACGTGCGGATCAATTCGGCTTCTGTATTGGTAGAATAAGTCCGATGATTGTAAGTAAACTAAAAATATCGCTGTAATACACGAGAAACCCTGAAAAGAGTAGATTCAGATTGGTTCTCGAGGACAAGATTGGAATAGTCCATAGACCTGTTATCCCAGGGAGACGCAACATCTTATTCATAAAAGTCTGTTTGTTTTGCCCCAATGATTATAATATGAAGATGTCCATTAGTATGACAGAGAATACCGATCGAACCTCTTTATCACACAAGTATTTTGCCACGGGAGCATCCCGCGATGCCCAATTCCCACGATGCCCAATTCCCACGATACCCAATTCCCACGATGCCCAATTCCCACGATGCCCAATTCCTACGATGCCCAATCACATGTCGACGATTACGAAGATTGCCGAAGAGCGCAACGTTGCCAGGTTATGAGAAGAAATCAGAAAACACAAGATTCCTACCATGCCCACTTTCCATAGATTCCCACGATGCCCAATTCCTACGATGCCCAATTCCCACCTTCTTTGGATTTCCACCATAATGGAGGTGGGCATGGTGGGAATTGGGCATCGTGGGAATGCATGAAAGGTGGGCATGGTGGGAATCTGAAAGAGGTGAGCATGGAGGGAATTGGGCATCGTGGGAATGTATGAAAAGTGGGCATGGTGGGAATCTGAAGAAGGTGGGCATGGTGAGAATTGGGCATCGTGGGAATCTATGAAAAGTGGGCATGGTGGGAATAACGTGTTTTCTGATTTTTTCTCATAACCTGGCAACGTTGCGCTCTTCGGCAATCTTTCGTAATCGTCGACATGAGATTGGGCATCGTAGGAATTGGGCATCGTGGGAATTGGGCATCGTGGGAATTGGGCATCGTGGGAATTGGGCATCGTAGGAATTGGGCATCGCGCTACGCACCCTTTTGCCACCTTATTGGCAACACTGCAATATTGTTGGTAGCAACGAATACCAGTGGCGTGCTGCACTGTAGGTTCAAAATTTGAATATTATTTTTCAAAAAAAGTAATATAGTATAGTGACTCATGATATAGCGACTTGAACCGTCACTATTCGTGGCCCATTTTTGCAGTTAAAAACAAGCAAAAATCGACAAATAGATAGGTATGATGAATGATAATGCATGATATTCTGAATTCTAGACGATTTTCATATAAGTTAATCAGCAATTCGATCAATATTCGGCGTGGTAAAAAGTAGTCATTTTCTGTTGAATTTACCAGACAATAACTTAAACGTGTGAAGAAGTTCATACTGCTCAAAGTGGAGTACTTCAAGAGGAAAATCAATTTTAAAGAAGAAAATAATAAATTGAACAGTATACCCATCTAATATTCCGTGGATTCACGAAAAAATCATTACCAAAAACGTTATCATTACTTCCATATTCGCGATAGAAAATAAGCGTGCGACACCTATCGGAGTTCTTGAAAGCTGTCAAAGCGGCATGTTTACTTTGTTTACATTGGTTCACATTTGTTTTTTGTTTGTGCATATTGGTCATATAATCAAATAATTATAATTTCAGCTTTTTGCCTCATTTCAATTACAGATTTTGCTTCACCAATCAGAATACGAAACGTAAAAAGCAAAACGTAAAAAGTTTGGTTGTGAACGCCACTTAAGGAAATCAAGTCGATAGTGAAGGTTCATTGAAGTCAATGTCACGCCTGTGTTTATGTTCAACTACTATGGAAAAAAGTTCGTTCACGATTCGAAAATTTTTGAATTAATAAACAAAGACGTGACCGTTCAATGACTTCGAACCTTCTATGAATTTGAATGAAATTAAGGAAAATAACCCTATTCGTGACAATAGGTCTATGGAATAGTCACTTGAAAAAATCGAGATTTCCGTGACCCCGAATTTCCAATCCCGGAATTTCCGAGAGAGAAACCCCGCCCCCAATCCTCACCTAGCGGCGTCAACTCGTCGTTCCTGTCCAGGCACTTCATCTCTCTGAGCAGCACCTCCGCCTCGATGACGGCGTCCAGCGGCGGCGGCTCGATCGCTTTGCTGAGAAAGTGGCCGATCGAGCCCAAGCGCAGCAGCTTGATGCTGAGCGCAAGCTCGTGCAGCGGCGTCCTGAACATCTCGGGCGTCATGTGCTCGTCCAGCTTGTCGAAGCGCGCCTTCGAGCACAGGTGGAAGCATATGCCTGGTCTGACACGACCGGCGCGACCTTACGACAGAAAAGGAATTTGATTTCAGTGGAGGGTTGGGCAAAAAAAATCATTGATTTAACCCGGCGTCACCCAGGTGGAAAATCTGTACATGGTGTGCCTCTAAGAGAATTTAACCCCCCCTGAACTCTTTTGTTTTCGGAGATATGAAAAAATGTTAAAAAAAAGCTGTTTGAAACGACCCAAACTATTATTTCGTGAAACTGATTCATATACAGGGTCATTCGTTTTTCCAGAAAGAACATTAACTTTGATTTTTTCAATGGAACACCGTGTATATTTTTACCGAAATGTCGATAGAGCTTTTTTTTTTCTGATTCCAAAAATATTAATAATATTCGGATGAAGAATAATTGAGTTATTGATGATCAAAGTGAAATATATGAGATATTTATATTTCAACTGTATGGTCCTCAATCGAGCAAATATCCATGAAATAATTTATTTCTGAATGTTCAACAATAACTTTGTTTTCTCTTGGAGCGCACGAAACCAAATTCCTATTATGGTGGAACATGGTGAATACCTAAGGATGGGGGAGGCCTTTTAAGCCAGTTCAACACTATTTTTTATATCAAGCTAAGCATATTTTTACTTTAGAACTATATTTTTTGACGTTTGTAGAAAAAATTTTGTTTGCAACTCGAGCGCGAAATACATTGCTCATCTCGACTGTTCTATTCCCTAACTATGCCCTATACCGGGTGACACAGGAGACATGTAGCAGCCTGTAATTTTTTTATTTAAAGAGATAACATTTTGAAATTCACACGGGGTATATAATAAATGGTAGCGCACTTTACGAACCTAACGACAATTTTACAACAATTAGTAGGCGGTGTACCTACACAAAATGTTTTATGTGTTTGACAGTTAATCGATTGCATCAATTATTTTTCTTCTTCATTTGTGTGTTGATCAAAATTGCATATTATCAATAGAGACGGAAAATGTATTCAAGAAACGAAAAAGTCGATGTACACCGCCTACTAAGTGAAATAATTATGAAAAAATAGACTGATAGCCCTGTGGATCATCGTATAAGAGGAACAATTTTAGTTTTATTATTCCAAATGGAAAGATCATGTGATAGGTACATGGCGAAAATAAAAGACAGATAGTTTCTGTACCACCAGCTGAATTCGAAAAAATATGTTCCTATCTTAGATTTCTCAATATCATGAGTTATTTTCCGGGTTTTCATCTTGACTCAAACAAGCTATTGACAACCTGCAGATATTGATCAGAATATCAATACATTTCGAATAATATCAGTTTACTAATGATATTTAAATTTCAAAGCCTACCAATCGTCGATATATCATCGAATTCATGTCACAGCCAACTTATTCTTTTTGAATAAAAAGCAATTTAACAGCGAATTAAGAAATAAATGCCACTTTGTGATACATGGTTGGATAGAGAATTTCAAGGCGAAAAAGATAGACTGAAGAAATGTACAGGGTGACATTTGAAAAAAAAGTTGGGGTCACTTCCGGTCAAACAGGTGGTTGAAAAAAATTGTCGTTAAGTTCGTAAAGTGCGCCATCATTTATTATATACCCCCTGTGAATTTCAAAATTTTATCTCTTCAAATAAAAGAACTACAGGCTGCTACATGCCTCCTGTGTCACCCGGTATGTTCCAATGTCGAATGGCACGAAACATAATGATTCCTTCAACAGACTCGAATACCTTTTCGTTGTTCCAAATTGGTCCTCGACGCCCACACGGTCGCGTAGCTGGTCATGTTGTTGTGCGACGTGAACATCTTCATTTTGGCCTTGCAGCTGTCGATGACGAACACCACGTCGTTGATGGTGATCGACGTTTCGGCGATGTTCGTCGCCAGGATGACCTTGGTCACGTGATCGGGCACCGGCTGGAACACCTTGCGTTGGTCCTCTCGCGGTATCTGCGAGTGCAACGGCAGGATGCTGTACTGCGAGCCGCCAAACACCGGATGACCTTGAAAACAATTGTAAATGATAATAATACAAATACAAAATCTGTATTTCCGTCGACTGAAATACATCATAATAGGCAAGAATATATAAAAGTTCACACTAAAACAGAAAAATAGTAGGTGATATTATCAATAACAAAACATAATCTAGGTACATTAAACATGTTGAAATTGGTTTTTAAAGATCTCTTTCAATAAAAATTCTTCAGGGAAGGTAAAGGACGAAGGAAAATGATATATGAATGTAAAATTTCTTACTTCTTGTTCCTTTTGTTTTGTTTCTCAGTGAACTGCTATATTAATTTTTAGGTGTGATAAATCATATATAATTTGTATGTTATGTATTATGTAAGGACAATGTTTGAATTAGTAGACTACTGCAGAGTGTCCCTATATAAACTTGTATCAGTTTTTGGGGATTAATAAAGGAAAAAAAAAAAGGATTTTCGACTAATCTGAGTAAATGTATGGGGTGAGTGATTGTACTATTGCACAGTTTGATGGCACTTGCCGCTTTTGCAACAATGCGACCGAAACCGCGGAACATATACTTTGCTCATGTAGTATTAGTACGCCAGAGGCTGAATCACCTAGAACAGGTCTATCTCACACCTGCTGAGGTTGAAAATTCAACCGTCAGGAAAATTCTAGGCTTCATCAGAAGTCTAGGGTTAGAGGACCAAAACTAGACAAGGATAATCACAATAGATCACCCATCTACAATCTACAATCTTTCCAAACATGTTTGGAAATTATGAATATTTTTCTTCAAGTAGGTAAGACACTGGAGAATATACAAGTTACATACAGTTAGAATACCCGTGTCGCGAAAATGCTTTCTACAGGAAATGCTAGGCTTGAGGTGTAGCATATTTCTCAGTATGCACTGTTGCCAAGTTGGTACTTTATGGGTGTCTGAAGCATTTATCCAGCAAATGAGCCCATATGAAATTATCGAGTGAACTGCAGCATATTTTGAGGGTGTCGAGGTTCACACGATTTCTTAATTGTATTATGGAAAAATTTTTGCCCGCTAGATTTTTTTATCAAATGAGCTATGTGGTTGACCCATGCTAGATGAGGATCAAGCCATAGACCCAGAAACTTTACTTCTTCAGCTGCAATGATGCTTTCACCGTCGCATTTCAGCAGTAGGCTGTAGCCTAGTTTGATCTCCAAAGATAACTGAAATATCACGCAAAAGCATTGAAAACTGGACACTCTGTACAGTGCATCCCATTTCTGTTGGGACTGCCAGGTTTCTCATTCTCGGTTGTTATTGAATTAACTTGCGGTTTTCACGTTCCTGTCCTACTTTTTGTGGAACTTATGAAGGCCGAATCAGATTTTGCATAACTGTTTCCGTTTACAAGATACATTATGTTGTATATCCCCATTGATAAACAAAGATGTTTTTGGGGTAAACAAGACAATCAATCAATCAATCAATCAATCAATCATTTATCTATACTAATATTATAAAGAGGAAAGATTTGATTGTTTGTTTGTATGCATTAAATAGGCTCCGAAACTACTGGATCGATTTGGCTGGAAATTGGTGCGGAGGTAGCTTAGAACCAAGAGAGGGTTATAAGATACTATTTATCCCGGTACCATTAGGAAATTCAAGATGACGAATCTAATATATCGGACGAGTTTTGTAATTATGGTCCGATTCTATTCAAAATTGGTATCTGGGGATTTTAGGAGTCGGAGATTATGATTCTTTTTTCAAAATTTGGAAAGGACTGGATTTGGAAATCCAAGACGGTGGAACCAATATACCGGACGAGTTTTGTAATTATATACCGATTCTATTCAAAAAACGTTTCGGGATAAAAAATTATGATTCCTTCGTCAAAATCAGGAAATTCGAGATGGTAGTTCCAATATATTACGGACGAGTTATGTAATTATGTTCCGATTCTATTCGAAATTTTCAGTGGTTTAGGAGTCGGTTATTATAATTCTTTCGTCAAAATGGGGAAATTCAAGTGAACTAAAAGAAGTTGAAATAAACGGTAGTTTGAAAAACTAAAGAAACACGCATGAAGTAGAAGATGAATGATGAATATTGAACTGAACAAATATATTTAGAAATAAGGCATAAAGCATAACAACGTTTGCGAGGTCTGCTAGTAGTAAATAAAATAATGACAGTCGAACTGTGCTTGAATTGAAGTCATCTCATAACCACCAGCAGACCCCACCACGAGCGGTCCCAACACATCCGTCTGATGCGAAACCTGAACCAACAAAGGCCGAATCCGACATCAATCTGACTTCATTATAATATCGTCTGCAAAGATATGAAAATTTGAAGCCTGAAGAAAAGTAGTACCTTGTAGATGTTTCATCATGGCGAAAATGAGATTCCAACCCGGCAGGAAGACCAAGACGGCCCCCGGCACATTTTGAGACTTGATGTAGAGCAGGAGGGCTTCCAGCAGTTCGAAACTGATCTCTTTCTCGTTCATTTGGCCCATGGCGTTTTTCGTCCTCTCCGAATAATTACCGGTTACAATCTGAAAAGGAAAAAAAAACAGCAATTGACAGTTTGTTTCTCCTCAATGAAAGGGTATCTTGAATCAAAATATGAGGTCATTTAAAAGTAAAGGCTACATATTTTTATTATTGAAATTATTCAGTAAGAACATTCACAAAAACCTTCGGCATTTTTAGACTTCGGTTAGTTTAACGCAAATAATCAAACATTCTTTCTTTAGGACAGCAAAAAAATTATAGAATGAATCTCGAGTATAAAATTCAACATCAATTGAATGATAGATATTGGATATCCCTCCTCAGACTAGAGGTTCTTCCAGCCGAAAACGATGATGACGAATTTCTGCGGATTGCTCCAGATTTACCGCCTGTGTTTGAAAACGAGGGAAGCATTAATCATACTTCTGCTCTTGAAATAATATCATCATCATCATCATCATCATCATCATCATCATCATCATCATCATCATCATCATCATCATCATCATCATCATCATCATCATCATCTTTATTATTCCCAAGAAACAATTGACGTATATTTTTATAACAGGGAACATTAAATAATAAACCATTATGTATTACATTACATTTGTAGTAGGTATAGGTATAATATATAATATAAATTTCCTAATTTCATCAATACATAAAATTATAATGTATTATGGAAATAAGTTTGGCAACGCTTTATTGGTGTGTTTACTAGGAGTTACGCATATTTTTCTTAGTCATTCACGTATATCAAAATCAGACGTTACAATGTTGTTGTGTTGTGTTTGTTACCATTTTAGGACTTTTTATGTTTCAATTGATTTCAAGTGTTTTCTTGGTATGAAACTATACAATAGAGAAAATTATTGAGTCTAGAAGAAGGAGAAGAAGAGATAACAAATATCAAGTTAGAAACTGATACCATAGTGAAGAAACCTGAGGAAATATGCGAGCACTTTAATGATTACTTTATCTCAATCGGACCAGATATCACTGACCAACTTCCAGATGTACCCATAGACAATGAAAAAGAAACCAAAGTATGTTCTTTGATCCAGCATCTGAGAAAGAGATAGAAGAGCTCATAGATGCACTTGAGACAGGAAAAGCCGAATTTTGAATTGACTCGGCTGTTACGATAAGATTTCCACAAAATTCTCAAACACACGACATGTTTCGCTAACACAGTAGCTTCGTCAGGTGATATACTGGGACAATGAACTAAACTAACATTGGCTTGATTATATATCCTACTTTCCCAACCTGAAGGATTAGTTACCTGTGGACAGGTTCAATAAACCTCCATTTTCATGCTATAGCATGTAGAACAAATAACACGTTGGGAAGGTTTATCAAGAATAATAAAGACAAAACTTCTAAATTCGAAAAATCAGGGGTATACAAACTCAACTGTGGATCTTGTCCTAAAGTATATATTTGTCAGGCAGGTCGTACGTTTAATCAGCGCATTCATGAACATAAACGAATTTTTTGAAAAAGAAAACTAATTCAACATTCGCCAACCATATATTAGAAGAAACCCATAGTTTTGATGATAATTTCGAAATTCTACACTTAGAAAATAAAGGAATGAAACTCAATCATTTTGAATCATTAGAAATCAACAAAGTAAAAAATTCTGACATTTTACTAAACGATCAATTAGACTTTAATAGTTCACCACTGTTGAATTTGTTTTCTTAGTGAGAAATAATATGTATTTGATACCAACCCTTTCAAGTTAATCAGGTACACTGTATTTTACTGTAGGTATTGTGCCTAATTTCCTAAAATGGAGGTTTATTGAACCTGTCCACAGGTAACTAATCCTTCAGGTTGGGAAAGTAGGATATATAAGCAAGCCAATGTTAGTTTAGTTCAGTATATAACCTGACGAAGCTACTGTGTTAGCGAAATATGTTGTGTGTTTGAGAATTTTGTGGAAATCTAATCGTTTGTTAAATTTTTTACATTTAGAAAAGTCGAAGGTAGATGGAATAGATGTAACTACTGTAAAAAAAGTGTAGAAAAGCTCTAGTGCCAATCCTATGTAAAATCATTGATCAATCACTCAGTGGAATAGTCCCCGATAAAATTATAATTGCCAGTGTGTGTTTATTGTCTCGCCTGATTGCTAGCCTCGGCTATCAATTTGCAGACTCGACTATAATAGACAGTTTTTCGTCTTTGGTACATAAATAACTACTTAGTTTTGAAAATAAAATGTGATAATAATTTTTAGTAGACCAGTGCTGAAGCCTTTGAAAACGGTAAAATGTGAAGAAAAATCATAGTAGGATGAAACTCATATATTCGTATAACAAAGATGAAGGGTAAAATAAATTACGGGCGATCTGAGGTCGGGAAGTGTTAGGGGGTGAGTTTTCAATGGTAAAAAACGGTTTATCTTGATTTCCAGCAGAACTACGAGCCCTATGGAAAAAAGTTGAATTGTTGTAGGTTATAAAGAGACCTACAAATTTTGTTATCTCACTTGTTTCACATAACCTCAAAATTTATGTGAAAAATTCAAATAATCAAGTTTTTGATTTTTTATTTTTACCTTCTGCAAAAAAAATATTTTCACGGAATTTGGCCAAATCTTACCTTTTCATGTCCTAAAGACACTGTAATTTTTTTGATTTGAAATATTAATTTTTTCACCTTATATTGACTTAATATTGAACAAACACCCTAATTTTCAATCGAAAATTCTCGCGTCAAAATATCAGCCTTTAAAAAAAAAACCGGGGCGTTTTTTGTTCGTTGAAATCTCTTCTTTCTGATAATGTAAGAAAATATATACATTACTATGGTAAATGTTCTCAGAAAATGCAAAGAAAAGAAAAAAACTCGAATCCGAATTTTTTTTTATCACTATGTACAATTTTCAATTATTTTGTGAAATTTTCACTTCAATTATTTGAGAAACGTAAGATTTTATCTTACATTGAAAAACAAAAAAAATTACAAATCCACAAATCAAAGATTGTGAGAACCATGCGAAAATAGTTGTTCTAAATATCAAAGATAGGATTTAAAGGGGGTATGTCAATAAAAAACGCCCCGAGTTTTTTTAAAAAGCTGATATTTTGACGTGAGAATTTTCGATGAAAAAATAAATATTTCAAATAAAAAAAAATCACGGTGTCTTTAGGACATAAAAAGGTAAGTTTTCACCAAATTTCGTGGAAAAATTTTTTTTGCATAAGATAAAAATAAAAAACCAAAAACTTGATTATTTGAATTTTTCACATAAATTTTGAGGTTATGTGAAAAAAGTGTAATTACAAAAGTTGTAGGTCTCTTTATTACCTACAACTTTGCTATTCAACTTTTTTCCATGGGGCTCGTATTTTACCGTTGAAAACTCACCCCCTACCACTTCCCGACCTCAGATCGCCCGTAATTTATTTTATCTAATCTAATCTAATCTAATCTGACATCCCATCGTCTTGTCAAATTGAACTAGGTAGGTATTCGTTCTACTAGTTCTACTAAAGCACCCACTATACCACTGTTTGTGAAATAAAAGCAAGTTCAAGACTCACCTCACATGGTTCTCATAGTTTTAATCATCTCAATTCTACAAATACATGGAAAATGAGAGTTCACTGTTTTTTCATCCTCAACAGTGACTACCTCCATGAGAAACCATAACAATAAAATAGGACTTGACACTTGCAGATTGGCTCACAACTTATGGGCGGGATATTCGAATAGAATAGTACAGACCAATCAGAGCCATGGAACTTCATTGTTGATAACTAGCGTCTAGAGACAGGGTAATACATAATAATCCAACCGGTGGGGGAATGCTACAGCGGAAGCAAGGTAATGAATAATCTGCAATAGTGCATATAATACCTGGTAGGCTTGACTGATATGTGATTGCACGACTTTTTTCCTGTTGATAAAAATTAGATGCAACATTGTTTATAATATTTTCACAATCAAAATTATTGAAATAAGTTATAAGCTATTCGTTGATTGACATTTTTGTCAATAAGTTCTCGATGAAATTAATAGGTATTTCAAACCTGATTTAGTGATTTTGCAATATAATAACCTTCATTATTTCCAGAGATATATTTCTGAACTCTCAGAGTTGCTTTGATATTTGAATAGTTGTAGATAAAGTATAGTATTCTAGAAAAAAAAAATTGTCGTAAAATTGTTCTATCCGTCATTCGGTTGCCCCCTTACGAGCAACCCTCAGAGGTCTTCGAGAGTCATGTGCGAGCAAGGAATGACGGGGGCCTTACCTTTCAACGTGTGATCCCAAACACTTTCTTGGGCCATCAGAAAAATTTCTGCAGTCGATGGGAATCGGACCCACGACCGGCAAGCGAATGCGGATTAGAATATAGACACTCCGTCCGCATGGCTACCTATTGGCTACCTATGTGCACATAATGACTATCACCCACTCAGATGATTACAGCACTCGCCTTCGGCTCGTACTACAACTTTCATCTTCGTGGATAATAGCCATCATTATGCGCTGGTTGAATAATATACTATTTCCTTTCATCTTTGTTATATTTTCGTCCTTTCTCAACGGGTTTCATCCTACTATTATTTTTTTCTGTTTCAAAAATTATCGACCCTGGTCTATAGTGGCAACAGGTCCGCAATCAGAATCTCTCACACAAACTCACCTTGTTCAAATTCTCGTCGGCACCGTCAGCACCGAGACTCTCCTCGTCCTCGTCGTCTTTCCCCTTCGACTTCCTCTTCCGCGTGTCCATCGGCGGCACGAAATTCGTCAGCTCCACAGCGTCCTCCAAGAAGTACTGCTTGACGGGAAACGCCCTGCCGGGAATCTCGATCACCGGACAATTGTTGAAGTACTTCGAGAACAGCGTCGTATCGATGGTGGCCGACATGAGGATCACTCTCAGATCCGGATACGTGTGGATCATGTCCCTGATGTAGAACATTTTTGTAGCACTCTTATTACAGTATACACCCTTACGGAAAACAGTTATTTCACTTGAGTTGCGTTTTATTTGTTATATTCTAGTAGCGGTGATGGGAACAGTTTACAAATAAAACGAGAAACTTCTTGACCTTGCATAAGAGAGTTGACATATTATAGATGATGGAGGTTATATTTATACAGGGTGATCCACGGTGGATGGCCTATTAGAAGTATCTGGAGAACGAAAAGACAGAACATCCTGAAAATTGGGTTTCTTCGATAATTGAACATTCTCTATCCGTCTAAAATATTTTCATCGATACAGTGTTGCCACTTCTATCAGCAACAACTAGCAACTTTGTTATTTCAAATGGAACACCCTGAATTTTATTGCATTTTTAGATTCTTTCTGAAGAGCTGATTTCATCAATGCATCACACTTGGGGTCTAGCAGGAATGATTACAGAGATATAGGGTGTTCAAAATCGAGATTTTTCAATTTTAGGATTTTTTTGTGTCGAAACTATTCATTATCGATCAAAACGGCTTACATGTCCCTATCTTAACTTTTGATTGACTATCTACTGGAATTTTATTGGAAAAAATACAGGGTGCTTCAAGATTCAGAATTCTAATCACCCTGTATCTGTTCCATGTCAGTAGATAGTGAATCGAAAGTTAAGATAGGGACATGTAAGCCGTTTTGATCGATAATCAATACTTTCGACACAAAAAATCCTGAAATTGAAAAATCTCGATTTTGATCACCCTATATCTATGTAATCATTCCTGCTAGACCCCAAGTGTGATACATTGATGAAATCAGCTTTTCAGGGAGAATCTAAAAATGCAATAAAATACAGGGTGCTCTATTTGAAATAACGAAGTTGCTAGTTGTTTCTGATAGAAGTGGCAACACTGTATCGATGAAAATATTTTAGACGGATAGAGAATGTTCAATTATCAAAGCATCCCAATTTTCAGAATGTTCTGTCTTTTCGTTCTCCAGATACTTCTAATAGGCCATCCACCGTGGATCAGCCTGTATATTGAGGCACCGCCTAATTTCATAAGAATCTAGAAAATTAATTAACACATATTTGGAGCAGTGATTGTGGTTATTGCAGAATTAATTTTATCTGTGAATGAACATATGAAATCTGTCTTACTTCAAGGAATCATAAACTTGTGGACCCGACGATAAAAATGTCTTCTACTTTCAAAAAGTTTCGATTTTAGTCATCCAATTGAATTTTTTGACAACTGTCAACAGTCATTCCTAGTCATTCCTTGTAGGACGGAATGGAAAGTAGCAACCACAATTTATCGGAATCAGATAAATAAAACGCAACTTCGTATCGGAACGTCTGATGATGGTGTCCACAAGTTTTGTTTTTTGCCAAACCAGTGCGCATCAAGCACACGCACAGACTTTCGGCCTTGGTCGAGCCAATGACAAGCTAATAGTAGGCGAGGCAAAGAGGCCAAATAGGGAATTACTCGAACGTCGTGGGGACGAATCAGATTGTGAAGATTGCGAAGATGCGAAAATGAAAAAAAGTTTATATTATTATGATATATGACCTTTCACTGGTGGGGAGTGCGTGTACAGGTGTTCAAAAATGTAAAAAAAAAGTCACATAGAAATACCCGAGCGCATCAGATATTACTAGTGTATGCGCCCCACGTGTTTCTGATAACCGAAACATATTAATCTGCCGGTTTGCATGGGGGGGAGTGGCCGTACAAAGGGATAAAGAATAGGTTAAAAAAAATTTATTCGAGCGCGTCAGATATTGAGAAGGGACGTTAAGTGAACCCTCAAGTAGCTCCTATTCAAAAGACTGACGATTTGGACGCGACCAAAAGTCATGATCAATTTATGAAAATGAAAAAAAAATCGTGATCTTGAAATACTCGAGCGCGTCAGATTATTATACAGACGCTTCATCTTGTTGTCCTTGTAGTACAAACCCATAATTTTTTTGAATGTATTATCTAAAATATACAGGGTGGGTCAGTTTTTTGAAGCAGGACTTCAACAGCACGAAGAATTCACAATTTTGAGATGGATTTAGGCTCATGTAGACATACAGGGTGGACCAATAGTGTGGGCTTTGCTGTTTTAGATAAATGAACGAAAATTCTTGAAATGGTCTAGTCTCATAAGCAGTACATTTCTGAAATATTTTGCGTTATACAGGGTAACTCACAAATGCGTGGCGTATCAAACTTATACTTTTTCTTATAGCACACCTTGTATTTTATTGTATTTTCAGATTCCTCCTTATGAGCTGACAAGGTTCAAGCATTGATAATAATATACGAAGTGATACTTCTTTTGTCAGTTTCCTAGGTTACCACAATTACATACATAATTCCCAGTGGCTGCAAGCACCACACTTAATTGGTGATTTTCGCTACTTCGGCTTTTGCAAATCGGCAGATTATGTTAGTTCTGGGATCCGTTACTAATTGCCTTCAAAATAAGAAAAAAATTAACCGTGCTCGAGAATGTACAGGTGACGATTTTTTTTGCAACTTTGTGGCTCTTCCATTTCCTTATATCACGCTCAGATCGTCAGATTATTGAAATGCACACTTTTCTGCATGTAATTAACGTACCATTTCTTAATCTGATGCGCTGGAGTATTTTTAACGATCGATTATTTTTACTAATCTGATCGGCTGCCTCAAACTTTATAGGGGCTCAGGTATGGTGGGAGTACTTCACAAGGGTCAAGGATAGCCCCCTTATATTAATCTGCCGAGCTCGAGTAAATCCCGAAATCCCCGCTTGGGCTTCCCTACTATAATGACGACTCGCTCGTCATCACTGGGGAATGCAGCGAGTTCTTGAATTTTATATGAACAGGTCCGGCTTCAAATAAATAAATAGCCTATCTACGCACTTACCACTATACAACTCGTGAAAACATTGAAATTTAGATTTTAACATCAGGGTTTATACACAGTGTTTATACTATGATAGTGAATGAATAATGTTAATGGATAACAACCTTCGCTTATCTTTTGGAAATCTAGAGAATCTTATTTTTGCTACAAATAAAACAGTAGGCAGCCATTATCCTCTAATGATAAACAGCTCAATGAACAGTAATATCAATAGCACTCAAAAGTGAAACGGATCACCAAATGAAGCTATGAGAATCAGTGACCTGACATATAAAGTTTATGAAGCAAAATAATTATACCAGCACTCAGGAATAAGTGGTTTGGTTCACAAAACAATACTAGACACAATAAATAAATCGTGATACTCAAAGGCATATAGTTGGAAGTAGAATCTCTGGATATTATTAGTGAGATGAGTTCGGAGACAGGAATGCCAACTGTTAGTGTTTTGAATGTTTAGATTTATTAAGTAACACACCTTGCAATGTGACAAGAGCACCACCAATATTTAAAAAAAGTTGTCTCTCTATTCAGAATCAAATGGTAGTCTATTTTTTTCAAAATGTGAATTGATATCCCCCTATATCAGAAAAACTGTCCATTTTTTAAGATTGTCACCCGATGATTTTCTGATCAGAATCATATCGAAAATTCAGCGAAAGCCACCGAATTTCATTTTCATTTGCACCCCCTCATTTGGTAAGGGAAAATAATGCAAAAATGCGGTTTCTATAATTATCCGTGATGAAACATTTCCGATGGATCCTTTTTTTTTCGGTTAGGGGTAATAATTCCCCCCATTATATTTTTTTATAAATAATCTATTTTTAGAAGTAACTAAATGTAATGAAAAGATTCGGAATATCGTTCATTTTCTCAGAAATAATTGGTCAATTCGATCAAAATGTGCATTCAAACTCCTCTGGCAAAAAAAACTGTGCACTTTTGGGGGTTGGCTCAATGAAAATATTTTATAGAACCACATGAACTACATCATACCAAAAACTAAGAAAAATCCACCGGGGCCCAATTTACTGTATAATTACTAGAAGGAATGGAAGCATCTCTTCTCAGCCACAACCCGTTCCGGCCACATTTCGTCTCGGCCACATTTCGTCTCAGCCACATATGGGTAAAATTGCACGATGGTTTTTTTTGGAAAGAATTTTATGGTACCTACCTAATTACGTATTTTTGTCTGAAAAATGCGAATTTGATAATGAAAATGTGAACAAACCACTATATATCGAGATATTTCAAGGAAAAGTTCGAAATTTTGCCTTCTTTTCTCCCTGTCTTGGATGCACTTACAGCTACTTGCTCTCCTTATTTTGTCCTCGGACACTTTATATACTGATGATGTACTTCAATGACATATTTTATATGATTTTTCTGTCGAATTTATTTTATTTAGTGAACAATCATACCAGATGACGGCCATTTAATCAATAATCAATCCAAAAACGAGAAGTCAAATGTCAACAGATAGCTTTTGAATAGCGTTACACACGCCATTATTTTAAATGAACTTCTCCCTTCTTTTCACTAAATATGGATAAATCGCAAGAAAATGTGGCTAAGACGAAATGGACATGAAGTGTGGCTGAAACGAAATGTGGCTGAGATGAGATGTTGCTAAGACGAAATGTGGCTCAGACGAAATGTGGCTGAAACGAAATGTAGCTGAGACGAAATGAGGCTGGAACGAGATGAAGCTGCATTGTGTATTTCTGCTAAATTGGCAACAGCGCATCGTTCGGGTATATTTGGACACTGTGGCTGAGACGAAATGTGGCTGGTTTTATAAAGGACTTAAAGAATATAATTCTCTTCCTCAAAGCATAAAACAATGTGAGAATGTTAGAAACTTTAAAAAATGTATTAAGGAGTACCTGAGACAAAGAGACTTGCCATGATTATTTTAATTTTTCTATATTATTTAATCAAGAAACTGTTAAGTGTTATGCTGTGTGTTGTTATGTTGTTGGAATTGTAAATATTAGGATGTATCCTATATTGAATAAATTCTATTCTATTCTATTCTATTCTATTCTTCTATTCTTGACATGATATGCGGCTGAGAAGAAATGTGGCTGAAAGGATACGCACCCGAAGGAGAATATCTATAGAAAAAAAGGATGATAAGGTTGGAACTCTTACCTGAGCACCACCATGATGAAGTCGCTGTTGACGTCGCGCTCGTGGATCTCGTCGACGATCACGTGACTGACGCCGCGCAGCCCGTTCTCGAGCTTCTTCAGCAGCACGCCCACCGTGCAGAACATTATCGAGCCGTACGGCTTGGGCAGGGCGGACTCGAAGCGGACCGAGTAGCCGGTGCTCTGGCCCAATTCCTCGCACCGTTCGGACGCCACCCTCTCCGATACCTGCACAAAACGAGCCAAACATCATAGTTCAATACATTGTTGATACAGGGACCGGCAACAGGATTGAATGGTTTTGAAAAATTTGCTGTTACTGTTTTTCTACTCACACATTGTCGTTCTAGATAAGAACCTAGTTAGGTAGTTAGTATGCAGGAGCTATAATATTGTCTATTCATTGAAAAGAAAAATGAAGGAAATATGTAGTTCAGAGACATCTACGTGAACTAAGTAAACTAAGTTATTCATTTTTCATTCCTAACCGTGACATTTTTCATGGTCCTGTCAAGTTTGTAAATAAAAATCTGTCATGTTGAAACCCGAAAATCAAACATTATCACGAACGATATTATCAAGTAAGAAAACCATCTATTATGGGTTTGAGGGATGGCAGTTGTTTCTTGTCAGAGTGACAATATCGTTTTATTTTGAATCTCGTCGGAATATATTTTGTAATTTTCAATATAATGAAGTTTATTTGTGCTGAAGTTCAGTCTTTCACGTATATCTGGAGCTTAGCCTACTGACAAACCGTTGGAAGAACCCAAATATAGCCAACATATACTTGAATGGAAGCAGGAAGATGTTTAGGCAATGCTGTATTAGGTTGGAACTGTGAAAACTTCGGAAACTCATCAGTGCTTTCACACTTCTTCGACATGCAAGCCAAGCAGAAAGGTAGGGGCTGCTTATTTCCTTCTATATTTTCGATGAGTAACTGTATAATTTATGAAATTCCGTTATTTGCAGTGAAAACATGACAGACATATTTTGATTGAATGAACAGACAATATTATACCTCCTCGCACTAGGTCGCCTACTAGGTTCTCATTTAGATCGACAATGACTCACATAACTGAAAAGGCATTTAGCGTACAGGGTGTCCCAAATTCGAGCCTCATCATTGGGATCTCGGAAACTAGAAGAGATACGAGGTCGGTTAAATGGAGGCAAAGTTGCGCAATTTGGTGCTCATCAAAACGCCGCTTTGATATTTGGAAAATTCCGAATACTTCCGAAGATTTTTGGAAAAAACCGAATATTCGCGATTTCATTTTTATTTTTTTATGACTCTGTTTGAATAGATATAACAAAACAAATTACACATTCTCATTGCTACTTTTTCTGTTCTACAAGATGGTGTTATCAGATTTTCAAACAGACGTTTCGTATTTGAGCTGCCATCATCAACTTTGTTAAATACGGCCCTGGATTTTTTATTATGGATTTCAAAAGCTACTAATGTCCCAAAACTAATGATGTATCGCACTTATTCAAAAAGTTTATATTAATAGCATTTTCCATAAGAACTCATGTGTTAGAGAGAGAAAGAGAATAGATTTTTGGTAAGATCTTGGCAGGACATCGTTAAAATGATTTTTTCGAAAAAGAACGATACATCATTGGTTTTAGTACCTTAGAACTCTTAGAAGCTCCTAAAAATTGAAATAAAACAATGTGTGACAATAGGCATGATGTTTTAATTATTCCAAAAAAAAGTCAAACGAAAACTATTAAATTGAATACCCAATGAAGGTTAAAGCAAATATTCAAATTGCAATCCACCTGATTGAATGCATTTTCGTGTTAGTCTGTGAAGTTTATGGATGGCACGCTGAATGGTCCTTGCAGGGATAGTCCTGATCTATTGCAAAAAAAGTTTGTTTTTAATCCTATTAAACATCTAATTTTTGTCTCTCTCTAACACATGAGTTCTTATGGAAAATGCTATTAATATAAACTTTTTGAATAAGTGCGATACATCATTAGTTTTGGGACATTAATAGCTTTTGAAATCCATAATAAAAAATCCAGGGCCGTATTTAAAAAAACAAAGTTGATGATGGCAGCTCAAATACGAAACGTCTGTTTGAAAATCTGATAACACCATCTTGTAGAACAGAAAAAGTAGCAATGAGAATGTGTAATTTGTTTTGTTATATCTATTCAAACAGAGTCATAAAAAAATAAAAATGAAATCGCGAATATTCGGTTTTTTCCAAAAATCTTCGGAAGTATTCGGAATATTTCAAATATCAAAGCGGCGTTTTGATGAGCACCAAATTGCGCAACTTTGCCTCCATTTAACCGACCTCGTATCTCTTCTAGTTTCCGAGATCCCAATGATGAGGCTCGAATTTGGGACACCCTGTACAGGGTGCGCCTCTTAAAATGGAACCCCGCCTTAACTCTTTTGTTTTCAAAGATGTGAAAAAATTTCGAAATAAAAAGTTGTTTGAAACGACCCAAAGTTTTATTTCGTGAAATTGCTTCATATACAGGGTCATTCGTTATACCAGAAAGGACATTAACTTTGGAACACCCTATATATTTTCTGACATGTCGATAGAGCCTTCTTTTCTGATTTCAAAAATATATATGAGTTGCATATTTGGATGAAAAATAATTGAGTTGTTGATTATCAAAGTTTACCAAAATATCGAATCTTCCATTGAAACTGTCTATTCATATTTATTATATTGAGATATTGGTAAAAAATACATCTATCACAATGGAATGATACAATACAATTCACTACCAAATAACTTGAAGCAGATTAATTCAATTTATTCAATTCAATTATTGAATTACGTATAATCTACATTTTGTCATCGAATATCAATAACATGTATATATTTTTCATATTGTATCTCCTTCACATATGTTAGTGACCTGTGTGTGAAAGAGATGAAATATTTCACGTATAAAATTGTTTTTCCATAATATAAATACTCAAATTGAAAAATCAATTCATACAATAATGAGAAAAATTGAGATAAAAAAAATTGAGCTGATTAAAAAAGATCGATTTTTTTCGCATTTTCTATAAGCCAACTTTCAACTTCTTCTTTGAAAGTTATGATATTTAGGCGTTTTAATTTTGATGGTATTCTATTATAAATCTTAGATCCAATAAAACTAGAATGTTTTTTTTTTAATTTTCTTGCTTATGAAGAAAAATGAAGAAAATATGTAGTTCAGAGACATCTACGTGAACTAGGTAAAGTAAGTTATTCATTTTTCATTCCTAACCGTAACATTTTTCATGGTTATGTCAAGTTTGTAAATAAAAATCTGTCATGTTGAAACATTATCACGAAAGATTATCAATTATCAAAACCATCTACCTATACTTGAATGGAAGCAGGAAGATGTTTAGGCAATGCTGTATCAGGTTGACTTATGATGCAACTTGAATTAAAGTTGGAACTGGACATCTTATCTCATTTTTATAGTTTTCTTGTACAATTACTATAGTTTTCCACTGGGTACCTAACAGCTGAGTCAATTAAGAATCAATATGGCGGATACAATATGGCGGACAGGTTTTGTAATCATGATCCGATACTATAAAAAATTAGTATCTGGGGGTTTTCGGGATCGGAGATTATGATTCTTTCGTCAAGAGTGGGTACTTAAGAAAATATAAAATCACAAAAGTAGTTAGTGGAACTAAAAAATAGAAAATAAATAGTAGTTTGAAAAACACTAAAGAAACACATTTTTATATATAGCCAAACGAAAAAGAAGTAGAAAATGACATAATAAAAGTGTGTTGAAAAATACACAGCAAAGAAAATATCAGCACCTCCGTAATCAGTACATTCTATGTTGTGTATTCATCAACACACATTTATTATTTTATTTTCTACTTCTTTTTAGTTTGGCGATCTACCGGGTGTCCCAGTTTACCTGTTCCAATGGATTATCTCAGCTATTTCGAAAGATAAAAATTTGAAAATTTCATGATCCCCAATTCGTTCAAGGAACCTTTAATTGAGAAAAACAAAAATTGAAAGTCACTTCCGGTTTGACCGGAAGTGACTCTGACTTTTTTGTTTCAAATAGCACCCTGTATATTTTTTGCAATTTTTGCTTTCTACTCAAAATTACCTTTCCAACGATGTATCACACTTTGTATTTTACATTTGATTTGATGGAGAAAACGTCAATTGAAATTTCAAATTGAAAGAATTGCAGTAGGCTACGATATTTTGTGTAATCTTGATTTTGATCTCAATAATAATTTCTAATTCATGAACAATTTTGCATTCGAGATGATGAAGATGACGTCAAATTTCAAATTATTAAAATTGTAGTAGAACTGGAAGAATTGATAATTCTTAAATGAAAACCTTAGTGTGCCATGAAAACATTTGAATACATTTGTTTGTAACTTTGACAGTTGATAATTCTCAATGGTTGTGTGCGTGCCAGAGAGACTAACATTCAAGTATGAATAACCGTGAAAATGATGATAACTTCACTAATCAAGAGAAATTGGATATGATACTGATTTATGGAAAATGCGATAATAATCGACGGGCTGCCCTACGTGCATACAGAGAGAAATACTCTGATAGACGAATGCCAAGCGCTATGTATTTCACACGCTTGGCTTCGAATTTGGCAACAAGTGGATCACTTTATAGAAAGCGAACTGTCTTTAAAAGAAAAAATGCTACGGACGAAGAGCATACCGTTGCAGTTTTAGGAAGAGTGGTTGTTGATCCCCAATCAATGAATGTACAGCCCTTAATGCTGAGGTGTTGAGAAGTGTTACTACTACTACTCCACCGAGCTGAAAGATGTGTAGAAGCAGTTGGTCAACATTTCGAACATATGCTTTAGTTATTATATTCTTGAGCCCCCTTTCTTTGTAATTTTCAAGATTACACAAAATATCGTAGCCTACTGCAATTCTTTCAATTTGAAATTTCAATTGACGTTTTCTCCATTAAATCAAATGTAAAATACAAAGTGTGATACATCGTTGGAAAGGTAATTTTGAGTAGAAAGCAAAAATTGCGAAAAATATAATGGGTGCTATTTGAAATAAAAAAGGTCAAACCGGAAGTGACTTTCAATTTTTATTTTTTCCAGTTGAAGGTTCCTTGGACGAATTGGTGATCATGAAATTTTCAAATTTTCATCTTTCGAAATAGCTGAGATAATCCGTTGGAACAGGTATACTGGGACACCCGGTATAAAAGGGTGTTCCTTTAGTTTTTTCCAATTACTATTTAATTTTAAATGGCTACACCAACCGTGTGAAGCCGGTCCGGACAACTAGTCTATTGATAATTAGTAAAAGATACGTACCGATACGGCCGATATGCGTCTCGGTTGAGTCACGCAAATGTTACACCACCCGCCCTGGCCGGACATGATGTAATCTTCCAGTATGAACTGGCACACCTGCGTGGTCTTGCCGCAGCCCGTGTTGCCCCTGATGATGATGACGGGGTGTTCGTTGATGGCCTCCATGATTTTCCCTTTCATAGCGAACGTCGGCAGATTCTGCCGCTCCTGGATGCTCTTCTTCAACGCCGTGTCGTTCGCCATGCGATCCTTCGATCGATCGACAACGAAAATTTTATTAATAGGCGTCTACACATTTTCAATATCGCCAGTTGACGCTACTGTAGCTTGAAGTCTACGTTAACCCAGATATGCCTACCGTCCTTCTATAAGGACACTGTGTAAAAAGTTTTCTGCTGCATAATTTGTGTATCTTCGCGGATATTCTCATGGATGGCGCTACTCATATTGTAATAGGATGGTCCTTAGTATATCCTATTGTCTTGGAATAAGAAGTGTTCATTCCGTGTGCATTCTTTGCATTTTATAGTATTTAGTAATTAATTTAGTAGTAAGTCTTTAATATAAATTATTAATATAGTTTCAGGTAAATATTGAGATATTCTTATTGATTAATGCTTTGTTCAGTTCATTTTGATATTCCATTAAAATTTAGTATCCAAGTTGAAATTTGCACGTTTTGGCGCCGCGCATGCGTAGAAGACTGGAGCACCAGAGGAACGAGCAGTGTGTCCTCAGCAGTTAAAGGTGACACACAGAAAAGAATATAAATTCGCTTATTTCCGCATGCCTTTATGCTATCGCTTCTATATACGCTCCTAGTGCATGATTCTTCGATAAAGCAGTAAAATACAGTCCACTTTTGCCGCCGCTACAAGTTGGAAGCTGCAGCTGCAGTAGCATCCACTTCAAGAACCAATATGAGGAATAATAAACCGGCATCAAAATTTCTTAGAAAACTGAATGCATTTATAGATCCATCTGACGGTGTTTTGAGAGTGGGGGGTAGGATAACAAACTCGTCACTACCTTATAATCAAAAGCACCCTGCAATTCTTCCTAGGAACTCTCGAATTACTGAATTGATAATTGAAGAATTTCATAAAACGTTTTTACATCCTGGTACACAATCTTTGCATCATCTGTTAATTCAACAATTTTGGATTTTATCGCCTAAACGAGCTATAAGACATGTAATTTCAAAATGTCAAAATTGTTGGCGATTAACTCCAAAGCCGTATCAACCCAAAATGGGAAACTTACCGACTTTAAGGGTATCTGAAATTAAGACATTCTCATGTGTCGGCATTGACTATGCAGGCCCATTTAACGTAACTATGGGAAGGTTACGAGGGGCTAAGACATACAAGGCATATATATGCTTGTTTGTATGTTTCGCTACAAAATGCATTCATCTTGAGTTAGCCTCCGATTTGACAAGTGAAGCCTTCATTGCCGCTCTTCGTCGGTTTATAGCGCGAAGAGGTCGTGTTCCAAAGCTTTATTCAGATTGTGGATCAAATTTTCTTGGAGCCAGTAATCAAATTTCTAATATCATCAAACTTGCAGCGGAATCGGAGAACATAGAATTCAACTTTCATCCAAGTGGCTCTCCTCATTTTTCCGGGCTTGCAGAGGCAGGTGTCAAGTCAGTGAAAACTCATATCCGTAGAGTGATAGGAGATCAAATTATGACTTACGAAGAGTTCTATACCCTTTTAACGCAAATAGAAGCGCTGTTGAATTCTCGACCTCTGTGTCCGTTAAGTACAGATCCGAGCGATATTTCAGCTTTAACGCCAGGACATTTTTTGACGTTAGAACCTTTGTCTTCACTGCCTGATCCAGATTTGAGTCACCTGAAGATTTTCATTGAAAACTGAAAAGCTTCAAGACATTATACGACTTCGCTATTGAAATAATCTCTTCTCATGTTGAAAACGGGAGCAGAACCGGTCCCGAAACGTCCAAAGATAAGTGAAAATTTGATATTTTTTCTATATACCTTTATTTCCCTTCTCCAAAAATTTTTTCAATACAAATTGTCACTGACAAGCTAGTGAATTTTTCTTTTAGGCTCTCTGATAGGAAAATTCTTTAAACGCAGTGTGGCAAATCTACTGATTTGTCCTTACTACACCTACTTATATTGAAATAATATACAGCATATTTATTTTATAGAAACGAGGAGAGAAAATCCCAAAAAATTTGGAATAATGAATGTACCACCTCCTCGATTAACCTACAGACAGTACAGAATAAAGTGTTTTGGGAAGGTATAGGCAACCAAAGAAAAGTGCATGCAACCAAAGAAAAGTGCATGCATCCAAATTAAAATGCCAGTGATTAAAAATGTCTATGTCCATCTGAGACCCCACCTGGGCGACGCAGTCAGGGAAAGTACCGCCAGACAAGTTGGAATTTTTCTGTTTTGGAAGCGAATCTACAGAATATTCCGTTAATAAAGACGAGCAATCAGTCTCACCTTCCAATCGGTGAGCATCTGCTCGCTCAACCCCTCCAATGTGGCCGTCGCCAAGTACCCCTCGTCGATGTTGCACCCCGTCCAGCAGTTCCAATTGGGCTGCGGCGGCGACCACGTGACCACGCCGGCCGCCGTCGGATTGGCCGGATGGAAGTCGTCCAGCACGTGGGTGCTGAGCAACGAGACCGGCTGACTTTCGCCGTTCTCGTTCTTCATTTTGCCGTCGGTCACCGCAGTCGGATGGACGTTCAGCTCGTTGAGACAGTCCTGGATCTGCGTGCGCAGCTGGGGGGAGATGCGCACCTGGAAGGGCGTCATCTCGTTTTCCGGTTTCCTTTCCTTCTTCAACGTACCTGGACACGATACCCTTACGTTAGGCCAGGGGAAGAATGGGTTTTCGATCGGAAGTACGTGAGTAAGGGAACAGAAGTGTAATTCACGAATTAAATTAAACAATGAAGTATATTCCTATCAGACAAGGAACCCAAGACATATAACCGTCGGCTTACTGTCAAAACCTCGTAAGTCTTTCAGAGCTAATTGTTCAGGAGGGGAAAAAACGTTTTCCACTAGGTCAACAAGAATAATCAGAATGTGTTCGTGCTTCATAAAATATGGAACATAGTAGCGACTAGATAGAACGAAACACGTTCATTATTTTAGTTGGTTCCTACTTACACAGTACATAGTGAATGAAGGTATGTTCATGCTTATACGAATTTCGGAACATTTATGCAAATCGCAAAATATGAAATTTTCAACAGAATTTGACGTTCATTAATAGTCATGCGACAAAATTTGCAGGAGTTAAATGTTCTGTTGTCATATACAGGGTGTTTGGTGTTTGGTTCACCGACATATATACGGAAGGAGGTGGTAGGTTATGTGATTTTGAAAAAATTTGACCATATATACTATTAAACAAAATGTTACACTTTTCGAGAAATCATAGCTTATAAATTCAAAATTGGATGATACAAAAATCGTTTTTTGAATTCTAACGAGCCAACAATTTTTTTATTACATTAGATCCCATTTCGTGTTCAGTATCGATGAAATGCGTATTCAACTTTCTAAGAAAAAAAGAGATTTACCTAATCAGATAAAATGTTTGAAAGAACGATGATACCTCGAAATTTGAAACACTTTGTATAATAGTATATACAGTGTGACCCACTTAGGACCGGAGCACCCTTATAATGTTTGACCAATTTCTTTTTTTATTATTTCAGCTGGAGGACTATCTTGAGATCTACGTTTACACAAATTTTGCAAAATAAAATTTCAATCTACAGGGCATACTATGTTATCATTTTCATGTAAAAAATTGCGAAATATCATTAGCGATGTTTTCCAAAAGAAATTTACCACACCACTGAATTCAGCATCCTTCAATTAGGTTGAGTGCAAAATTTCATTGAAAATTTTCAATTGGCAAAAAAGTAATAACAACATTATTTTTGATTGCTCACCATCTTTAATGAATATTCCAGACAAATTCTGAGAAGCGGCAACGTTCTCAATACAAATGTTGGAAATCATCAAGGTTTCTCGTATACAATTACAAATTATCATCAAGTTATAACATCTAAAATGGAATTTATCTTGGTATTCATGGAAAGATTCATAAAATGAAAAATCCATAACGTCGAAAAATCGGCCTTGTTCATCCAAGTAGTAATTAGAGTTAGAAAATCGGATAGTCTGTATAGTAAGATGATATCAGAAGCCAAAAACATCAAGAGCTTCCAGAAATTGGTGGCTTACATTGATAATTTATTTATTATGAAAAGCTGTTTTTCCGACTTCATTACTTCATTCCAAAAGAGTACCATTCTAGAGATTATAACTCGATAATGATTTGTGTTATCTATTCAAATGTATACCAGGAACCTCAATGATTTCCAACATTTGTGTTGACAATGTTGCCGCTTCTCAGAATTTTTCTGAAATATTCATAAAAAATGGTGAGCAATCAAAATTAATGTTGTTATAACTTTGTTGCCAATTGAAATTTTTCAATGAAATTTTGCGCTCAACCTAATTGAAGGATGCTGAATTCAGTGGTGGGATCATTTTTTTTTTGAAAAAATCGCTAATATTTCCCAATTTTTAACATGAAAAAAATAATATAGTATGCCCTGTAGATTGAAATTTTATTTTGCAAATTTGTGTAAACGTAGATCTCCGGATAGTCCTTCTGCTGAAAAGGAAAAAAAAGAAATCGGTCAAAACTCGAGATTTTATGAGGGTGCTCCGGTCTTAAGTGGGTCACACTGTATATGGTCAGATATACGTCGGTGAACCAAACACCCTGTATAAATCCTTTATTTCAGGTCCCAACATTGACAGAAGTTCATCAAATTGACGGCACGTTACACAAAAGTAATTGAAATAAATTTTGCGGCATTCAAGAATGCTTAGAACACAACTCTTTTTTTTGAATGAAGAATACATGAGTCCAGTGTCTAGTCTAGCCTCTGCTGTCCGCTCCCTAATTCCTCAACAACACATTTTATGCATACTGTCGTGTGGTTATCAGTTATGATTCCATCCGAATTCGTAAAAAGAGTTTAAATACTTCAACTTTATAGTGATATTTTCAGCCGAACATACCTTATGTCATTTATCGTTATAGAATTCTGGAAGAATATCTGATCTATCCTAATATATGCATTGTGCAGTGAGTATTAGCTGGTCAAGAGATATCAGAACATATTCCAAACGAACTGAAGTGCTCACAGAACAAGTGGACCACTGAAATATTTGACAATTCTCAAACTGCCATATTTTTTTAGAAGATGATTGGATTTTCAATCGGGATGCAGTGCTTGGAAGATGCGATCTTTCTGTTCAAGATTCCTCGTTCAAAAAGTTTTTATGTCATGTTATGCCAAGTGTTCGAAAAAAGTATTACAAAAATGAAAAAATTCAAACTCTCCCGTATTCCAGGAATTTTTCTTTATTAAGCGTTTTTTCCGAACGTTCAAGCCAATATCTCGAAACGGTTTTGTAATTTCCATATTCCTCATACAGGATGTTGAAAATCGATGATTTTTCATTTTCAGGTTTTTATCGCATCATTTCCGATTTTAAAATTATGCAAGCCACATTCAACGTATTTTGCCACTCTGACAAAACTGTCATCATCGGTTCGACAGGAAGCATTATATTGGGTGTTGCAGTGGTATTAATTGCGTAAATGAGTGTAGATTACAAGAAATCGACTTTTTCGATTGATTTTCGATTACGCGATGAAAAACCTTTTGATAAATAGGTTTCTTGACTTCATGTCAGCTCAGAAGTTTTGAACAAGGAATCTTGAACAGAAATATCGCATCTTCCAAACACTGCATACCGATTGAAAATCCATTCATTCTTCAAAAAATTATTGTCGAAAATTTCAGTGGTCCACTTGTTTCTTTGAGCACTTTATTTGTTTTGTTTGAAAACGAAAACTCGTAACATTTCTCTGATAACAAGGGCGTCGATATGAGGGGGGGGGTAATGAGGGTAATTACCTCCCCCCCAAGAACTTCGATAAACACAGTAAAATAGTAAATTATCATATTTTTTCATTAAATTTAATAATTAACGAACGCAAGTCCGATATAGCTGTATCACACAACACATCACAACATTGCTTCCAAAATTATTCATAGTGGGAGGTGGGAGTCTCTTATCTCCTTAAAGACATAGAAAACCTTCACAAAATATCAAACTTGAATCTGATGATGGCTCAGAGGCAAACACATCGAGTTAATACTCCATGATCTATTGAAGAAGATACTTCAGAAAACGTATTTCTATTCCTCTTTTAGATAACGTGATTGAAGATCTTAAATTTCGATTTCATAATGAGTTGTACAGAATTCTCAACATTAATAGTTTATATAGTGATTGGCACAGGTGCCATAACCTACAATGGTTTTACATGCCTTTGAAACATACATATATTGTCAAGAAGTATAAATGCCTATGAATTAACACCACTCAAACTCTCGTTCGTTTCAAGATCTTTTATCATTAATAAACTTTTCCAAATTAAAACATTCAGTACATTGTAGTTCGATCAGGCCAGCGGAGTTCATAGACATCAACTCCTTTATAATTTGCAAAGAAATCGTTTACCGCGGCGATAATATTTAGGTAAGCGGTATCGAAAGGTAACGACCGTTCCCATTGTGGAAAATTGCGAACCTAGCATCGATTCCGAATATATACAGTCTGTCCAAGATAAGGTTGAACAGCATGGGGATCTCGAAAACGGTAAGAGATACGAAATCGGTTAAATGGGGAAAAAGTTGCGCATTCGGAGGCTCATATCAAGAGCCTTCGAAAATTTTGAAAATTATTTTTAGTTTTTGAGTTATATCGAAAAAAGTGAATTTTTTGAATTTCTATTTTATTTTTTTTCTCCGTTATTATTAGAGATACAGCAAAACTGAGAATACTTTTTCATAGCAACTTTTGATGACGGTCAACGTGGTGATACCGATTTTTTCATGCGACGTTTCGTATTCGTGGAACCATCATCAACTTTTGTTTTTTAAATACGGTCCTGATAATTTTTTCACAGATTCTAAAAGGTTTTTTTATTCTGAATTCAACCATGTATTATACAAGGTGGTTCATTTGTGTTTCGACCTATTTTTGGCCATCATCAATGTTTTTTCGAAACTCCAAAGGAAAAATGCCATCAGTTCCACTTATTTTGAAGGAAAATTAGTCAACACACTAATACCTCATCAACTGGTTTCAATCAACAACCCATTTCATTTTGCGGAAACAAAAATTCCATCCATACAAATTCAGAATATGTCAAGCGCTAAAACCAGGCGATGACGAAAGGCGCAAGACATTCTGTGAGTAGTATACCAGGAAATGTTAAAATTTTGCAGATTTCTTTCGAACAATCATCTGGACTGATGAAAGCATGGTCACTAATCATGGTAGCTTCGATAGAAAAAATACACATTATTGTTCACGGGAAAATGAACATTTATACATTACAGCGAGACACCAACACCGTTTCGGCTTTAATATGTGGGTTGCAATATTTGGTACACGAATTATTGTTCCTTCTATTTACCATGAAACACAGACTTCCGAACGTTATAGAAATTCGCTTGAGAATCATCTTGAGGAAGCTCTGGATGATTTACCGATTGCGGAAGTTCAGAACTCTGTTGGTTTCTACAAGATGGCGCTCCGGTACATAATTCCAGAGAAGTCCGTGCGTTTTTATCCCTTGGCCGGCGCGGTCGCCTGATTTGACACAGCTGGATTTTTTCTTAGGGGATATATCGAACTTTGTACACGCAAATAACTTTGAGGATGAAGAAGAACTAAG